GCCTTTGGGCAGAGACCTGGATCCCTTGACAGTATCACACTATGGCGAAAAAGAGCATCCACATCCTGGTTGTGAGATCTTGAACTCGAACCGCCATTGCACATGCCAGTAGATTCTGGCCATTGTATGGGAAATGGTACTTTTGTTGTCCACGATACTGGACTCCCAGAATCTCGAACTATCGCAATCGGACGTATTTCCTCTACCTTTTATAGCTTTCACTCTCATGTCATAGCCTCTAATTCTCTTGAGAAGTTTGCGCTGCATTCGATCTATGATAAGTCTTCTTCGGATGCAACCTGGTCTTGCTAAACAGTGGGACACGTCCTTAGAGTCATGTACTCGTAAGCTTGCTGATACAGCGGTCTAGGCTCCAGGAATAGAGCAATGTTCAGATCTGTGTTCGGTGCCATCGATAGCGATGAGGACGCGTCGCGACATCGAGACTAGGTCTGTCGCTCAGATCTCTTGCTAAAAACACTGCTCATTAGAAATCGCACGCTCAAGTGAGCCTACCCAACACCCTCCCCAACCTGCCCATAATACCCAAGGAGGCTACCTGCTTTTGCCGCATCTCTTCTCGGCCCGGTCTATCCCACGTCATATACAGGTCAACGATCTCAATCTCGTCTTTCCCATCGAAGCTCAGCTGAGCAACTAAGGAAGCAACAGTCGTGATACCAAGCATGATCGTGTGCAGAAGGATACCACTGCTCAATAATTTGTGTACCGTGCACTATGGTGGCAAGAAGTGAGCTTCGCGCTTGTTCCGCTCGAGATCGACGAGGTACAGGTAAGCGGTGACCATGACGTCTCGTGTAGCATTACCGCTATCCTTAATGTCCAAGACTTTGAGTTAGGTGAACAGAGACTCTGTACCTAGACACGTAAGACACGGCTCGCAGGCCCACTCGGAGGTATCAGATATATTTGACGAGGTCGGTGTTACCTTTACAGGTCTCTTACCTCTGCAACAGACCCTTCGACAAGGGTCGCATCCTTGGATTCGTCGCAGCATTCCTTGTGGGTATCTTCCTTGCGCTCTGGAGAGTTAGAAGATCGTAGGTCTGGAGGCTGCGCCAAAACACAAAAGTCTTGCTCAGTATCCACTGATACAGCCTCTTTCGAGCCTAGATCTGAGTCATCAACATAAACCACAAGCTCCATCTCCTGCAAAATGCCTTCGTGGACAAAGTACACATACCAACCATGGACTATATCTGCGTCTTCCTTTGTCTTAGACAATGGGACGCCATCTAGCCGTACAGTAGGATCGTGATGGTAGAACTCGCTGCGTCTGTCACTTCTCCCAAGAGTTGCGTCCCCGACTATCGATATCCCGGAAGTCTTTCTTATTCGGGGAGACGATCGAGTCGAAATCCGAACCAACATCGCCTTGTGTTGTTCCGACATCTTGTAACAGTTGGCCATTGTGGACGCACTGAACCGCACCATCGGCACTGACTAGGAAGATCCGGCTACTCAGAATGCTCTCGAGTGGCAACGTTGTGTCGCGCTTGCTAAGAGTCTCGTTCTCGATCTCACAGTCCTCGATAGAGTTAACAGAATGGCGATCACCATACGGTATGATAGCCTACTGCTCGTGTAAACACTCTGATCACGATGGTTGCTTGATGCTCCACGTCTCTGGCTGTAGTGAGTTGATGGTAAAGTCTGCAACGCTAGGTGAGCCGCCCACTGGGGTCGTAACGTGGTGCTCGGGAGCAACATTCAGCTGCATCCGGTAGAGACGAGTCGCTTCGGTGTGCGTCCAATTCGCCACACGGGCTGACATGGCGTCGATGGGCAAGTTAGTCATCAATATGCTGGAGCCAGCCGTCTCGACGCGTTCAACAACCAACGCTGCCCAGAACACTGTAGCGATGGCCACGGCCCGAAAACTGGTCAAGCAGGTGTCAAAGGGCACTTTTGCTGCTCTTTCGTCTCAATCGTTGTGAATGTATGCTTGAGTATGTACACAGATGTCGACGCCTTCGTGCTTGTACCGGATTGCTCTGTCGCCGGGATACAGGAAAGCGCGAAAAAGTAATTGCAGGTGCGCTTCAAGCCATTCCCGAAATATGTCTTCCACTCCGAGTCGTACGTTCTCATTTCCCCTCTGAGTCTCCACCACACTCTCGTGATAGCAGTCGTATATCTTCATTCTTTGGATGGGTCAAGTAACCCATTGCATGCATACGTCACCCCGCCCCAGATACATTCGGCTGCGACGACTGTAATGATGAATTGATAAGGTTGCAGTTAGTGTTTGGTTCGTAGTTTGGCTAAGTGCTGACGAGGTGTGAGCAACGCTTACTATGTTGACGTTCTTCAAGTGGCGGCCGTTATATACATGGCTGCGTGGCGATATCTCTGCGAATCAATGATTACTGTCAACGATCTTATGGTAGTCTGACGTTTGGCCCGCGGCACCTACCCCGCTTTCCCGGGGCTGGCTGCACCGATGGCATGGGTGATCTACAGTACATGTAGCATTCGTTGAAACAAGACACCGGATCTCACACTTACGTCTTTGTTCGTTGACCCATTTCCATTTATGGTCTTGGGGACGCGACATGTTCACATGTATACTGGATCATGCCCAGGTGTTCACACTGCCAACTACCACTCGTCGATCGAACCGGCTTGGCTTTCGCCGCATGCCCACGTTCAACTGAACGCCCACACATAAGCCTGGCTGATACCGACGAAGAGCACGACTGCCCCAAGCTCCGATAATCCCCGGTAGAGGCTTCTGGGCCACGTTTGATGACCCGAACATGGAGATGCGGCTGCGCAAGTACGCCATTATACATGTTGCGGAGATGTGATGGAGAGCCGGAAAAAGATACCTAGGTAAAACATCGGGGCATGTAAGATCATACTCAGTCTCCCTCATCGGGTCTACTTCTCTCCATACCTTCACCTACTCCACTTTCTAAATCAACCTCTCAATATTAGCCTCTGGTGCTTGATCTAGTTTGATCACGTGACAAAAACCTCGCTGCGGACCCGCTTACCGAAACGGACTCCGAAGCCCTATACGCGAGACTGAATATACAATCAGCGCAATAACACCTTATGGTTTTCTCACTGTGGATCTTATCAACACCTTGATTATCATATTGCCATCATGCCTGCTGCCACCCGCTCCCTCGAAACCATGGTCCTGCAAGCACACCGCGCAAAAGGCGTACGCTACCCGACAGCATCCCAAAAGGAATGCTTCAAGACTTGGTACTCTTATGCACTTCGCCAGGGCGAGGTTATAAAGGCCTCTCCGAAAGTCATTGAGGAACATGCGAAACATCTCAAAGAAATCAAGGAGGCCGCACCGGGTGGGCGAACGTATCTTTGATACGGTATGTATTCCTATCAGTATCAATGCTTTACACTAGCTGACTGAAGTGACAAGGTCAATTTACAGACACCTCGTTCACATTCGCGCAAGCTGGTATTATCAGTTTCTTCGACGGATGTTCTGCACTTTGATACTGGTGAATTACTGAGCGCTTGATCTTCAGTCCATCCTTTTCGATTCTTCCTTTGCTCTCTTCAAAGCTTTTCTCTTTACTTGACCAGGTCCCACACACATCACGTCTGGCTGCTTTAATTACATACATATATCTTAATGGGGTAATTCGAGCTTTCCAGCTCATCATTGCAACGTTTTATGTTGCCGAATGATACGAGTTGGAGCAAACTAATTCTCTGAATTGTTCAAAGTTGTGTCGCCGATCTTTGCGCTTTAGATACATTTTATGTCAGTCATTATTTTTAATGTCACTCTCTAAAGACTATGTTGACTCCGCGCTGACTGTAACAGGTCGGCTAGCCCTTTATGTCAGTTGTTATCGTATGCTACGTTCGTGAATGTACATTCTATGCATTTTAGGAGATGTTTCGACTCGATGTCCCTGCTTGCTCGAACAAACCACGTGCGATGTCTAACAAGCTCTGGCAGGGCTAATCAACGTGTTTCATAACGTGCTTGATGGCGCATTATTCCATCTCTAGCAATTCACTGCGACTCATTTTCACACACTCATATATCTCATATCCTGTTAGGCTTACTTTTCTTTCTTCTGCCGCTTCAAGCGTCTGTCCTCCTTAGTTTCGGCCAAGCTATAATAAATCTCGGATCTCTGAGCTAGCCTTGGTGGGCTCCTTATACCTTCTGATAGGCGACCGATCACGTGTAACGTTAATTGAAGCGCCTTCGCACGGCCTAGCCTGGCCTAGACTATATGGTTAGACTTGTTACATTGATCGCCGTAAGTTTTCACAACTAATCTGCCATCTTTTCGCTGAGATTGGACACTGTTCTCGCGATCTGTACTTTCTCAAAAGTATCATGTTCTGCGGAACAATGCAGTAGGTCAAAGGGAATACTGTATGAACCCTACAGTCAGGGAAGCAATATAGGGGACAAGTGAACCATTTACGATGGTTCCACCGGAATCAGCACTTCTCGAGTCTTTCATTCATCAGCCATTCCGGAAGAGTGAGTAACAGCATTGTGTAACAGTACCAAAGGTCCCGAGGTCCCTTCGCAGTGGCAAAATGATCGTGCATCTTGAGCACACCATCCAGGGTGAAATATTTTCACGGACCAAGAACGCGGAGATGTCGAAACTGGGTGATAAGAGCAAAGACTGAAGACAACAGACTTTGGAGATGTGGCCCCCCATGGGCTGCTTGACGCTATTGGGCCGAGGTCCTAATAATGCGTCATGCAGGTACCCACTAGAGGCGGGGTATGACTACATGCTCATCCCAAAAGAGTGTCGTATCCCGAATAGCATACACATCGTCTAGAATCATGTCGATAATTAATCATTGCTTACCATACCTACGCTATCATTGTACATCTGAAGATCTTCATTGCTGCAGTTACTTAAGCCTCCTTTCTGTTCGCATCAAATTGACTACCATAGCATTACAATCACAACGCTCGCAGTACTTACCACACGCATTACCACTATATTTTCCCAAACATAATGGCACCTCCGTCTTTCCGCGATCTTCTCGGCATGCCCGCTTCCACAGCCTCGACTAGCGACTCTGCTCTTCTTGTCATCGACGCTCAAAATGAATATGTGAGTTTTATCTCATGGCTGTCTACCAGTCTGGTCTTCCATCCCATGTATCTCAAAATACCAAATCCATCACTGCGTCGATAGTGATCTGTTCTGGAAAGGATGCCTTGATATTGCAGGTCATTCTAGGTCCTTTTCGCTCATCTTCGTTCCTTCTCGGCCTACCGGATCGCTAATTCCATCAACTAGGCATCAGGTGCTCTTACCGTAACAAACGCCGCAGCGAGCGGAAAGGTCATCGCCGACCTTCTCGACAAGTACCGAAAAGCCAACGGCAAGATCATCCACATTCTGCACCAAACACCGGAAGGTGCACCCGTCTTCACACCTGGCACCGACCTGGCAGAAGAGTTCAAGGAAGTTAAGGCAAAGGTAAGTAGACCAACAGCACATGTCGTCCCGATGTTTGCACGGGCAGAACTCAAAGTATTTGGCACTAACACATGCATCAGGATGGGGAAGAGAAGATCTGGAAGAACTTCCCTGGATCTTTCGAGCAAACCTCTCTCCACGAGACACTGGAGAAAATGGGTATCAAGAAGCTAGTCCTGACTGGCTACATGGCACACGTCTGCGTGTCCACCACTGCCCGCGAGGCTTTCCAGAAGGGATACGAAGTTATTCTTGTCGAGGACGCTATCGGTGATCGCGATATCCCCGGTGTTAAGGGTGACGAGGTCACCAGGGTGGCATTGGCAGAGCTGGCAGATGTTTTCGGCACAGTTGTCAAGAGCGCCGACATCAAGTAAATGGGTTGAAGTCAGGAGATATAATCAATAGATCTTATGAAACAACTACAACGTAGCAGATGAGGATCGACATAGTCCACCTCAAGAACCGACTCCCTTCAGCACAGTCACAGTGTGCACATACCTAACTTTCCCCTCCTCAACTCTGATCTCGTGACTGTCAGGCCAAGGCCCTAAGCTATCAAACTGACAACTGACTTGCACGCTCCCAATTGTCTCATCAATGACATACCGCCTCATTCCATTAACCTTCTGACTCCCTCCATGCGGTAGACTGCCTCCACAGGGATTCGTATACATGCTTCCCTCTACTCTTTCACATCGTGTACCCCAAGGAATAGTGTCGGCAGCAGTAGCGTTTGTCCACATGTCGAGATACGCATCGCCGATAGATTTGAGAAGAGCACGAGAAGGCTGCGAGGAGGCTGGAAGGGTGGACCAGGTTTCCGCGCGGATGTAGGATAGGGTCTTCGCAGCATCGAAGAACAGGTCGCCTGTCGTGGCGGCTACAGTGTCGATGGAGCTGATGATCGACGTGTCGTTATCTGTATGGCGGATCTGTGTGCCAACGACATGCGGTTTGGTTCCAGATGCGCTGATCCACATTGTGTAGCTGGCGCATGCTGCGATATCGGCGGTGGAGCGGTTGAGATCAATAATGAAGGGTATCGAGAGAAGACCAGTCGCAATGTCGGAAGCCCTGTTGTTTTGGAGGTATGTGAAGTTGGTGGATGCGAGGCTGAGAGTGCTAGGATTACCCGCTGTCTGCGCCGCTAGATATGACTGTGCGGTTGTGAGAAGACCTTCACGCGTACACTCGGCTGACGATGTAGTAGCAGCAAAGATTGCGACCGCGATTGGTAGCCGAAGCTGGAACGGAATCTGCATTCTGGCAAGATCTGAAGCAAGATTTCTCTTCGAGAAATGTGCTCTTGGAGGGCCGTGGTCCGAAGACGACAACATGTTGGTGTTATATGTGATTGAATACACCAGGTCTACAGCTAATGTGACTGCCGGTTGTCCCGAGACGATGGTAGCGTTATGCCGGATAATTGTTCCTTGATCAGGGTTTCCATCTAAATTGATGGTTCTCAGTGGCACGCTCAAAGCGCGTCAATATGCGAAAGCTTGAATACCAAAGTAAATTGCCTCCGAAAGAATTGAGAGGTAGTTCTGGTGGATTAGTCATGTCCGGCCATATGTTCACTGAGAAGCATTCTCTATCGACACAAGTTCTGTGTAAAGTGTGGCCGTGGCATCGCATCCTTATTTGACACAACGGTACTGATTGAAAGCTGGAATATCTCTCAACCTTGATTATCCACCATTGTCTATGGTGCAATATGCGACTGTGTGTCACTGTCAGGTGCCTGTCGGTCTGACACCTCAAGCGCGGGTCATAGTTTTAAGACTGTAACGGGTTTGCTGAAAAGCGCCACTTGTAGGCGGGTTACTCCTACTGACAAAACAATGGCTGGAAGAAAGCACCATCGTGGCTGTCACTTCTCGAGCACATAATGATCACAACATACCGCAGTCGCGCAAATTCGTAATCTGTGAAGGGTTGCGGACAAATTTATCCCGTCGTGGAGAGAAAGAGAGAGAACCGCGTCGCGAAATCGACGCGTCAGCGAGTCCGCCAAGCTCATTTGAGCACGTTAGCGGCTGTTAGCCGGTCCTCATGGCATCACCCGAAAGTCATGACATGCCGGCAACCTTCAACAATATAGATGTCTGTTTGGATCTGTATATAAAGTGTGTAATTATGTCTGATCTGAGCTCGTTATAATATTGCTGAGCTGTTAAAGCACATAGAATTGAGACCATTCGACTGGCTCTCCTCGACCCCACCTACGCGATGACATCAGCGCGTGTTACCTCGTCCACCGCCCCAGCTAGCGAGTGCCCATATGCCTTTGACAATCGCATCCTCTCTGTCGTGACCTCGAAGACTGATCTTGCCCTTTTCTAATTGATACCTTCGTAGTTCGTCGTATACTCCTACCAAAATATCCTTGAGTTCATCACCCGGCTTGCCCTTCCAAGCAGCTCCACCACCACCGATCCTCGTACAACAGCGCTCAACCACTAAGTCCGTAAGCTCATGGCGTTTGGTAGGGTACGGCTGTGGCGCAGGATAATGTGCGATACTCTGGCTGATGAGCACGGTGTAGAGGTGCAGCAACGGAAAGTAAGGCGACTCGGTTTGCTGAGAGGCTTCGATGATGTAGCGCCACGATATGTCGTCTTCTCCGATAGGTAAGCAGGCATTCGCGCGCCAAATCAATCTGTTTGCGCGCGGATTCGTGGTCAGCCATTTCGGTAGTACAGCACCTGCGCTGGCTATCAAACGCGCAAGTCGAACCAGCGGGATTGCAAGACCAGTCGCTATATCTGGGCGACCCATGGAGTCCCAGGATGCAGCAACGAGATTATAACAGTCCAGAAGAGAATCTTGCCTCTGATCCTCCGGCGCGTTGGTACAGAGTGCTGTGTTGATGAGGGCAGGGATAATGGCTTGATCAAGGACGGAAGTTACTGTGAAGGCACCGGTGGGTTTCTGCTGCCAGAGTATATGCAAGCCAGACCATATCTTCATCATGAACGTATTAAGGCGCTCGGGCGGTTGGTCGCATAATGCTTGCCAGTTAGAGGCCACATCGAAGGATCCGTGTCGGTTCAGCTTGGGGACCACTACATAACGGCAAGTTGGGCAGGCATTTGTGTTTCCCCTACCGCCTTTGAGCCATCTCTTGATGCACTCATGACCGAATATATGCTTGCAGGGAAGTGCCACAGGATGGTGGGTCGCACTAAAGTGGTCAGTACAGATGTTGCAGGCGTCTGAGGGATGCAGTTGCGTATTGAGGAAGTTTTCCATGCCTACTTGACCGGGGTGTGCAAGTCGGTAGAAACTGAGTCGAGCGATCTGATGCTAAGGGCTTGTAGTTAGTAGACATGTTGGCGGATATGCATCAGGTGGGTGAATTGGTTTGCAGTGAACGAGCGATTGTGAACGAACAAAGGCATGTAAGTTTGCAACTTCACTGCTCTCCATCGTGTGAACCCCGATATCAATTGTAGCAGCTAGCTCATAACAAGAGAATGAAAGTAGCCTTCGATCTTAGACTGAGGCTTCGCTGTGAAGACGGAAGTTGGGCTATCTGTGCTGTTGATCAATTTGGTCGTTTGAGTTCCTGATTTCCTGTCGAAGTTCGACGACTACAAACCCTTTCACGACAGAGGGCCTACGTCTCGAACATCGAGTGTCCTCTACGCTTTCAATGAGAACCTAGGGCAATCACGGCTTCCATCGCCAGCCCGGGTGCTTCCACTCGAGGTTGGTCGCCTCATTTACCAGGAATGATGCGAGCTCTCTCTGCGCTTCTGCCTCCTTCTTATCCCTCTTCTTGTTATCATGTGTCATCCAAAACTTAGTACAAATCGCGAGGATGGTCCATGTTACAGCACAACCCAGATTAATACCGTTGCCAATTGCATAACGGGGAGAGTCACCAGGTAGATACGTCCAAGTCGCGATAAGGGCGCCGACGTATCCAAAGAAGACGTTTGTCCCAATTGCAATGCTTCGTGCGGAGTCGGATAGCACGTTTGCGCTAACTTGAGCGTTCGTCATTGCGCCCAACGAGAAACAAGTTGACGCGCAAAGGAAAACAGCCGCGTACCGCACACTCGCGTTCATGGTCGCGAGGAAGATCGCGTACCCAGCAGCCACAAATAACCCCGTAAGTGCAATCAGCGTCTGACGGAAGTTCATTCGCCAGCTTACAGCTGTGATCAGGATAGTGCAAACCACACCGACAATGTACGGCGGAACCGTCAAGAGTTGTTGTTGGACGACAGTCCGACCCGGATAGATGGTGCGAATGATGGTTGGCAAGAAGAACGAAATAGCTAAGACAGTGATACTGTCCAGCAGAAAGATTATCGATATTGCAAGCGTGACGGGATTGGAGAAGCCGCGCTTAAGCCTCGAGGTATCGATGCTATCGAGCAGTTCAGCCTGACCGAGACGCTCGGACCTGACCCTGTCGATTATTATTCGCACTTCTTCTTCGGTCATCCAGCGTGCGGTTTCTGGACGGTCGGTCAGTGTGACAAAGGCCACCAAAGCAAGAGCAATGGTAACGATGCCTTCGACGGCAAAGATCCTGTTGCTTGTTATTCGGCGACTCGTAGCATTAAAGGGGTTTGTTTACATTTGCCAACCGTGGAGCGAACCGACAGAGTTCAACTTGAGGATAGCCGAAGCGATCAGGCCACCAAAAGCTCCAGAGAGTGGAGCCATGCTTATCCATAGCCCAAGCCGAAACGTCAACTCAGACCTCTTATACCATCGTGAGAGGTAGTAAGCACATCCAGGCATTACGCCAGTCTCGAAGACACCCAGTAGGAATCGAACAGCACATGCCTGCGCGCGGGTTTGTACGAAGGCTGTCGCTAAGGACATAGCGCCAAAGCCGAGCGAGGTGAGTGGCAGGAACCAACCGGGACCTGTCCTTAGATCAGATGCCAGTTAAGGACTGTCGTCATGAAGCATACCAATCAACTTGCAGCAGAGCGCCGCTGGTATCTCGAAGACGATATAAGACACATAAAACACAGACAATAGGACGTTGTAGTCGTAGCCTTCAAGCTTGAGATCCTTTTCTAAACCAGCGAGACGGGCATTACCTGTTGTCGTCAGTCGATTGGTACGGACGAGTTATCCGCGCGACGGAGTTACCAATGTTTGTACGATCAATGAAACACATAAGGTAGAGCAAAATGACTGTGGGTAGGACGCAGAGATCTACCTTGATCAACAGCCTTCTTTCCCGGCGGCGTGTCGACTCATTCGGATTTGTGTCGTCGTGTCGCGGGTCAACTCTCGTTATCTCACCGGCGTGCTTCCGATCCATATCCGCAAATTCTAAAACAAGGTTCGAAAAAAAGCAATTTGAAGAGAATGACGAAGACATTCCTTATTAGGGCGGGGTACTTATATTGAAAAAAGCCAATACAGGCTTGCATGGCATCTGCAGCAGCGACTGCAGATTATGGTGGTACAGACCGGGGCTCGGTGCTAGCTACAACGGGCCTAGTATATCAACAACGAGGTATCTACAACCGCGCAGCAAACCTCACGATATCTTCATCACTACCATCTGTTCAAGCCAAAACAACTCAGCGCATTCACAAGATGTTGATCTGGTAATCTATTGCTCCGATATCAACAGAGGGAGGTTCGCCACAGACTCTAGCGCGCGGTATGGCGAGTTACCTTCTGGGACATGATACGGATGTTCTTCTCTTGGCATCTAGCATGATCCTAGTGCATTATCAGGCATGCCTTCGGTCATCCAGCTGTTTGCGCGTGTGAAAATATGGTGATCAATTTTGTAGGAGATAATTCAGTCGAATTTCTATTGATGCGCGGCTGCTGTGGTTCAAAAGGAGCTGTGTTGACGCCTTTCTTTGTTACCAATACAATATGATGACTCAAATACAATTCACCTCGACTTCCGCTGTTGTTGGTATAAGCAAGTACCTTCCGAACGCACTAACAGTGAATCTCAGCTTACCTAACAGGTATGTACTTATTGCAGCACATGCGATGTGGGAATTATTCAATAGGGCCGGCTTCTCGTCGGGAGAATGTACCATTGCAGTTGCGATTCTCCTATTGGCAGGTAGCAATTTGTAAAAGTAAGTTGTATTACCAAACTTGTGAGTGGCTCACCGCCATGGGAAAAGATTGGAACCATGGTTATCGATATCAGTGAATCGATGCATAATGTTCATCAATAAAGCAGACGTACTTCTCATCGATCATGTCCCAAGAGAACTGTCTCCAAATTCCTCGTATACAAGAATTGCGTCCGTTCCACGAATGCATCCGAGCCACATCCACAACAACATGGCATCCACCATGTCAACCATATTAACCATGTTCAGCAAAGTCGTCGCCTTCTTCACGTGGGAAAAGTCACCATCATCCACTTTCCGCATCACCGCGCTAGTTGCACCTACAACATCACAACAGTACCGCTCCGACTCCAACTTCTCACACGCTGACCTGCTCGGTATCGAAGAGAGAATCACATTCGATGTCGACTGCGACAAGGTTCCTGAACAACTCCGCTGCAGCTGTCTCGCGTCTGGAAACGAATGCACCGCGAAACACCTAGAGGTGCACTACGTGATGGAATGGGCTGCTGGTAGTATCATGGAGAATGAAGAGGTGGAGATTGGAGGAGAGATAGTGCGAAGGGAGAAAAGAGGACGACCCAAGATTTGGGAGGGATGGTGCAAGAATGGCGGGTTGGTCTATCTGGGGCCGACAGAGAGGATGAGGTGTATTGAGGGGTATTATGAGTATCTTAGGGAGCAGATGAGGGCAGATGGGATTAAGAGGACGAATAGTTGCGAGTGACTATGCAACTCGATTTCATATATGCTGTGGGTGGGCAGGCCGAAATATTCACGGTAGTATTAGCGCATCACCGTCACTGCCAATCAAGCATTGGTGATTGTCTTACACAACGATTTCGTTTGTCTCCCATAGCCCCCTTCACACCGAGCGTCACGCGCGAATACTGATGTCACAAAGTCTTTGTTCATCAGGCGCACACACGAGCTCAGCCGCTTTTTCCTTCTCACTTCTCGTACCAAGTCTCCTGATACGGCGCTGCTCTACTTCGTGCGAGCCTCAGGCATGCATCGGCTGCTTACCTATATCTGAAATTGGCTGAGCCAAGCCCACAGCGCGAGGTTGAAGATGTCGGTACCTTACTTTGACCCTTTAGGCGAGACAGAGCCGAACACTACACGCTATACCCTGACAGTCATGGTCCCACCTAGACCGCCGCCACGCTGGTTGCCCAGCATATTCACGAACAAGCCATCTACTCACCCAGGGAAGATCGATGGACACAAGCTACCCGAATCAAACAGCAACTCCAACTTTGATCTTTTCGAACTCAAAGACATCGATGTTCTGGCCACCAAGGCCGTTGCCATCAAGAGTGCATGGTTTCCGGCCGAAATGAGGTGTGCGCATGTTCGGAAGAGACGGTTGTGTGAACAAGGTTGTTACTTTCTAGAGAAGGGTGGAGACGTGACAAGATGGTGGTGCAAGAGGGAGGACTGTGAAGGACATGTGTACTGTGGAAGAGTCATGACGGATGATAAAGGAAGAAGTTGCTTTGGCAAGAAGGGAGGGAGAATGGTATGCTTAGAAAGATAGCCTTAGCCATCTCTTCATTGAGTCTCTTGATAGGGCAATACAACAAGCAAAGATATGATCATAATGGTATTATGGAAATGTTTGTTAAGCGACGATGCGTAAGTATGTATAGGGTATTCGCTAAGTCAAAACTTGTTTGGGTTGTACGGCAGGAGGTAAAAGTCTCGCTCCTAAATCTCTACAAGAAGAAAGCAGCAACAGCGGCACCAAGACCGGCCAATGCTGGGACTTGGATCATCTGGGCAGCACCAGTGGCTTGCTCGAGAGAGCTGGAAGTTGCAGAAGGTCCGGAGCTGGCAGCAGCCTCTGAGTCGGAAGCGGTGGCAGTGGCGGATTCAGAAACAACGGAGGTGATGGTGGAGCGGGACGCTGTGACAGAAGCGCTGCCAGCGGACACTGATGCGGCCGCGGACGCACTAGGAAGCGGATGATCGACGTTGGTAACGACGACAGGAATCATGTTGAAGTAGCCCTCAGGAAGAACCGTAGACATTGAAAGAGCGGCGTCCGCGCCATCAGGGCATAGGTCAGAGGCATAGTCGGGGTCGGCGCATACAGAGCTCATCGCATCTTCGAGACCCTTTGTAGTCATGGTGCAAGTCGCTTCGGCCTCGTCGGTGTTCTGACGTGAGCACTCACCCAGAATGGCAACAGTGACGCCATAAGCAGAAGCTGATGCTTCGAATCCGTAGTAGGTGTTACCTCCGACAGTAATCGTTGCGGGAACATCCGCCTAATCGCAGTAAATCAGTGAATGTGGTCGATAGAGTTGAACTCATTGCTACTCACCAGTGAATCCTCCATAGTAGCAGCTTGTATGTCCAAAGACAGGGTTGTGCGGCCGTTGTCAGCGTTGACAAGGGAGGCTTCGTATTGCATATCGTTATTCTCCAGACCTGGCATCCAGAATGATTCGGTTGTTATGGCCGCAGCGGATGAGGCGAAAAGCGCCAAGGATAAAAGCTTAGACATTGTGCTGTTGGTATTGAGAAGAGTGAAAGTGCTGTGTAATGATATATTAAGTTTAAGTCTTGGAAATGTTGTAAGGAACGACAGACAGTAACGAGTGATGCTTGACGATGACAAGAAGACTCGACGAGTATGGGATATCCAGTCTACTTATTGGGAGGATTTGGAGACTGATCGCTTAACCTGACAGCGCATGATGCGGGAGGCCTAACCCGCGCTGGCCCCTGAAAACTATATGAGCCGCTGTTCCAGGCACACCGGTATCTGATATGGTCTAGCTGTGGTCTATTTACGCGACTGTTGCCTAAAAGAAATTGCTCGTAAATCCTCCGCATAGTCGTTCGGGTGGAGCAGAGCATGCTGCAGAGTGACGTCGATAAGCCGTGAGGCACGCACAGAGCCACAAGATAACGCTCTCAAGCTCTCACACTCGATCTGCAACGTAGTCCTACTGACTCAAGCTTCGTGTGCTCAGTACTTGTTTCTGTGTTTGTCGTCTTGGTGTAACGGTGGTAATTAGATGTTTAGACTTCGCGCGCAAAGATTTGACAGGCAGGCGAACTTTGTGGCTTGCATCTTGGGCCCAAGCGTGTTTCGGGCGGCGCTCTCTGAGCCAGTCATATGGATTTCAGCGAGCTGGCAAGCGAGATCCCACATGCCAGCCCTATGCAGACTCCGGGCGTTCGGGTGGGTCGTAGATTCCGAGGGCGCGATGAGGGAGAAATTTCGCAGACGTGAGCATGCAAACAGGCACGGGAAGAAAGCGGACATGCCAAGCGCCGCTGACATAACAAGAATGTGGGAGCTCGGCAAGTTTCTCCACAGCCTCGCGAGTATCGTTACACAACATACAAGTTTTCAGCACGATAATGGCCGTTGTAGCACGAAGACGATTACCAAAGAAATGTTCAAATTACAACACAGCTAGGGGTATCGCGCTCAAAGAAGCAATATAACACAATACAGACGCCGATCCTGTGCCACTCAACCACGTCAGCCATGTTATCCGGGTAAAACAAGCTCGCCAGCCCAATACACCAAACCCCCTATTCGACCCCGTCCTCAGACCGTTCATCGTTGTTTCTACGATGACCATCTGCCGTCACTACTCGGTCGATGCGCACAGGCTCAAAGTCGTCAGGGAGACCTTGGTAGTAGCATCCGTCTTCTCCTCCATCAGTCGAGAGCCGTCTCATTTGCGGTCATTTCAGGCCTCGTCTTGGTAGTACTGAGCGCCACGGCGCATACCACTCGAGAAGTTGTAGTCATCATCGTCGTTATCTCTTGCGCGAAGGAGTTCCTTGGACCAACCCTGGAAGGGCTTCTTGAGCGCCGCCCTCAAAGAGGAAGAAGTCGCAAGCGCATGATGTTGGCTTGACGAGGAGCGCTCGACTGGCGCTGTTACAGAAGAGCTGCGACTTGATGGCTTGGAGGTTTGCGCGACCATGTTGAGAGTACAATTGAGTGTAAGATTGGATGTTCAGGCGAATTGGAAATTCGTAAGTGTGGCGAGAGAGAAGTGACGATTGCTAATGTTTGCTTGCTTGATGAATAGTTTCCTTCAGGCTGCTGAGTACCGCCTCAATATATACTCGTCTTGTTGCAAAGTCGAAACTCATCGGTCCCAACAATTGTACGGCCGAGTCATCGCCGAAGAGCCTCATCCAAATAGACTGCATTTATCGATACAAAAGACCCACTGGAATCATGCATTTTCAAGATTCTGTTTACCATGATTGGTCAAAAACTCGACTTTCTCGATTCAGCTGGAACGAATTAGGGAGTCTGTGGCAAATCGGGTACAACTCGGATTTTCGGAGATGATCGGCGAGGCTCGAATCGGGATACTTCGGAATACACGAGTCTCGAGGACGCTGCCAAGGACACCAGACAATCACAAGCACGTCAAGACATGACCAAGTGGAAATGAAGAATTCATTTCTTCTAGGGCTAACTAGTTGAGTCTCGCATAGGAGAGTCGTTAGACGGACTCGTAGCAAGGACCTCTGCCCAAAAGCACGCCTGGCGTAACGATCATTCTCAGCCACTTCAACAAGCTCAGTCAGCTAATAGTAAAGCCTAGAAGTACTCACGGGAGGTGTTTCCTGCTTAGCGTCACTTGCATCGTTGTCAAATACGAGTATCACCTAGGCGAACTCTAATCACTCATTGCAACCCTTGCCTCTACCCGTCTAATAGCGTCCAGACATTCGACTAGGTCTTGCTGCGCCAGTGCGTTGGTGTTTATGGCTACGCGCCGCGCCGGGATCAGGGCCCTTCACTTGTTGAGCAGTTCGAGTTTCTTTACTTCGTCGGTCGAATCGTCGTGTTCTTGCTTCGCTCGCTTGATCGCTGCCCCGATTTGATCCATTTGGAGCGCCGACTCCTCAATCACGGTGTTGTATCTTCCAACGAGCGATTGTAATTGCTCCAGATATACCTTCATCTCTCCAGAGCGTGCACTCAGGATGAATTTGGTGCGGCACATAGGGCAGGTCGCGTCTTCATTCTTGTGAAGCTTTGTGTGCAGCCAAGTGTATAGGCAAAGCTTGTGGAAAACGTGGGGCAGCTGACAGACCTTGGTTTGGACTAGGGCTGTGCCTGAAACGTACGACGCTTGCTTGACGATCTCTATCAAATCAACCTTCTCAGAGGCGCCGCAAATGTCGCACTCGGTGCCATGCATGACATAGTGGTCATCTTGAAGGTCATCAACGCTCTCATTAAAGAATGCGTCGAGGCTCGGGCTAGTTGTCATGTCGTTGGGCATGCCGTGTGAAGTCGAAGCTTAGTTCAGCTGGAGAGTTGCACACTGGGAGTACACGTTGGGAGTAGATTTTAAGTGGTGTGGTTGATATTGAGAAAGACAGATGGACCATCGTAGTAAGAAGAACTTACCCTCACAACGTAAGTGAAAACTGATAAGCACGGCTGAGAATCTTTCTCAGATTCCCTTTTCACTTTTGTAAGACCTTCCAAGATACAGCATGGATACGAACAAGCTCGTAGCCTGGCTTCTATAACCATAGAAGCTCGGACGTTGAACATGATTTCGCTGATGAGCCTCCACTTCGCGGGGTGGAGAGTCGAAGTGGCTAAATAATTGCCTTACCTATCTATGGCTGGAGGAAACACAAGTTATGTCACTAGCAGCTCTGGGTGTCGTTCCTCGAGCCCGGAAACACAAGATGGAAGGCCCATCAGACCGTTCAAAGAGAGGAGACGGACTATCTTACGGAAAGTTCTATGAGAGAGGATGGTAAATCCTGGATCGAGAGAGGCTGAATTCAGGGAATTGTTCTTCAAGACTGACCAGAGAGCTGGATAGAAGAGATATTGGGTCATGAAAATGGAGGGCGCATTAGTACCGGTTACAACTCGAATAGAATCAATGAGATGATAACCGAAATTTGTTCTCGTGAGAAAGTAGCTAGTGGAATCCAGGACCAGATGATGCACCGCCGGTGCCGTGTACATCTGCAGCTCACACATCACCTCTATACATTTTGTTCGACTCCTTGAACGTCCCATGAAACCCAAAACTCATCGGTCCGTCCATCTCCGCCCTTCCAACCTCCTTCAGATCTTTCGCACTGAGCACGAGCAAGTAGCTCTTCTCCGCATATCCATCCAGAACCACACTCAACAGCACACCATCGTCTTCCTCCACGCCTTCGGGATCAGCGACGAAGATGGCTTCGCCAGACGTATGACCCTCTTGTTCCCAGAAGATAACTTCCTGGGTCTTGTTGTCGAACTTGACAAGGCCGTCAAAGAACGAGGATTTGAGACGGTCGGCACATCCATACGTATAGCGGTGAGGTCTTGTCAGATATGCGGGGTTAAGGGTAGGTAATTCCATTGACTTGAACTTCTCAGCCTGGAAGACAAGTTCAGCGGGCATTGGAGTAGAGACACCAGCATCAACACTAGGAAGGCGGAACTGCGCTTGCATCGGCAGGCAGGTAATGCGCTTCTCGCCCTGGTAGTCTGGTGTGTCGATGGAAGAGATAACGTTATCGTAGTAGAAGCGCTTGATGACGTCTAGATTTTCAAACATGCTAAGCTCGGTGATGATGTCTGTTTTGCTGGGATCATAGGCTGACGGCTCTTCCCAGGCGTTGATACTGTGGAAGCAGAAGAAAGGGTCGCTCTCGTAGGTTGCTACAAGTCCTTTGCCGTGTCTACGATCGATGACGTACCATGTGGCTTTGGAGTTTGAGTCGAAGGGTGCGATAGAATCGACGACGTTCTTGTTGTACATGAGTGAAAGGCCACTCCATGTGATATGACTGTTCCAGACACAAAGTATGACATAGTTTTCTGACAGAAACAGTGAGTGGATATATGCGGGCGTGCCATGGAATGTGGCAAGCACCTGTGTCTCGCCCGAGGATGCTGAGACGCGGAAAATGCGGTAGGTACTTTTGTATCCAAAGTCGAGATTGAAGTTGTACATATCACCTGTCCTAGGATCGGACTTGGCGTGAGCGGCGGAGAAGGGCCCTTTCAACTCTGGATGGAGAGATTCTTGCGAAGCGTAACCTCGCGGCTCTAAAGTCTCTGGGTCGATCTCTTTGATCGCTGCGGAATCTGTTCGGGCATGTAGAGTTTCTATCCCGCCAGTGTGTCCATTCGCCCTGGGCTTCGTGCCGTCGGAGAGTTTGTCGCTTCCGGGCATGTTGATAGACAGTGTAACGCCAACGTTACGTTCGCTAGGTGTTGATACGAACATACTCATGAGTTTTCTGAAGAAGCTTTCACATGGATCACGCTTTGATGCGAATGTTGTGCTGTCAAGCCTGCCAGTTCTGCGAACGGTCTCGAGATACTCATCAACTGTGCGTCGAGAGCGGTATGTAACTTTTGCTGGGCCGTTGGCGTCCTGGAAGTCTACCTGGAAGCGATGCACGCATGAGAACCCATCAAACCAATGTTTTGCTGCCCAGATCTTTCCATCATCTGTCTTCGCCTTGTAGCCGAGTGGCCCTGTCCGGTAAAGTACGCCTGCCGCATAGCGTGGGATAGTACCTTTAACGGAGAGTTCGACAGGTTCATGCTCCTCGTAGTCTGTATCGAAGCCTGCCGTGTTGGGCCAGATATCCGTTGTTGCGACCATGTTGGCGATCGGTTTTCCAGCTGCGCGGGACGTGGGCGGTAACACAGCAGTAAGGTGCTTTATAATAGCTTAAGAGGAAGATGTAAGGGTTGTACAAAGTAGGTTTGGCCTAACAGTACGGCTAGGCCAGTGGCGATGACGCTAGTCAGGCAAGCGTAACCAAAAAGATGCAATGAGCCGACTGGATGAAGCCACGTCGAAATAAGAAGCAAAGTTATTGGAATGATTAGAAATTCCTTCTGAAATAGATATATATAAAGACCTGTGGGAAATTCCCAGGCTCAGCGTCGTCACACACGTTCAGGAGAGCCTCGTGCGCCGGCCGGCAATCGGCACATACTTTACGTACGTATCGTAAACAACAGAAACATTGTTCATTTGCTGATGCAGAAACAAGGACGAACACGGCTTCCGATGCCGTTTGTAACGGCCGTAAGCAATCTTTCCCCAACATGCCAAACGATGCCAAGGACACGTTCTCCAGTCACAGATATTTGGTGGCTGTGCTGTTGACTCCCCCTTACTGAAAGACATGCAGGATTTCGCAGATATCGGTCTCGGTCTCCGTAAGTCGTGAGGCCAGATAGACCATACGGACATGGCGGAAAGGCGGGCATGTATGAGTGTCCAAACTCACATTGCGTAGATGTTGCAGGCATCGTTCAATGTTGAAGGACACCCTTGTCGCATAATCGCCCCAGATGCAGATTAGCACGAACGCAGTACTAGCGCTCAGCCCTACGGCGGGCTTTGGCAGTTGCATCATCAATTTGGAACTCGAGATTGTCTTTCACCCAAGTCACATCTTCAACGCCACGACCATCATTGCTTCCGAACAAACAACGGTCTGTTCGAGTATCGGAACCGTCCTCCTCTCCTTATATGGACCGCTAGCGGCTGTCAACTGCTACCGAACAACCACCGCGCGCAAAAAACCCCACCTCGCTTTGTTGTTCAATACACTCCACCAACTCGTAAACCCCAACCACACAAACACAAACGTACGACACGATGGGGGCCATATTCTCCCTTCCTTTTACGATCCTCAATCTCCTGTTGCCATTCACGCGATCCGACACGCCGTTGTCGCAAGACCTCTTTCATACAGCCGTCCTATGCGGAACGTTATATTTCGCCCCACAAATAGGCGAATGGTACAATGCGCAACGGCAAGCAGCAGAGACAGGATCAGGCCAAAGAGAAGACAATGAGGACACGAATCGCCCGGTCGAGCAAGCGACCAGAAACCGAGGCGATACACGAGAACAAGAACAAGGTGAACAACTCCCTCTAGACGAACGTTTGGTCCTTCAAGACGACGGCACAGAACCCGCGCGACCACCCCGAGCACCCACTCCACCACCCCACCAAGCCCACGTCGAAGATCTCCCCGAACCACACCATGCTCAACAACGCAACCACGAAGCACAAGAAGCCCAACTCCCCGACGATGCCTTCGCCCCCGGCCCCGCAAACCCCCACCACAACACAACGCAAACCGCCCGCCCCCAACGCAACGCGTAGTCGGTACCAAAAAAGCTAAATCACTCGCCCGAAAAGACCAACAACGCGCCTACAACGAATGGCTCCGTTCCGAGGCAGAGATGAGGCGCCTCCAAGAAGCCGAAGGCCGCGAGGAACGTGAAGCAGCTTCTGCAGCGGAAAAGGCTCGACGAGCAGCTGTAGAAGAAGAAATTCGGGAAAGAGCGAGACAAGAACGGGAGGAACGGAAGGCAGAGGAGAAGCGGGAAGCGGGTTTGGAGGCTGAGAGGAGGGAACGGGTGGTTACGTTTGTGAAGGAGAAGATGAGGGAAATAGGGGCCGTGGATCTTGTGGATGCGGCGTGGAAGGAGGGTAAGGATAGGGTCTGGGTTGAAAGATTGATCAGGGCGAGTGGGCTTATGCAGCAGTTGCAGAAGGAAGGGGGGCATGTTATGATTACGGGGCGGGATTGGCTTGTTAGGATCGACGAGGATGTTATGGCGAGAGCTTATGCAGAGGCCGAGCAACTTGGGGAGAGGAATGGTGGTAAAGTCGGATTCGAAGAGTTTGGAGGGATACTAGAGAGGGCGGTCCTAGGGAGGGCGGCCGCTTAGATGCATACCTGACGTTTGAGCACGATATACATACAGAGAGTGCAGATATAAGATACCCATACATGAATTTGAATAGTACGTTGAAGTCTCTCAAGATGATGTGCACAGCAGGCGCTATGGCTTCGCCGATGGAGTGATTATTCACTGCTATGGAGCTTCCTTCCAACAGCGACTCTGGTCTCTTTTCAGCCAGTCTGTGGCCATCAACATCACCTCGCACGCAGCAACTGCTCATTTGAACGTGGTATCGTATTGTCCATTTTTGTCATGCAACCATGAAAGAGGTCTTATTCGCCTAGGAAAGCCATGCCATGCATAAGATCCCTCATCCCGTCCGATCAAAATACGACCAGAACAGCCATTCGAAAGAACTCCTCCCAGAGACACCATGCACACCCATACACAGAACGCACGCCCTTATCGGTTGGACTTGGCGACACGCTCGAGCTCATCCTTCTTCTTGATGGCGTACGAGTTGCTGCTTCCCTTGGCAGCGTTGATCAGCTCCTCAGCAAGGCACTCGGCAATGCTCTTGACGTTGCGGAAAGAGGCCTCACGGGCACCGATGGTGAGGAGGGAGATACCCTGGTTGACACGGCGGAGGGGAGAAACATCGACGGCCTGGCGACGGACGGTACCGGCGGAACCGATACGGGTGGAGTCTTCACGGGGACCGCAGTTGACGATGGCATCGACGGCGACCTGGATGGGGTTCTGGTCGGTCATGATGTGGATCTGCAATTGTCAGCCTTCTCCTTACGCGCATTCCGTGCCACTTTCGCGGTCCGAAATTCTGGCGACTTGTAGACGTACGATCTCGAAAGCGTGAGCAACGATACGGACAGCCATGAGCTTCTTTCCGTTGTTGCGGCCGTTCATCATGAGCGAGTTGGTGAGACGCTCGATGATGGGGCACTGGGCCTTCCTGAACCGCTTGACGGCATATCGGCCGGCGGAGTGTGAGATGTAGACAGGCGAGCGGATCTGGATGTAGTCGCTGCGGCTTCAGTTAGCCGAAGGTCTCGCAGCGCAATACAAAGTATCCAATGCCACCATTGTCCCTTTATGTAGGTATGCGGCGCGATATCGTGGGGGAAACGTACGTCAATGAGATGTCGCGGACCTCGACCTCCTCGTAGGACCACTGCGAACTGTTAGTTTTGCGTGTGTGAGCGGGAATCGTAATGCGCCTGCCTTGTTGAACAGCTTAACGCTGCCCTGCTCGTCGGTGACATCCTTGGGAAGGATGTTGATACCGGTGGGGTTCTCGACCTCGATTTCTCCGTTGTCAGACATGATTGCGGTTGTCGGTGTGGGAGGGAGAAGGAGGGTTGGGCGTCAAAGTTCGTAGTCGCTGTCGATGAATACTGAAGTCAGTCCTTGGAGTGGTGGGCATCGAATTTCGACTCGCTTGATCCGCCAATAGTGCGCTAGTGGGGCTTGGCGGCGTTGCGCGCCTGCCATCTGTGAGCCGACAGCACTAGAGCCGACATCCAATACCTCACCAACTTCTCATGAGAAGAACTCCATTCTTCCTTACCTGCGTGCATTTCCACACTCAGCATACAGATAAATGCTAATAACCGAGGAAAACAATGTTCAAGATCACGGCCTTCTCATTTCTTGCAAAGCCAGTGTTGTATAGGATACCAAATAGCAGGAGCGGAAGACATCAATACTCGATTACAATATTGTAGAAACTAGCAAAAAGCACAACTGTGGTATATAACGCAGTCGCTGCTCATCAAAGCCAATGATGCATACAACCCAAACGCCAGGTAGAATTCAAAATGCAGCAAGAGCCTCCAACGCCATGCAATGCCGCTAAGCGCGAGGTAAAGTCGCAACGGGGAAAATCAATGGTATCACGACTCTCGCTGCGCTCTCGTCAGCATGGCAGCCACTAATCACTCTCAAAGACCTCCTTTCCTGATCGCTTATCTTAGCTTCCGCGATACACTTCGTACTCGAGTCACAGGCGCACTGATGTCTCTGCGGTCCTTCGCACCTTCGACCATCTGCTTCATTGGCGTTCCGTGACCAGCGGCCATGCTTCTAGCACGTCCTCTGCGTTCACGGATTGCTGCGAGAGCGGCTTCTCGGTCGATGCCCAGCTTGTTGAGTGACAGTTCACCCAAGACAGGCGTCTGTGCATTGGCTGCAGCATGTGCTATAGTTGAAGGAGTCATAGGCCCTCGGCCGGGCTTGAATGCCGGAGTGGCAGGAGAGAAGTGAAGAGGGATGGTAGTGGTGGTGGTGATTGTGCGGGTGAGATAGGGAGTCGCAGGACCTGTAGGCTCCCGGTCCGGCGTCGGTGGTGACATATCCTCATCTTCGCTGTCATCGACGGCATCTTCGTGGATGCTGATGTCTACGGCCTTGCTCTCCCTACGAGCAGGAAGAACAAAGTCTACCCTCGATGCTGGGCGAGACTGTGGTAGAGATACCTCAGCAGGAAGGACTGAGTTGCGCATGTTGGCATTGTCCGCCGGTGCATCGGTCATCTCAACTACGGGCAATGGTTCTGCAGGTGTTGTCAAGTCTGTCGATGGGCGCGACTTCATGGGAGAGGGCACAGAACGGAAGGTTCCTGTGTCAGGGGAGAAGGCGACAACTGTCTCAGGCTCCTCGGCCTCTGTCTTGACTACGACGTCTTCCGGTGGTGTGATGGGGCGCTCATTCTCAACAGACTCCTGCTTGATCATTACGTCCTCCATGAGTTCGTCTCCGTGGTTGCTAGGCGGAGGTGTGGAAATGGGTAGCGAGACCTTGATGCGCTGCATCTCAGCTTCTAGGGAGTTGTCGTGAACGTAATGCTTTCCGGTGTTCTCAGCAATGCGGCAAGAGCAGCACTGGAACTGGCATTCCATCTTCATGAAGTCGATCTGCTCTTCGGCGCGCTCGCGGGCACGCCTCTCTGCCGCAAGCTCCTGCTGAACGAAACGCAGATCAACTGCGTTCTTCTTTGGAGACACATTTTCTTTGTCGTCGTCCTCACGCGAGATGTTGCGTGGCTTGCGTGGTGATCGAACGGGTGACGCGAATTCGTCGGTCTCTTCGCGGTCGGCGGATGGGAGCGGTATTTGGCCTTCGGCAGCGATGCGTAGGACCTCCTCCTCTTTCAAACTCGTCTTAAGAGCGTCGCGTTCTCCCTCTACAAGGCCCAGCTTTTCTGACAGTGTCTGCACTTCTTCGTTCAGTCGGTTGGAGACACTCTCAATCTCAAGTTGCAGGTTATACACCTCGTTCTTGTACTTGGCGGCTTCATCGGTCTTGAACTTGACATCCGACTCGACCCGCTGTAGGCTGCGCTGGAGCCCCTGCATCTTAGACTGGAGCTGTGGTATCATCGCGGAAGTCCGTAGCTTCTCGTTGTTGGCATCGATGAACTCCTTCTTAGCGTGACGATATTTGCCTTCGTAGACTTGGCTACGTCGCTCTGCTTCCATCTGAAATCTATTAGTCGCTGAGATAAATGCACAAGGACATAATGTACTTACCGCCCTAGCCCGGTCACCCCTCCACTTCTCTTCGTTTTCCTTAAAAATCTTCTCCCACTTTTTGATGGCAGCTTTGCTCGCCTCGCGTTCCTTCTCGTATCGTTCCTTGGTAATGGCCTCCCCCAGTGACCCGCTCGCGTGCTCGAGTTCACTCTTCAGCTCATCAATGCGAATGTCGCGTCTGCTCAGTGCCATTTCCTGTTCCCGTTCCTTCTTGGCATGTTCCTTCTCGATCTTGTGCAACTTCTCTGCATGTCGTATTCTCTCCTTGTCGAGCAGTTCCTTGAACCGCTTGCATGCTTCTTTTGGGTCCTTAACCTCGAGGTTCTCGAACATGCCTGCGAGTGCTGTGACGGAGACATCGGAGTCGGTTCGGCGGTGTGTATGTCGTAGCGGCGAGTGGGGACGGAGGTTCGGCGTAGATGGCGATAGGACTGGTGATGACCCCCTAGAGTCGCCATACGGAGATCTTGAGCCTGCACCGCGGTCGGGGCTAGCAGGAAAGATGGGCATCCCAGGCGAGAAGGGAGCCTTGTTGGGCGAGAGAGGCGGGGGCGGATCCATGGGGACCGGGGATTCTTTGAGGCGCGCCAACTTGACGGTTTGGGGGGTTATGTATGTTGTCGAGGGGTAGCACCTGCTATGAGTTTGATTTTGAACTTTGGTAGTCTAAGGAAGTTGTGCAGCACATCTATGTAATGTGCGGTGGTGCGAGCTCAGACGATAAATGGTAAACAGCGCTAGCCGGCAACGCGACGCTACTTCCTTGCACCATAGCAACGCGCACAGGCCACTTGAACCGCGAACCCCACGTCATCTTCTCCGTTCGTTTGGACAAGCTGGGGGTATACCTTGCTAAGTACAAACGGCTAAACACTATATGTTTTCATTGCCAAAGGAGATCCTTGGAGGTTTTGGCTTCGAGTTTCTTCACAATACTTGCGGGACAGAACAAATTGTATACCTTTAGGCTACCTAGGTACACTCTGCATTTCAGTCACGGCTTAGAATAACAAACCGTACTCGCGAAGCATTGTTGGGTAAACGAATGTATTGAGCAGGCTTTGTAGATAGCACAGCAAACTCCATCAACCAGACCATCATCTCAAAATCAACCTCAAAAACATAGGAGATACACCAAGCGCATTCTACGGCACTTACTCCAGCTTATGACTAGGCCACCGAGCCCATCCCTTAGACGCTTGTGTAGGCTGCTCCATTTAGAACTGCCACATATCCTCCTGTCGACTGAGCTGGCGGCGTGTTATATACCTCTGAAGCGGCGGAAGAAGAGATAGTGCTAGTGATCATAGTGCTGGGCGCCACCGAAGAGTCTGTCATGAAGTCAGCATGTGGGCTTTCCTAGACGAAAGCATCCGAGGATTTCATACTAGATATCGCGGCGCTAGCTGAGGTTGGCACTAGTGTGATGCTAGACGATGAGTACGCTGCTCCGCCTGTTGCGGTGGGGATGGGGTAGATTCGGTAAATTCTGCTGGGGTATGGAACTCCCGCTATTGGGGATATTGGAAGACCATGTGAGGGGTGAGCTATCATCTCGGTCTTAGTAAACTTCCTCAACAATACGGAAAATTGTCAAGAATGGAACTAAACATACTCTGCAGAGTGCTTGAGGTCATCGCCGATACAGGCGCCCCAGATACTTCCGGATATCCCGAGACTACAGGCTGGACTGCGGGGTACTGGATAGTCATGTTTCCCGGTACTAATGGAAGAGGGGAATTTGGAACGTAGACATCTGTCATGAAGCTGATGATCGAAGTGGGGGCTACAGTAAGGACTGGAGATGGTGCCGAATAAGCAGGAGACTCTAAAGGATGTCAGTCTGCGCTGTTCGAATCGATATGTGAAGTTCGGCATAACGAACTCAATGTATTGGAGATGTAGATATCGCTCTCTAACAGGGACGGGCCGATGCCACTTGACGACATATATCCCGTTCCATAAGCTGAAGTCTTGGTGTATCCTGTGAGATTGGCATATACGGTATTGACGCCATGCTTGTCAGGTACGTATTATGCGATACCTGTGCTCCTTGAAGATCGAGCAAGGTAGTAGGGTAGAGTGCTACCGATGCACTCGCATAATTGGAAGCATATGACTTAGGTGTGTCTACAGAGGAGTCAGTCATTCATATCGCAAGGCAGTATCTCCTGAATAATGGAGATGTCAAGAGATGAGAAGGAAGCATTCATACTGAAGGTACTTGCGATAACAGGACCATGTCCACCACCATCGGGTCCAATGGCCATTGATGTGGGAGTAACGGCAGGGTAGCCAGATGTAGCAGGATTTTCGGGAGGTGGCACAGACGATCCATCGGTGTAGCCCATGGCGCTACTTGATACCTTCGAGCTCGAGGAAGGATCCGTTGGATAACCTTGCGTCATGTCAGATTTTGTAAATTAACGTTAGTGTACTTTTTCCTGACCATATATCGTACCGCCAGTCGTTGTGGGGTAGTTGCCAGTTTCCGAGGCGAGCGGCACAATGTTTGAGCCCGAAAGTGTCACGGTCGCGGTCGACAAAGTATTACAAGACGTACTAAGGCTTGAGGTCTCAGGAACCATTGAAGACAAGCCGGTTATAGTGGTCAGGTGTGGATATTCAGTGCCTTGGTAGCCCGAAGGATAGTAGTGTTGGCCACTACCGTCGAATTCATCGGATGTAGGGATCACGGGACGAGCGCCTCTAGGTACGACGCGAGCGGATGTGAAGCTGCTCGTGATCAGAATGGAGAAGAGGGTCGTCTTAGAGAAGTAAAGAGCCATAACCCTGAGTGAGCTGCGCCGATTGTTCGATATTGGACGAGTGTTGGTATAGAAGCTGTGTTCGAGATGAGGAGCGTGTTGAAAGTACTTGAGAGAATAATTGAACAAGAAGTGACATACATATACTTTCACAGCCTGAATGGTATCAAGACATCTCACTACAACAGAGTGTCGCAAGCTATAAACATGTAATGTTAGACCCATTCGTTTCTGCTCCATTCTTCCATATGACTGGCTCTAGGAAGTGTTGTCTTGTGGCGACGTTCGCTTGCCCAAGATTTTGAAGGAGGCGTAATCCATAACCGCCCCAATTGACCCCAAACCTGCAGTCGAAGACTGAGGCACGGGTTTGAGATTGTAGTGATAGCCCCAGATGAAGACCATCAATGCGACCTTAGTGACGGCGTGCAGAAAGACACATCTCATCAACGTAAGTGGTACACTTCCGAAGTACTTGCGGTATTTGGTTGAGGTTTCAAGTTGAGCCAGAAGCTGCGTGGCGCCGCGGAGATACAGATGCCATGACAATAGTACCAGTGTAGTATATTATGACCAACTAACGGAAAGCTTACTCGGTTGCACTCAGATGTTTCCTTTCCTGAGATCTGCAGGACTTCTTTGTGCTAGGCCAGCTCTCGTATTCCGTTATTTCCAGGATTTATCTTTTTCCAAAGCCCAGAATAGATCTGAGATACGCTTTGAACTTTGCTGGGAACAAAAACTACCGTATCGATATACGCCACACGATATAAACCCATGTCCTGCACTCGCAGCAGCGCGTCATAAGGCAAGGCATCTTCAACGCTTCAGGGCAAATGTTACTCGTACCAAGCAACTGCGAAAGGTCTGAAACCGACGAATCATCGTGGCAATGTCAGCGTCATTGCTGGCTGTGGTGAAGGACTGTCGGATGATCTCTGAGGTGTTCGGTCACCGAACGCTAGAGATGGGTGGGGCCGCAGAGCCCCACAGTAGCGCTAAGGCGAACGTATTCTTAATGTCTCTGCCTTGCGGCTTGTAAGTTCGTAATGAGGTTTTCACGTTCTGCGCATGCAGGCTCGGTGGAAATGGTACTTGGTAAGCTTAGATATCGATACCAGAAAACACAAGACAATTGCTTCAAGTCGCAGTCTAATCTACATGGACTCGCAACCTAGCGCCGAGCAACCAATGAGATACATAGTAATCCGAAAACTCCATACATACAACGCTCGCTTGACGAAGACTATTAATAATAAGGGCGCTCGGCTGTTGGTAATGTGTAGTATGTTGTAGCAGTCTGGAAACGCCCGCTCGTAAAGTTTAGGCAACTTTTAGTAACATTGAGAAAGGGATATAGTGGACGTGATCCGATGACGGCAGCATTTGAATCGTACTGGTGACAATGGTATCGAAGTAATCGTACCGAATTCGGTCAAAAGTGTCGAAAAAAAGGGTGGGTACGTTTGCTCATGATCTCAATCAGACTTCCCATGGCTGTCGCTGACGGTTGACTGTGCCGTAGGATCTCGGCTCGTCCTCTTCGAGCAGGCTTTCCATAATTGATCCAACATCGGTGTTGGTAACGGTGATCGCATCTTCCTCGTCCAACCTCTTCCGCATACGGTAGACCTGTACCGTAACGTAGGTGACTAGTGTCGTGCCCACAACAAACGCCGAAGCTGCCAGGAAGATGTTGACGGGAATTGGATTGCCACCAAATGTGCCCTTGGTCAGGGCATCGACTGCAGTCTGCGACAGATTGACCAGACCAGACGTGCAGATGATGGTTCCGTAAACACGTCCGAAGGTAGCGAAACCAAAGACCTTGGTCGCGTAATCAGACATGGCTGAGTAGTACAGCGGACGTAAGAAGACAAATAGGATGACGTTGACATATCCGGCCCAAAGTGCACAAATAGAACCGATGATGCCGATAGCGGAGGTCATGAAAACAATGATCAGGAGGACGCCGGGCGTGCTGACATTATCAAGCAGAGCGCCGAGGAATGGGGTAGCGATAACTCCAGCGAGGGGCAAAGCAACGTCGAAGAAATCGTTGACCTTCTCGGCTAGTTCGACGGAGCCAAGCATGTAGGTGTACTGTTCACGAATAGCTTTTCTGTGTTAGAATGCGCTCGTATAACACTTCAAACAGCTTACTTACTTGCGATTTGGTAGTTCATGCGCACCATCTGGATGACAGTCAAAAGAGTGAGCAGTATGAACCAGGGCGTCAACATCTGATCTTTGGCAGACTTGTTGTGCAGCGCGCCCCAGACACCGGAGTTCTCTAGTTTTTGCTCTGCCTTCTCCTCCCGAATCTTACGTGCCGCTTCATCGCCAATCAGTTCGTCAAGTTTGCTCAATCGCTCCTTGCGACGTGTGCTACGGGCTTTCCTTCGCTTCCAGATTTCGTTGTCGGGTAACTCGTCATCCGAAGAATGTACATCTCGCATGGCATCTTCAGCCCTTTGGATCTTCATCTCAAGCTGTGCCTCAGTCTTGTAGTTCTCCGTTGGTAAGAAGGTCAGTTGCGCGATAACGATTGTTGCCGGAACGATGAGATAGACTAGAAAGAAGGTCTGAGGCTTGAAGGTTCGGTCGCTAGCATCGTAGATAAGCCTGTAGAAGAGGAAAACTGCTGCCGATGCATCGAATGCGCCAGTGACGAGCGCAACGATGCTACCCGCATACTTGGGGAAGGCGTTAGCAATCTGGAAAGAGGGCAGGAAGACAAATGTGCCTCCGAGGGCGAGGAAGAAGTTTCCAATTGTATATCCGTCAAAATGCTCGATCTGAAAAGCGAGACTCATTAGGATACTTCCGACCGCGAGACAGAAAGAACCGATAAGGAAGCAAAGCTTGGGCCCATAGCGATCAAGCAAGGTGCCGACTGGTAAAGCAGAAACATTTGCGGTCGTTGACGCCAGCGAAAAGAAGAAGTTCAATCGGAGATCTTGCTCGAAACAAACTTCAACATCGGCATCCACCTCTTCGGGTGTGCACAAATTTCTGAAAACGCCTTCCTTGATAAGAATTGGCTTCAACGCTGCAAAGCCGAAGACGATACCGCTAGCGAACCAACACGCGAGAACCGTTGCGATGACCTGTGCTGCAGTCGAGTTTTAGTGGTTAGGAACTGGATGTTGTAGGATGCGGCCAAACTTACCGATACGTTTGCCTGTCGGCACCTTGTACGGCGTCAAGCCTCCAGGTTCCTCACCCGCTACGGGCTCATCAGGTTTCGGTATTACATCGTAACTGATAACTCTCCTCACGCTCTTTCCCGGGGCGCTCAAAAAGCCAGCCCCCGATATCGCGCTTTCAAGAGAAAGCCGACGTTCCGCAGCATCCTGTCGGCTAATCTGGCGGTCGACAGGCGGTAAGAACAAATCTACCAACGCCTCCTCGCGATCAGTGCCCTCTTGCTGTGTAACATGCTGAATCAGCGACATGGGAAGTCTGCAATTGGGCGCTCGTTGTTGAAAACGCAGGGCAAATTAAGCGTCAGAGGAAGAGAATCGAAAGAGTCGTGAGGTGTTCGGCTCGTCGAGGGCGACAGAAGCTAGAAAAGCGGGCAGGAGCGGAGTTAAATTGATGCGTAGTACCCTGACACGAGACCCACGATCTAGACATAGCGATCGCGGGGGTCACATGTCACATGCGACACGCTCCCGGCTTCATGGAGCCGTTGAACATGTTGTGTAAACGTCAGTAAACACTTCTGCAACCATGACGGTCGAGTATACCTTCGAGCGGGTACGCTGCATGCTCGCTTACTAGAGAAACGCCGCGAAACGTCTAAAATGGTCGGCGTTGTTGCTATTGATTGGTCGTCCCGCGCACCAAAGTCGGCAGCGAAATCGCCGATCTCCCCATCCATCTTCCCGCAGGTTCCATGAGTTGCAACCTTGGAACCCGGCGCACAGGGTCTTGATAAGAGAAAAGCAAGTAATTTGATATTTGAAACGCGACACCGCAAGTTCGTCAAATAATTCTCTTATCGCTGGCATGTGAGTTCTCTAGGCTTTGCCTAACACGTGAGGTCTACCCTTAACGTAACATTACAATCTGTTTGCTCGGCACATCAATAGAGAACATAGTGTGTACCTTTAGGGTGCGCTGTTGGAGACTCCAATTCGTCATCTATTCCTTGTGGTATATATTCGCATCGAAGTTTGTGGGAAACTGATCTCGTCCTTCAGCATCGCTCCGCACCCAAACCGCAACGCTAGTGCCTGGGCACTTGAACAATCCGTATCCTTCGCTGTCGATCTCAACCTCGCCTTCTTCCCACCCAAGAATATCAGTCCATTTCTCACCCGCGTGCATCTCTCCAACAGCCATCTTGATCTGACCAGGTCCTGCGTTGCTCATAACACACGCTAGACCCGCTTTCCTATCCCATGTTCCACGACGCACAAATCCGATGCAGTTGGCTTCGTTGAAATAGTCTTCTTGCGTTCCGTACGCGAAGAGCTTTCGTGCAAGAATAAGATCAGCAAGCTTTCCGCCGCATGAAGCGGGAGTCTCGTGTGGCTCGGAGAGACCATAGAGGTCACCATAGAAAGGACATGGGTAACCCTCCTGCCTCAGCAGGATGAGGGCATAGGCGAGGGGCTTGAAGAAACCCTCAATCTTGGTCTCCATGACCTGTCCTGGCTGTGTGTCGTGGTTTGTTACGACCGTAACAGCATTCGTGGGTCGCATTTGAACAAGCGTGTTATCGTAGACCTTCCTAAGATCCCCCGACTCGGTTGTGGAGATTGATCCAAAGTTGTTCAAGAGAGGCGAGTCGTAGAGAGCGAACTCGTGGTTCATACCTTCAAGCCAGTCGCTCATCTCCTTTACGTCGCCCGACCAGAATTCACCGACCACGAAGATGTCGTCTCCGCACTGTTTACGCAAATTCTGAATCCACTCGTTTGTAAACCTTGAGCTGAAATGTTGGACAGCGTCTAATCGGAAGCCCTTCAAGCCAATCTCCTTTGTAATCCATACTCCCCAGTTCTTCACGTCTTCCTGAACTTCAGGATGTGAGTAGTCGATGTCGGCGAACATCATGTAATCCGCGTTGCCTTGCTCGTCGTCCACAGATTGCGACCAGCCTTTGTTGTCGCCAAGAATCTTGAAGATGGCTTTCTTCTCGTTGGCTTGATCCCAGTCCGTACCTGAGAAGTGCTCCCAGTGGTACTTCATCTTGGAGTACTGTTCGCCACGGCCCGGGAAGTCGAAACCTAGCCAGCCCTCAATCTCATAAGCGTCGGAGATCTCTTTAGTCCGGTCGTTCTGGTCAACCTCAACAACGCGGCATTTCTCCGTTCTATCAGCGCCGGCTTTGTGGTTCAGCACTGCATCCCAGTAGAGGCCTACGCCGTGTTCCTTGGCAACCTTGGTGAGCTCGAGCAGTTCGTCTTTAGTACCCCATTTGGTGCCTTTCTGGCCTTTTTGGTCAAACTCGCCAAGGTCATACAGATCGTAGATGTCGTAGCCAACGCCCTTGGGGTTTGCGGCTTTGCAGCCAGGAGGTAGCCAGATGTTTTTGATACCGATGGCTTTTAGCTTAGGAAGCTGCTCGGCTAGTCGCCTCCAGTGCTTGTGGTCATCGGGAACGTTCCACTCAAAGCCCTGGAAAAGGGTGCCATTCTCCGGTGTCGGCTTCTGTTCTTGAAGATTGTTAGACTTGGGCTGTTGAGAGGAGTGAAGGAGTGGGCAAACCAACCTTCGGAGCTCATCGTGAATTATCAAGAGAATTTTTCTGTATTCTTAAACTTTTGCCTTTAAAGGCTACGAAAGATTTGAAAACGGAGGTTTAGTCTTCACAGGTGGTCGAGCGACCAAATTTTCACTGGTACCATGTTCGAATTTAAGGAAAACATTACTGCTGATAGCGCGTAACAAATCCTGCGTTGGCCGGAACTTAACAGGTTTGTCTATCACGTTCCCTGCGTTTTCGTTGGCAACCGAGCTACGAAGTAAGGGTGCACGGGTGGTGAAAGGGCCTGGAAGCGGGTGGGGGCGGCGCTGTTCAACAAAAGGCAACCAGTGACGTCAGCTGGGGCTCAGCAATCCCTCCGCGGACTTGAACACTGCAAAGATGCGTTGTCCAAATAGTAAACAGAGAAGGACAGACAATCAGTCAATAGCACATGCACTTGGAGGCCATCTGCAGTTAATAACGTTAGTGGATGCGGAGATTTTACAAAAAGATCGTCGCTATTGTGACATCCGGGGAGAGGGGAAGCGGCGGAAGAAGCTAAGCCGACTTAGGTAAGGCGCTCTCTGGATGGTGTATCCCGACTTCGTGGTTTCTCCTCTTTGATTGGTACACTGTTTGCAAGTCTACATGGTAAATGCAACTCTCATATTGAAGTACCGGAAGTTTACAGAGAGCACTTTCACCGTTTTTCTCATTTGAGGTAAGGCACTGCCTTGCTGCCTGATTGCATAATCATTACGGCTCTCTCAGTGATTAACTCACCCTCGACTGCCTCGCTGACCTCAACCATGGACAGAGCGCTTGATCGCCAAGAACAAGAGAAAGTGCGCACTGCACGCGCTAACTTCTACAACACCCTCAAGCGCAAGATTTCGACTTCGCCCACATCAACATCGACAAATTCAACCTCACCATCACCAATAAAGCAGCCTGGAGGGATTCGACAAGACCACGAGCAACGCAATACCAGTCCTATCTCTACCATACCAAACAAACGTTTCCAAATGGGTCTCACCAAGGCCTCAAAGGCCGAACAAGCGTCCGCTCATGAGAAGAGCCAACTCATCATTCGCTTTTACGATCCCAATGTGTACGCTAAGGACGCGCTCAATCGCCAGCTCCATGAGATATTAGCATGGCCAGACCACAGGCTAGAATCCGCCCACAACTATATCCAGATGCTCTTTCCGCTGCCAGAAGGCTCTCCTTTCAATATGGAAGTAAGTTTCCGGGTCCGCACGAATGAGTTTGTCTTTTCTGAATTGTGCCCTGATGTCGGAAAGGTACTCTAAAGGTATTTTCCATACTTTGTTTTGCGATATTTGTAGAACATATCAAGTGTGTACCTTCAGAGCGTCTTCTCCAGCACAATGGTATCAGCCAGAAAAGACGAGGTCTTTCGTATCTCTACTTGGTTTGAGCAGCATGCTGACCATATACAGGCCCCAGTCGTCAGCCTCGAAGTAATGCAAGCGTTTCGTTCACGAAGTGAGCTACGGCAGGAACTACGACGAAGCTTCGAGCGTATGCTCAGCTTCTACGGTTTCAAGGTGTCTACCAAGTCGGAAGCCGAGTGGCAGAAAGAGCAAGACGAGATGAAAGTTGCAGAGTTCAAATCTGCTGGCCTTGGTGTCGCCGATCCATTGCTTGCGTCGGCACTAGATGCTAAGCTTCAGAAGACAGCGGATGTTGGTCATAGCACGCCCGTGACACGGGCCGCTACAGAAAGTTCAATCACAGATACATACCCAGACCTACCCATCGATGCAGATTCATCGGCACCAAAAGGGAAAGCGCTGGCCCAGGCAAGTGAATCATCTGTATTAACACCGTCTTTCCCATCAGGCGCCTACACCAACGTCTCCACGTCCAATCCACTTCCGTACCACATCGTCCGTGCACCTGGGTGGCGCAAGAAGTTTGCCAACTGGGCCATCGACTTCGATCACAACCATCTCCGTATAACGCGTATCCTTCGTTGTCTCCGTGTGCTTGGGCTCCAGACCGAGTATACCGCCTTCTTCACTGCACTCGAGCGCACATACAACGACCCCAAGATTAGCATCAGTGATAAGAGCATGGGCTTCTGGAGGTTAGCTGTTACAAACCCCTTGCACTTGGCCCCGGACGGCAAAAAGTGCAAGTGGCTGATCGGCTGGGAGAAGGAGCAAGAAAGGTAAGTTGTGGCTGTACAAAACGCATATGAGACATACTGATTTTGTACCTCCACATCTGCAGCCTGCTATGTGGTAATGAAGCGAAACTGAGGAATGAGCGGGATGGTGTTCAGAAGACAAAGTCGGTCAAATTTGACAAAAACCTGGAGAAGTTTGACGATGACGTAGAAGCTTAAGGTATACCCTAGAGGCTACATTGGCTTGGATGGTTATAGATCGCTAAGATGAACTAATTTGTATACCTTCAGCGGCCGTTTGGCGTTGCGTCACAGCCAAGAAATGATGGACCCTTTCGTAGTCCTACCATAGACCAAGCAAGTCATGTTCACCTCCCCTCACGAAATCTTACCCACTAGGTCGTGTCTAACACCTATTCATATTCCCTTATTCGCAACTTTAGGAGATTGTACATTCTGCACATTAGGTGCACTATGAACACTCGTTCGCATTGCGTGTTTTTTGTCTTGCTTCCTCCAAAACATCCTGAGAAGGATACCTGCGAAGAAGCGTGTTTTCCCCGAATTGTATCTAGTGGGAACATGCGTTAAAAGTATTCGCAAAGCTTTAGATAGATAGAAATATGATAGAACACAGAATATAGTTCCATTTAGTGTTTTTATTTACTTACGAGAAACGAGCTTCTAGGTAGGTAGCAGTGCGTATTGGCCCCACGCGCCCGATCGTAGAATAATCAGGCTGCCGCAGCGCACTCGCTGTCACTACAACTACTTCAATACAAGTTCCAATTCTACAAGGTAGAACAGCCTCAGCGACATAGAAATGTGCGATACACTAGTCTACGCAACTCATGACATTACACCCGAGGTATCGCATCGCATTGCCCTATCCTTATAACCACCCATCAACTAATAAGTGAATTTGGGTCTGGTCTGACTTCGACCTGACTTCTAGACATAGACCTGGAATACCAGCCGACGAAGCTACCCTCCATTACACACTAGTCTCCCCCAACACACACACACACGAGCATTTCGACAGAACCTCGCAGATTGAAACTACCGTGTCCACTGGATTTGGTACTGCTTCTTGGGATGAAATCAAAGGGTTGCACTCAAGGATCTGCAAGCTGGGTCTACTTCGTATGCATCCTGTTATATTCCTGATACTGGATTAGCAGTCGACGGAGGACCGTACCGTTGTAGTTATGTATAAATCAAAAACTAGCAATTGTGAAATTAGAAAAGATGTGGAAGGTAATGAGGTTGAGGGTGGTGTGACGGTTTGGCAGACGTATGGTGTTCCGTTCGAAGATGCGGATCTTGTTGAGTACGCGCTTGATGAATTTGTTACCCCGGAAGGGGTGGATAAGCACTTTGTGGAGGAGGTGGAGCGGGGCGATGCTTTAGAGGAGGAGAGTGAGGAGGGGAGCAAGAGTGATTCGACGGATGAGGAGGATATTGACCGGAAGTGGGAGTACATGTCCTAGAGCTTGGATGAGAGTTTCTTTGGGCTGACGTGTAGAATGTGCGATCTCCTATACATGTGAATTTCCTAATCCGCTAGTGCTATGCATGTCATCAGGCCAAACCCGTATCTACAACTTTGCGTCACTGAATGGAACGAACGTCTCTCCACTGGCCTCTTCGACCCTCTTTGCAGCACTCTTGTATGCGTCCCTCTTCTGCAACCTCCTCATGTACTCGTACAACTTGGGGTAACTTGTCTCGCTCAACGGCAACCTCTGCGTCGCGCCCTCAAGTCCGAAATGGATCATGATATCCGCTGCGGTAAGCTTATCGCTGCAGAAGAACTCTCCCTTACTAGGCGACTTGACAAGGTAGTCCTCGAGGAAGTCGAAGTGCGTCTTTAGCTCTGGGTCGACAAAGCCAGTGTCAATCTTGGAGGCGACGCCGTTGGTAATAGGTTTGAGGAAGAAGGGCACTGGGGCGTTTTTGATGTCTAAGTCTGGTGATTAGTGAACTGGCGTTGCGAGCTTAGCAGGGGACAGCTTACTTCCTGTTACTAGGGCCAGGATTAGGATGGTAAAGAGACTACCCTCGGTGTAGTCCATCAAGAACTGTATTAGCGTTAGTTGTTTAGCCTCTTCACTATTGATATTGATTGCAAGAAGTCCACACCACCGAAGTCGACAGGCTAGTCTTCGCCCTGTGTTTGGGTACATATACACTTTTTCTCTTACACAAAAAATCCAGGGGAGCACATCTTACCTTGTACCTCATCCACTCCTCAGTCTCAGCACCAAGTACACCCTCCTGTCCCTCAGGGTAACGCGTAGGAACCAACTGCTTCCCAAAGTGGTCACAGATATACTCCATAATCGTCTCACTCTCAGCGATGACGATATCCTTCTCAGAATTTGCGGGCCTGATAGTCACAGCGGGTGACTTTCCCAAAGGGTGGACGGCCTTCAGGTCGGGACCCGCGCGCTTGTTTCCATCGCGCTTGTAGACCGCGATGTCGTACTCAAGGCCAAGCTCTTCGAGCAGCCATATAACACGCTGGCCGCGAGATTTGTTCAGCCTACGTGATTGAATGATTAGTCGTGATTACCGGGATGGCGATGACGCAAGGCGGTAGAGTCACGCGGCTGTCGCATAGCAACTTACCAATGAACGGTGATCTTTGCTCCCTGCTGGTTCGACATGCTTACAACGATTCCTAGCAGTTCTAGAGATGGTATATACAGGTAAGATTGATGTTCGACGTCAAATGCGACAACAAGATGAAGTTTCGAATATCACCGAGGTTCTTTGACGAATTTATCGATTGCCGTCACAAGCTTCGGCGTTCAGCCCGTCGGTGGTTGGCTGGTTGCACTGCCCGCTCGGGCGTATCATGGCTTAGTGTCGGCTGGCCGACGCTCCGAAGTATCAAGGAGAAGGAGGAATTTTGCCGCATGTTTGCCATATTCAGTACTTCAATGAATATTGAGGGTGTGTAAGACGTGAGGAATCGGGTTGTGATGTCGCAAACATCTGGCGCGTGATGAACGAACTGGCCGTCATAGCGACTTGAGTGTCAGGCACCGCCTCATCCGAGGAGATGGGAAACTCTTCACTACACTAGAAAGATTTAGAAGAGTTATGAGCAGCTCGAAAATATCTACTCGTGTATTTCTGTGTCATTTACAGTCGTTGTACATGATGCTATCGTGAAGCGCCAAGACCTGACGGCACTTGCCGCAACTCCGCCGACCTCATCGCGCGCACCTCTTCAACCTCACGCTCACCAACTGCGCAACCCTTCCACACGCGCAAAAGTCCGCAAACATGCAGCCAACTTTCCGCAGAATGGCGGGTCACAACCACGGCAGTATGTATCATCACGTCAAGAAGCATTGGAGCGCAATCGCTGACAGCACGCAGTGATCCACTCGGATCCCGCCATTGTCAAATGGGCCAGTACGTTTACCTCCGACCCCACTGCCCACAGCCCTCCATGACACCGTAGAAATTGGCGCAATCGCGAGAGGATCGTGTTCAACAGCGCAAGAAACACAATATGGAGGGTAGAGGAGAGGGTGCAGGCAGTATCGGGTATTGACGACGAATAGACATGACCACCAACCGCCACAAGTACTTCCGCTGGACGAAACGAACAGCTTGGCTCACATTTGCCTACGTTGTCCTTGTGCCGAGTATGTTGGGTACGGCAGGATACATGACCGAGGTGAGTTTGGATAAGCACGGATGTGGGTGGTGGGGAAAGGCGACATGCGAGAGACTCGATCACGGAAAGCAGAATAGAACAATGCTGACAGGATGATTTAGGGCAAGTGGGACATGCGCGGCAAGCGGAGGGGCGACACCATCTCCGAATTCTAGACAGGAGGGTTGGAGACTGAACAAGCGAAGTAAATGAGGCCGTGTACATATGGAATACCATTGCATCACCAACGTCATACAGTATCTCTCTGCTACCCCAGCGCGAGTGAAGAAACATGCGGTGTCCCTGTTCTGTCATTCACCTACGTCTGGTTATGACTATCTTCTGCAATCTTGGTATTCCATACCGGACTGTTAGAACGTAGGTCTTTCAGACTCAAGCTGACTAGGTGTTGATCAAAAGGTCAGAACTGTGTGAGGAGATGAGGGTACGAAGGTGCAGGTCCACTGCATGTTGTGCCCTGCACAAAAACGTACCCTAATGGTATACCATGTCTTATCTTTTATCAGCAGTCAAGCGGGGAAACGCAGCGAACATTTCTACGGTACGTGATTATGGTAGATAAAAGTCAAGAAAAACTCCTTGTTTACTGTATCGCTACTGTTGCCCCTAGTCTAAATGCCATACTAAAAACAATCTAACGAATGTCCATGTACAAAAGAAAGCACAATCTAAGCCGTATAACACTCTAAAATGAACGACTTCCTAGCACCAACATTCCTGCAAACCTGACTCCCACCCAACCTTACACCCACCGACCAAGTGCACAAGTCACTCAACTCTAATACCCACTTGTGGCAGAGGGGTAAGCACTCAAAGAAGCCGACGGAGCCTCATAAGGAATCCCACATCTCTTCGCACAACTCTCCACAATCGCCGTGAAGTCACTGGTAAGCTCCGGCCTCAACCCAGCAACCTGCTCCGGCGTTAAAAACTCACTATATCCCGCACTCGCCTCAAGAACCTCATCTGGAGTGCCCGAAAAGAACCCACGAGCAGCCTCAACACGTCCCGGATCGTTGATATCGAAGCCAGCGACAAAAACAGCTGGCTCGCACTCTGGGTTGAACTGCCAGTGGATGAGACCCCTGGGGAAGAGCATACCCGTGTAGTTGGACAATGTGGTCTCGATTTGTTGGTATGGACCACGTACGGGTGGCGCGCCACCAACGACGTTGCCAAACCCGCCGTCATTTTCAAGAAGAAGGGCGCCGATCAATGTGCCTTGGACTACGGTCAAGAACTCGTTGGCACGTGGATGCCAGTGTGGCGTGTTGAGGCCACAGGCGTTCACGAAGCCTACGGCTGCTGCTAGGCCTGTGGGACCTAGGGCGGGGAAGTTGTTGATAGTGGATAGGTAGATGGAACCGGCTGTGGGTGGTAGCACGGTGTTGTTGAGGAACTGGAAGGTGTCATTTGAGGCGTTTTGGGGGGTTGGGGAAGAGGATTGCTTCACGGGCGGATTCGGATTGGGCGAGGAGGAGGGCGTTACGTTGGGTGGTCAGTTCGGCGGCGGTGAGGATGTTGACTGTGTTGGGGTTGATCTCGCGTTTGGTGTTGGAGATGGGGTTCGCTGTTGCGAGGGTTGCCAGGAGGGCGCTGAGGAGGAGGAGGGAGTGCATGTCTGCTTGTAGATGGCTGGGCAGATGAATTGATCTGTTGCTTGAGAAGATGGGAAATGTGGTGATGACTCTCTGGCAGGATGTTGAGCTGTCTTATATACTTCTACATGCGCCTCCATGGACAAAAAAGGCTTGCTTCTTGCTCACTCCATTTTCTTCTCGAGTCGTTATGTCCGTCTGCTCCACCTAAGCCACGGCTGATGACAGAATCCATCAATATGACCAGTTCTTACCCGTGTGACACTGAAAAAGACGTTAAACACGGCAACTCTACAGACTCGTTCGACACGTTCGTGCTCATAATCGTAACACGGCCATCACCAGGACAACTATGAATGCCTTGAAATGTGCAAAATAGACGAAGGTTGTTGGTAGTGAAGATGGTGGTGGAGTGAGTATGGACGCCGACATGACAATGAGGATCAATAAGCGTTGGGTGTCTTGGTGAGCTTGAGGGTCAGGGCTGAATTTCGCGTTCATACCCCTTTCACTCACGAACACGATGAAGATATTCGGATGACGCTACGGTTTGTTCACAAGTCCATCCATGACCACCAGCACAGTGTTGAAGATACTCAACAACGACACTGCCAGCAGCAACCCTTTGTCTTTTGTCACATAGAGCCATGGGGGCCCTCGTAATGAGATGTTTCTTTCATGGAACTCCTAAAGATGACTCCTTCTAGTCCCATGGACCAAATGCACGTTCATTCAAGCCTAAAAGATGGCGTTATACATGACGTTTCTCCAGCGGTGAGCCCGCTTCCAATTGCCCTCATCGCAAAAACTTCGGTTCAAAATAGCAATTACTTGAAGCCCATACCCCACAGCAACATCTGGAAGACCAAAGCTCTGGTAGCAGACCAATAGCCGCACACCACGTGATCCACAATTCAAATGGGTGTCGTTGAGTAACCGAAGTTGACAACACCATCGGCACCTTCCGTCCAAACACGAATACCTAAGCTCATCTTGCGTGCATAACATCTATACAAAAGCAAATTAGTTACTGTACTCGTGATCAAATTTGGCTTGTCGATGTGCAAATCACGCAAATCATTGTAAGCAAGCCGTATGTCTTGGCCTTGACCTCAAGCTTACGCGCCACTCCACCCTAAATCATAGACTAGCGTATCAAAGCCACTCGTGGAAGCCTCTTTCGCATAGTCTTCTTCCAGTCGCGTGCCATTTTTGTGGCGGTGTTGGATCCCCAGTTTCGTAATGACTGTGCGCAGTTACGGTCTACATCTTACGGGTAGTTTCTGATTATTAACTCAGTAGGAGACTGCACTAGGTAGGCTTCTCGACCGGGATACTTGAAGTACGTCACTGAGCGGCTCATGCGAACTTGTAGTGGTGTCGTACGTGAGCTGTTCACAGGTAAGACCGGAGTGCTATGATCAGTCACACTACGGTCTGTAAGCGAAATCATAGTTGCATTCGTTCAATGCTAACAAAAGGCTCATTCAATGTCGAGTGGGGGAAAAAAAAATCAAAAACATACAACAGCGGGGATTCGCCAGTGGTCACCCACCTGACTACTAATCCGCCGGTATCTTGCTTAACTAGGGCTGAGCGAACGGGAAGCCGTGATCTCAAGATCCTATGGTCGTATGTGAAAGAATTGGATGCGTGATACACTTATATTCGGAGGTCGAGGCTCGTGCAGGATCTCTGGGACCGACTCCGCCCGAGATAATCTCCTAACCTAGCCACTGCCTAAGAAGCCTCTTGAGGAATTCCGTATCCGTTCATTAGTAAAGGCTTCGATCTTCACTGCGCACAAAACGACTTGCATGTTCTTGTCATCGGCATCGCTTCCAATAGGTTCGACGCGAATGCGCCAGTGCGCGCGTTTTATCGTCCATTCCAACTCCTCTCCCTCGTCGGCGTTGAAAGACTTGCCACCCCACAACCAGCCGTCCTTTTTGTCCGGTCGGCGAATGCCCAGGTAGGCTCCTTCACCAATGGCGAGCTCTGCTGGTGATCCGTCGACTTCTAGAGCACAATCTTGGTCAACTCGTACGCGAACACGACGTTCGCTAACGCCCGAATTAGCGGGGCTGACGGGCTGCGCTGCAACTCCTCCGCCGGATTGCAGGTACATAAGGCCTAGAGGTTGTGTAGCGGGCAAGCCCATCTTGGAAGCTATGACAGAGAAGAGAGAGGACACTCGTGCGAGGGTCGAGTTATGGAAGGTTGCTCGGAGTTCAGCTTCAACTAAAGGCTCTTGCTGCGCCAATAGTGGAAGGTACAGCATTGTTGACTCTGATGACGCGATTTCCACGACGAGGACGTTGCTATTCGCATGGTCATCCGTGTACGGCCGTGCATACGATACATATCCCGCCTTCAAGACTGCACTGCTGCTTGCTGTTGACGTGGCTGGACTCGCGACCTTACTCATGGATAGAGAGTTTGGTGAGACGCCCGCTGACCCCGAGTCTAAGTCGCTGAGACCTCTATCAGGAATGAACGAGATACCAGACTGTCGAATATCTTCAATACGAATCAAAATCTCCGACTCTTGACGTTTCAGGTTATACGAAATCTCGCAAGGTATAATCTTTTGCTCCAAGCCTTTAAGGTGGAAGTACCGCGCGTCCCTCAGTAGACGAGAACGATGTGCTTCGTTTCGTATCTCGACGTTATAACCTTGCAGTAGTTGAATCAGCTCGCCAAATATCTGCCCGTTTCTACTAGGCACTGACGGAGGCTTGATGGACGGTGGTCGAAGCAGCGCATCGCGATCCAGTCCCGGAAAGGCTTCGGATGGCGTCGAGAAGAAATGTGCAAACCCAAGCGAGAAGTAATTCGGGCTGTCTCCTGGAGCGGAGAAAAGATCGCGTTGTATCTGGAAGGGTGTTCCCCCAATGTTCACAAAGATGTCGGTGCTGAATAGCTGTTTGGTAAGGCGAGGCACTGCTAACATTAGCATTGAACCCTGTGGCTACACATTGCTGAGCTTACGAGAGTAGAACTGCGCATCCGCATATAGCTTCACAAAATGCTCACCATCTCGCGGTGTAATGTGGTAGCCTTGGAGATGAAGCGCAATGTCGCGAAAAGTATCAGGGTCGCGATCGATGTACAAGGTCCTTATGTCGCCAGCTCGACCGCCATTGTCGTGCAGCTGCTGGCTGAAGAAATGCGAAAAGTGTGAGGGTGCTCTAATAGTCTCAGTTACTAGAACCTCTCCATACATCCAGCGCATGCTTACCATCAGACGCTAACGAGGCTCCTGACAGCCTGAACAACTCGGATCCAATCTGTATGGGGAACACCTTGCCAGCAGGAAGTATGTCTAGCCCACCAGGCGACTCAGGCACTCTGCGCGGTGTCGAGACATCAATGACCCTTCCCTGTGGCCCAGTACCCTTGCTCTGCTCCTTCCGTCGCTCGGTATCTGTATTCTCTCGTGACACGGGCTGCGGTACAGCTTCGGTAGAAGCATGGACTGCAGTTCGCGCCATTGATGGTGTACGAGCGTCAGCCGGGGCTGGTAGGACTGGCGAAGCTGTTGCGGCGTCGGATGAGTGTCGCGACACGTTCTGGCGCTTCGCTGGGTTCTCTGTTCCGATACCACCACTTTGCGGTACAGTTGAAGAAGGCTCAGAATCAATTTTCCTCTTCATACCCACTTGATTAGCTGATCTTTGTTGCTGCTGTGGTTGGGCTGGCGGAGGCGGCGGAGACAACTGGCCCTGGCTTTGCGCAGCATTTGGCGTTGGAGTAGCGCTCTGGCTTTGGGGAAATGCTTGATACGCCGCTTCCCCCGCGGTAACAGGATGTGGAATGCTGAAGTCGTTGGTAGGATCTATTTGACTTTGGTACTCTTGAACAAGTTCACCCTGCGGCTCGTACTGATTCGTGAAGTCGGAAAAGTCAATCGCATCCCAGCCTGCAGGCGCAGAAGAGTTAAGGCCAAAGCCGGTGAGATGTCCTGGCATCACTTGGTGTTGTTGCGCGTTACCGGTATAGTTATGAAATCCCGCGGAAAAGTCATGACTATGCGCCTGGCTTGTAGCCTCGGACGCATTCGCGTTGTGCTCGGCATGGTAGCCGCCGTAGAACTGCTGTGGGTGCTGTTGCGATGCTCCACCTGCTTGGTCAGATATTTGAAATGCAAAATCGCGAGATGTCGCGCCCGAACGGTCGGACATTGGCTAGCTATACCGAGAATCGCTTCGCATTGAGCGACAAAAAGCCTCGGTGAAAGCAAGTTTTGGCCGCGCGAAGGGAAGAATCCTGGGATTGCTGATGGGAAGCTGAGTAAGAGCTCTGGCACGGGTACCTTTCGGGATCGATACTCAATGTGGTTTGGTGCTACCAGCGACGTAGTTGGGGGCCTGGGCGAGACTGAGGGGCAATAGAACCTCAACTCCAAGCAACGTCGCTGGTTTATGAAGACGCTGTACATAGCCGGTCCATATATCTGGGAGACTGTACAGGCTGTGAGGCTAAGACTAAGGCTGACATAGCTAGCAGCTGGTAATCGGCGCGGAATGACCGATGGGAAACTGAAGCTGACGTGAGGTGCTTTGGTTCCAACAACCAGATCATGGCGCAGCGCGCTCTGATTGAGCAGCATGCCACCCTGCATTTCCCATTGTCGAACCGACCGCCAGGGCGAAGTTCATGGTTGTTAGTATAATAAGACTTATTTGTTGTTACTTGTAGTTGTCAATGCTAATATTGCGACTACCTCCAGGCTGGTACTTCACGAGTAACTCCACGGCTCTAGATCTCAAACACGGCGTTAAGATCTGAATCATGTAAAAGACATTGATTCTGGTCTAAAGATCACCATCTTTTGAACCATATTTGATCTCACGAGTGTAATGCAATTCTTGGACATTATGAGTTGGGTCTATTGCAGCATATTTCCTACTCGATCGTACTGTTACATAAAATCGCCGTCTAAGCGAAGCAAGATCTAACTTGAATGACTGCAAGTAAACGCAAAACACATAGAAGAAGAAATGTGATATCGAACCAAACCCATGCCAGCCATTATGCAAGAAAAGACAGACTTTTGTGTGACAAGTCCACCTCGAGACCTGCTGTCATGGCTGTCCTGGTATCATCTCCTCCGTCACTCTCCCCAAATCGCAGAAGACGAACATTTAGTTGGTCTTAGCGATCTCGACACCTCCGGTGGCGCCAAGAGCCTTCTTGATGTCACCATAGATGGCGAACTGACCAGCAGTCAGGGTACCAACCATGAAAAGACGGGCACCGATACCACCGAATGAACCACGGAGACCGAGCTCCTTGGCGATCTTGATCAAACGGGAGGTGGTTCCCTCTCCGGGAAGACCCTTGGTCTTGTTAATCCTGGAGAGCATGGTGTCGGCAGGCTGGGAGATGATGGCGGCGGCGAAACCAGCAATGATACCAGAGCCCAAGTTGTAGACAGTCTGCATTCCGTTGGAGGTCTGGCTCTTGTCGACGACGGAGTAGACGGCCTCGTTGACCTTCTCGAAGACGGCGAACTTGGCCATGGTGTAGGGAACCCTGTTATATCGTTAGTCGAAATCCAACCTGCACCCAGAGAAGGCTGCTACGTACTGCTTGAACAGGATGGGTCCGAAACCAGAGTAGAAAGCACCGACACCCTCGTTCTTCAGGATCTTGGAGAATCCACCAACAAGACCATTGGCGAAGGTTGGGTCACCGACGAGACGGATACGGGTAGCCTCGAGAGGGCAGAGGGCGACATCGGCGAAGAACTCAGCGACAGCGGCAGAGGCGAGGTAGACGGCAGTGCGGTTGTTGGCGGCAGTCTCGTAACCGACGAGGTTGATGGACTGCTGCTTGAAGAACTCGTAACCTCCGAACTTGAAGGCACCCTGGAGGAAGTAACCAGCAGCGGTAGGACCGAAACCGGTCCAGACAGCGCCCATACCCTCATTGGCGATGGTCTTCCTGAAGCCACCGATCAGACCGGTGTTGTAGGTGACAGGGTCAAGTTGTATCCTGGTCTTGACGCTGTTGCACATGTTAGCTTGGCATTCCATCGTCATTTTTGATAGCTGTCAACTGTCGCAAAACGTGTGCGATACAGCCACTGGCGTCGTCCGAAGCCATTGAGGGGCGGCAAAACGTACACATCGACGGGTGTGAGGGCTCCGTGGGTGACGGAGCAGCAGACGGCACCGGCGAAAGCGAATCGCGAGTACAGATCAAGGCCAGTGGGCGCGGTAGGGTCGGCGGCCGCAAGCTTAGCCTTTGCGGCATCGACCTTGCTGGAGCCGGTGGCGGTGGGAGGAGGAGAGGTGGCCATTTCGCTGGTATGGATAGTAGAAGCGAAGGAAGTGGAGTGGAGAGGTTTGGTGGTGTTGAAGATGGACAGACGGAGATTAGGAAGCCGTGATAGTTGATGAGAAGTTTTGTTCTTGGCGTTGGACCCGTTCTTTCCCGACTTCAATCCGGATACCCGCCCTGTCGCAAATCCTCCATTCACGTCACTGTGATTTAGGCGTGCCTATCGGCTTTCGTTAATCCCGCACCCGAATTCCTTTACGCATATTGATTTTTTCACAGTACAAGATCGCGCGTTGTTCTTACATCACTCACGCGAGGCAGCTGGCGCTCAGGGGCTCGTGAAAAGACAGAAATTGACGTTTTCAGATCAATCGGAATCACATGTCGCTAATCCTCAACAACCGGGTTTAACATCTCTATCTCCGGCGGTACTATCAAACTTCTTCGTCTTCACTTCTCTTAATAGAAGCATCTTCAACATCGGCCTCGTTGCTAGAAATCGGCCTCTCGTCGCGATTAATCAAGCGGATCAGTCCAGTCAAGTCGCCATGTTTCGCTGCTGCAGCTTCCAGCAATCCACTTATTGACTCTTCCATCAAATTCACGTGCACAAGCATCTGCGTTGCAACTAGGCGCGTGCTCAACATGCCCTCCAGCGTCTCCTCCATTATCTTCACCGTAACCGGATCGTTCAGCCGTGCTGTCATTATACGCGCTCTCTCAGTTTCATTCCGACCTCTCAGATCAGCGCCAACGAACTTCGCCGTTCTGGACAAGACCATGTTATGGGTTGTCTTCATATCTTGAACTTTGCTTGCAGTTACTTCGAGAGTGGTCTGCAGATCCGAGAAGTAATTTCCTAGCTTGTTGTTCAAGGTATCATAGTCGTCCGCCTGAGTGCACCTGTCCAATATCTCTCCCCAGGACGGAGTATAGTCATATAGAATATCGTCTCTTTCTGCGCGTGGCTGCGCTGAACGAAGTACAGCTAACTTCAATAGCTCATCAATTCCGATCTTTCTCATTCCGTTTCGCGCGCATTGGATTCTGGTCATCAATTTCCGCATCGTTCTTTCTGCCAATCTCTTATTGTAGACTCTCCATCTAGCTGTACAGCGTCTTACTTTGTCTGGATTGCCGTCTTGCTCTGCGTCCTCCTTTTGACTCTGGTATGAACGTCTTTGCTTCTCACGATCGAAGCGGTACTTCAGTTGTCCCTGTCCAATCAATACCCACAAAGCAAGGTTTATACAATCATCTTTGTCCGCCACCTCAAACTCTTCCTGTCGAACATGCGCCAATAGAATGATAAGCATGTTAAATGGGTCCTGGTTCTTAAAAGATCTGGTTTCTGGTCGATATGCCTGAATGGCTTTCAGCAATCGCCGTTGAGAAGGCTCCAGAATACCATCATGGCCAATCTCATTGTTCTGATTACTATTCGTGTCGTCGCTCACGATCGCCGTAACCTTATCGACAACATTCACTCTCTCTTCCAAAGCAGCGATAAACGCCTTGCGCGCTGTAAGATCATCATTACAGTCGTCAGTAATGCGCTTGTTCCAGGCAAGTAGCACTTCCAACATGTCTTCTTTTGATTCTTCTGTTCCTGGTACTAGCGGCCTCGATCGTAATGGTGCAAGCATATCTTCAAACAAAGTGTCGCGTGGTCCTTCTCCGTTTCTAATTCGCTCAAGAACTGAGGTATCCATGCCTGGCTCATCCGAATTCAACGTCGCTGATATTCTTCGGTACCTCTCCCAGTCCGAGTCTTCTTCATCAGCATCCAGGAATGATTCATGTTCTTCCCGACATAGTTCTTCGAGTCTGGCTTTGACGTCCTCGAGATCGGCGTTCAGCGCCGCGTGTTTCTCATTACATAGATCCGACGAGGGTACTATTTCGCTCTTTTCGAAGGTAAAGCGCTCATCAAAATCCTCCTGCTCGGAGTCATAAACGGTGTTTGGATTAGCCTGACGCAAGCGTTCGCGCAAGCGCAAACGCGTAAATGCCTCCGACCCACGTACAGTTTTCGCACTCATTGTTGGTATACTTGTCCCACTGATTATTGCACCGTAAACTGACTGGCGTTCTGACATGTTACTGAGAATGATATTATTGGAAGTATTGGTTGTGCAATACCTTCGTCGCGGACTAAATATGCATACTCCAATTGTCACATTCTTCTACTGTCAATACTAGAGGGACGTGGAATGCAGACTTGATTCCAAGGCCGTGAAGAGTTACACGTCAACTAGGAGCACAGCAGCCATTCTCTTAGTTCGGTATGGCGCATGGGTAATTACATTGCTAAGATACGTCGGATTGGCGAGTTCCAGTCCAATGTTGGTTTTCAACATCCCAACCGTGGATCGCATATCGACCAAAAAGTAGCAAGTCACATCCATGGTTCATCATCAAGGATATGGTATATCAACGGAGGCCGTCATGGCCGTTTCTTCACCACACATGGAACTCTTCACACTATCTTGTCGCAAAACAAATCCTACGACTTTTCAAGAAGCTCTTCACAACGCCTTTCACACACCTCTTCACGACTCGGTTTCACAAACAGCCTCTCAAGTCCCTTCAGCTCATACTATGGCTTTCACCATGATGGTCCGCGCGCAATTCCGTACCACACAACGATTACAAGCCAAACAGCCCAACGAATACGAGCTCACAATCGTGCCTTCTGACCCTAGCTCGGCACCATCGTCGTTTCCAGCCGCTCATCCTTCAAGGGCGCCATCAAAAACGTCACTGACATCGTCTTCAACCGCCTTGATCGCCTCCATCAACACCACCTCCGCACCAACTGCAGTCTCCAAACCAATCTTGAAGGTCAAGAACATGGACATGGAATGGAAAGGCATCGATCTCACAGTTTGCAATATCATCCTACCCCGTACACCCGTTTTGCGACCCCTGGTGTTTCCCATATTTGGGTTGACACCTACAATTCCTGAACTGTGGCTAGATCTCACTGCACCCACGCCTATGTCGTTGCCTGAGACGCCGGTGCTGCGACCGATTAGTGATGAGAACGCGTTGAAGGAGATCCCAGAGTTGGATCTAGCTGTGTAGGAGTACCTTTTTTTGTGCGGTCTGTTTGCTCGGGTTGAAATTGGGATTGATATTACTACTACACGATTACCACATCTACACACCAGCGCGCGTTTACTACAGAACAGAATGAAACAAACGCAAGAACAATCAACCCCCAAGTTTAACCATATGTCGTTGCCAAGTCTACCTATTGCGTGCATTTCTACTAAAGTTCACTCATCATAATGTACATCAACTCGCATCAAATTGACCGCTCAACCCTCCAGATCCCACGACCAAACTTCTCTAAACTCCTCCCCGGTCAACTTCTACTAAATCCCTTCCTCGCCCCCATACTTTTCAACATGCTCCAGACGAACTCCTTCAAACTCGTCACTAGGCACCAACCCATCAACCCCCGTATCGCAAAGCTGCATAAGTCCGGTTTTCAGTTGCTGGGATGATTCAAACTCCTTGTACTCTCTCAGATATACTGCGTGTTCCTCGACGCTGGGTTAAGGAAACGGACATTCGCCTTTGAAGCCCAGTTCTTTCCAACGCAGCGAAGTTTGAATTAATTCCCGGTAACTGCTGTCATATGCGGGTGATTCAAGTTTGGCGGCTTCTTTGAGCTTTTCGTAGATAGGCTTCATGCACCTGACCGGCTCTTTCGCCATCATGCTTGGCCATCTATCGGCTAACCAGGTACCCGAGGCGTGTTCCATGATGATGTATTCGCTTCCAACGGCATTGGAAGCATCGTCGCTCCAGTCCAGTATCTTGGGAATGGGGATGCTGGTTACAGTTTGTACTAATATATTACAAAGTTAGTCATATATGGCTAGGCTATTTAGTTTCCTAGTTTGAGGGCTGAACATACAGTACTGTATGGTTGCGACTTTAGAGTTGGTTGTTAATCTTGGTGGCCCTGCTACTTGAAATGGTAGTCTTGCGACGACACGTTTCGTATTGTCGATATGGAAAACTAAGACGCGATTGAAGCCGCCTTCTTTTTCTCATATGAAGTGATAGAGTGCGCACCCGGACATACTGCGATGACTTTACGACACAAAGCGTCGAAATTGAATCGTACAGTGCGCGAATTCCGCTCGAGCACGTTACAATCAAGGTTATCGATGCAGAGAAGCTTTCAATCACTAAGAAGCATGACCAATCACTCAAACCGTACTCTAGCAGGTAAGGATTTTTGTAAATAATATTGCCGGGAAGTGTTTAGCCACTACAGCCCATCGAATGTGATATTTTTGATACAAGTTCCATCTGAAGGCACCCAACCGCTACATCTTCAGTCGATGCAAAGTTTTACCCCAGCCCTTGGGGATATGATGCAAATAAAGTGTCGCACATATTCTGACCCTCATCAGTCCCACAAGCCTCCCGTTGAACGCCAACGCTGATAATGCAAATAAAGCAAAGCCTAAGCTCTTACACCCGCAGGAGGCAACGATTTGTTGACCTCAGGCTTAGCGTCCTTTTCCGTATTCTTGAGACGCGCCAGGATGACGGTGAGCGTCTTCTTCTCTTTTCCGTCATTGTCTAGTACGTGAATTAGATCACGAAGTTGGATACCAGCGCCTGTCTCATTCTGCTCGATTGCATCGCCGAACTTGCGCTTCCGGCCCAGAAGAGCCTTTTCAGGAGCTTGAACTGCAGGTGTAGCGGTGCCACTGCCACCTGTTGCAGCAGCCGGCCGTGGTGTCGATGCACCTGATGCTGGACCGCCACCTCCACCAATCATCCACGAGTACTTCTTCTTCTTGCCGCCAAGCGCCATACTGGCTGTTTCGTTGGCTTTGCCAAACACGACAACATCTGACTGACTCTGCTTCTTGGCGAACGCCAAAGCTTTCTTTGTGACGGGTTCTGGCATGGGTATGGGGATAGCTGGCGTATCTGCTGAGGAAGACGAGGCGCCTGCTTGACGCTTTGCGCGTTTCCGAAGTCGCTCCTGCTCCCACTTGTAGTCATCCTGAACACGCTTTGTGAGCGCCTGGGCTACGTGGTTGACGTTTTGGTATGTTCGCTGTGGGGTTGGAGGTGCTTCGCTTGGAGGCGTTGGTAGTCGTCCCGCATTGGGAACGCCTGAGTAAGTTAGCAATCATATACACATCATTCAGGACAAACATACCCTTGCTGGCTGTCGTTATTGGGCTGACAGCGCTGTCCGGAGCCTCCCACGGCGTCTTCAAGATGTTGAGTGGTGGGGCCATTTTCTCCTGTGCATTCTCTTCTACAACGGCAACGTCAAGCATCTGGGGTGGAATGATGCCATGAGAAGTATTTTGACGACCTTGGCATAGAGCGAAAGAATCCTCGACCACGGTACGTATGCGCTCCTCGGCAGCCAGGGAAATTAGGGTCAGAATCTCCACAAGCGGAGCGTTCTGGTTCAGTAGACTGGCAGCCTCCAAGCCTACGATTTGTTCGCCATTAGCACCAGCTTGCGTAGTACGTGTGATTTCTTGCTGGCCCTTGTCTGGGATTTTGTCAAACAGACCATCTACATTTATCTGAATGCCGTGCTCATAACCACGCTTCGCAATGCGATGCCTAAGAACACTCGCTTGTAGGAACGGATCGTTGAGCGGCTGCTGGGCGGATTCGTTCAGAATTCTGGCTGCTTGTTCGTGCTTCCTGATGAACTCGGCTTCTTGCTGCTCCTTGGTCATTTCCTGACTGAGCGCACCGGTCCCCTGGAATGCGCCATGGCCCGACTGCTGGCTCCAGTTGTTGAAGCTAGCATGTGGCGATGCTGTAGACCCCGACGCCTGCGAGTTGAAGCTCCTGTAATTGTGTAGCAAATTGTCCTCCTCGGCGCGCAAGTCAATACCGGATCCCGTAAGAACATCGCTGATATTGTTAACATCGAGATCGCGCGCATTCGCCTTCTCCAGTTCTGAGTTGTCCGCTGTCTTGCTGTATGGAACCTTGGGTGGCGGCATGGAACCCTGAGGCGCTGGCTGTTGTCCATTCGGATGCTGGTACGGCTGGGGCTGGTGGAATGGCGGAGGCTGCATCGCGGCGGGCGATGTAGGCAATGAGTGATAACCAGGCGTCTGCGGGGATGCGGTATACGGAGAAGGAGGATACGTGGGCGCGCCAGGCATGCCGAAAGGCGATTGGTATGGCGCGGGTGAGGGCGGATTCGGGGACAGACGCTGACGCTTATTCGGAGGAATGCCGCTTCCCATAGTTGGGGATAGGGCTGTCGGTGACTGCTGGTAGTTTTGCGGTGAGAAGGCGCGTTGCTGTTGATGGTGATTCAGGTTCTGCGTTTGCACGGGCGGCGGGGGCTGCTGGCCCGGTGGAGGATACTGGTTGTAGTTTGGGTAGGCCATGATGGGCAGCTCGTCCCCTGCGGGGAGTTGCGCAGGTGAAAGGGATTTATCGGCGCGTCATCCGGTGGCGGTGGATTCCAGAGTCGACAAGGCCAGCTCTTGGACGTGTTCTTCGGCAGTCGCGATGGGTTGAGTCGGTGGGCGCGTCGGTATTGGTGATGTCGCGGTCGACAAAGCCGAAGTTGAATCTGGAATGACGAGCACGGACTGGGTCTTGGCAGTCGCGCGCCAGACAAAGAGAGCCGCAATGGTCATCTAACAACCACTCCATTCTCACTCGACGCTGCAACACCTTCCCTCCCACCCTTGGATTTTCCAATCGAGGCGTTGATTAGCTTTGCGATACTAATCCGCGACTAATGAGATAGATCCAAACGCTTCTCATAGCTACTTTACGCGTTCTTCGTCGGCTGCAACTCACACACCTAATAGCCTCACCTCCGCTTCTGTATAACGCGTACCAGACTGTCGCACCTCAACCCGCACAATCATGGCGTCGAAGAGAAAGGCAACTGCGATGGCGCCCGAGGACGAAGACCCAATAGATCCCTCCGACGAGCTCATGTTCCTCTGCTTGGGAGGCGGTAATGAGGTCGGTCGGTCGTGTCACATCATCCAGTACAAGGGCAAGACAGTCATGGTGCGCATACAGGACTGGAATATTGTACCGCGACCATGCTAATGCCGAACAGCTTGATGCCGGTATGCATCCCGCACACGAAGGCTTGTCGGCAATGCCATTCTACGATGACTTCGATCTTAGCACTGTAGACGTGCTACTAATTTCACAGTATGTATACGCGCGTCTTGCTTGTCATGGTAGTTGGGGTTCGGCGCATCACTGGAGTCGGACCATGAGCGCGCAAAGGGCACTCGCAGTTCAGCGACTTGTATATCACTATGAATGGAATATTATTTGCTTCCTCTCCGCTCGACTTCGATGATGTGCCCCTCCCTGGTTCCCACCAATGTATCTACCACTTTGGGCGCTTCTTCCTGACTCGTCCCTGAGTCTTCTAGCCATCGTCCATCATGCTGACATTAGGCTAGTTTTCACGTCGACCATGCCGCCTCTCTACCTTACGTGCTTGCGAAGACCAACTTCAAGGGTCGTGTATTCATGACACATCCGACCAAGGCCATCTACAAATGGCTGATTCAAGATTCCGTCCGTGTCGGTAACATGTCGAGCAATTCCGAGACCAAGATCCAAATGTACACCGAGGCGGACCATCTCAACACGTATCCCATGATTGAGTCGATCGACTTTTATACTACACACACTGTCTCTGGTGTGCGGATAACACCATACCCTGCCGGCCACGTCCTTGGAGCAGCCATGTTTCTCATGGAGATTGCAGGCTTGAAAATATTATTCACTGGTGACTACTCGCGAGAAGATGACCGACATTTGGTATCAGCGTCAGTACCACCAGGCGTCAAGATCGATGTACTCATTACTGAATCAACATTCGGTATCTCGATGCATACGCCACGTGTCGAGCGAGAGGCACAGCTCATGAAGGCCATCACCGACGTCCTCAACCGCGGTGGCCGAGCTCTGCTTCCAGTTTTCGCTCTAGGCCGAGCCCAGGAACTTCTTCTCATTCTCGACGAGTACTGGAGTAAGCATCCAGAGGTCCAGAAGATACCCATCTACTACAACTCCAGCTTAGCACGGAAGTGTATGCAGGTCTACCAAACGTACGTCTCCGCCATGAACGACAACATCAAACGCCTCTTTGCCGAACGCATGGCCGAAGCTGAAGCCGCAGGAGATACTGGCCGGCGTGGAGCTTGGGACTTCAAGTTTGTCCGCTCACTCAAGAGTCTGGAACGATTCGACGATCTGGGTGGATGTGTTATGCTTGCCTCGCCAGGTATGATGCAGTCCGGTACATCGCGTGAGCTGCTGGAGCGATGGGCACCCGACCCAAGGAACGGTGTAATCATCACTGGTTACTCCGTCGAGGGAACTATGGCGAAGCAAATCGTTCACGAGCCAGATCAGATCCCGGCAATCATGACCAGAGCCAGTAACTCAGCGCGACGACCAGGCCAGAGGGAGAATGAGCAGACTATGATACCCCGACGATGCACAGTCCAGGAGTACAGTTTCGCGGCACATGTTGACGGAAAAGAAAACATGGAGTTTGTACAAGAAGTTGCTGCTCCTGTTGTTGTAAGTTCAGCTCTTGCTCAGCATTGACGGTGAAGAAGCATATACTGATCAAAGTTTAGATTCTTGTTCACGGCGAGAAGGGTAACATGACTCGTTTGAAGTCCAAACTTCTCTCCTTCAACGCTCAGAAAGCCGTCCCCACGAAAATCTACTCGCCAGCCAACTGCGAGGAACTTCGCATTCCTTTCAAGACCGACAAGATCGCCAAGGTAGTTGGAAAGCTGGCGTCTATAGCTCCACCTCTGCCTCGTTCTTTGACTCCCAACGGCGGTGAAAGTGGGGATGCTGGAGAGGACCAAGAAGGGGAGAAGGTGGACATGATCAGTGGTGTCCTCATTCAAAACGACTTCAAAATTTCTCTGATGGCACCCGAAGACCTGAAGGAATACGCTGGTCTAACCACAACTACCATTTTATGTCGTCAGCACCTCACCTTGTCAGCCGCTGGCGTCGACCTTATACGATGGGCTCTCGAAGGAACCTTTGGCGCTATCAAAGAGAGCAGTCTCACCGATGCTGCCGTTGACGGCAAGGTGAATGGCAACGGCACAACCCACAAGGAAGAAGCAGACGAAGAGGTCAGTCGAACAGAAACAAAGTTCACAGTAATGGACTGCGTGAACGTCTTGATCAAAAACGGAGGAAGAGTAGAAGTAGAATGGGAAGGCAACGTAATCAACGATGGTATCGCCGACGCCGTCCTCGCTGTCCTCTTCACAGTCGAATCCTCACCAGCAGCTGTTCGACGTAAGTCACTCTCCCTACTTACCCAAAAATCCTTTATCAAGACTTACGCTGACAAAACATGCTAGAATCCTCAAAACAACACTCTCACACGCATACCTCTCCACCCAAAGAAGAGGACGATATACCCACCACAAAACTGAGCCATCGCTTTAAAAACTCTCATCCACATCGCACTACAGACCCCTCCACCCGCCTCGCCCGCCTCTTCCTCTTCCTAGAAGCTCAATTCGGCGAAGAAGCAGTTCGTCCCATCACCTTGCCTCGCAACAGCACTACAACCGCTACTGCAAACGGAACTCCCGCAGCTAACCCGGACTCCATGGATACCTCCACCCCGGATGACACCAAACCATCAGAGCCTTTTAGCGTCGCCGCTCTTCCCCCGCCCATCTCACCAGATGATCAGTTATCCGCAGAAGACAAGGCAGAGTTGAAAAGACTGCATAATCTGGGTATACCTGTTCCGGGCGTGGAGATTAAGTTTGATAAGTGGGTTGCGAAGGTTTGGTTGGAGGATTTGGATGTGGAGTGTGGGAACAATGCACTTAGGGCGAGGGTCAAGGCTGTGGTTGAGAGGGGAGTGGAGACGGTTAGTGGGTTGTGGCGGTAGACTGGATTTGTGGGGAAAAGTAACGAGATTTTTGTGGGTAAGAACATGGGTGAGAGGGAGGGCTGGAGTTCACTTCAAGGATCCGAGTTAGGGTGGTGTCCTTCTGTTACTTGCATTGTTTTCGAGAGGATATGTGCTGTGTCCATGTGTAGTGAGGAATTTCGAAGATGGTGTTAGAATTCGCACTTCTGAGTCTCATGTTGCTATGAAATGCTGTGACGCTGGAGAGTAAACATGGCGATACATTGTATGCTTTTCTTGTCTTATCTACAGAAAACTTAACATCATTCCAGTAGGTGTGGAAGCTTCGAAATGCAGCTCCAAACGACTGCGGAAATGGAGAGTAGTCTGGAAAGATTTTGTATCAGGTCCGCATTGTTTGATGTTGGTACCGGCGAAGAGAAGACCGTGGCATGGTCATGACGCAGCCTGAAATTAACATACTGCTAAAAGATAATGTGGAGACCCGAAAATGGTGAAAGTGCCCAAGCTTTGAGGTTGAGGAAGTTAAATGCCGCGTCCGGAGAAGTTGCATAACGGGGTACAGCGTTCGGCTCACTATCACAGTATCGTATTGAAAAGCATTCAGTTTCTTCTCGCTCAATTGGATAGGATGGTGCCTGGATACCGTGTGCACTTCTTCTCCCGGAAAGAATACCTCGAAGACTTCACGAGAGCGAAGCGATGCCTATCGCTGCAGGACAAATACTGCTGCTGACGCTACTAGTAGATGTGAGAAAAACCATATATTTCCTTTTGATGGAACGAACCCTTTGGTTCGATACACAGGGCGCTTGCAAGTCTGTCTACTATTCTAAGCCTGAAACGCGTTCGTGAAATGCCAGGCACCTGCGGGCATTGTCGCGTCGCGGGTCCGAGTTTCGGAATTGTGGCGGTGCAATGGCCCTTCCTTTTCGGAAGCACTGCCCTTGCTTGCAAACCTTGTTGTGTTGAAGGCGAACAAAGGCATATACACTATACCAAAAACGCCTTGAACGTGTAAAGTTGTTGTCGGCAAATATTCTGCGATAGTTTACCAAGTCCAACTGCATACCGCAATGCCTGCCTTACCGGCCCGGCGGCATCTCTAAGGGTCAAGCCTCAGCGCTAAACCCACCTGGCCCCCCTCGCTCCAGCCACAATCGTCACAGCGCATGGGTCTCTCAACTACGCGGATCCATGCCATGGCAGATAGCTACCCCCCAGCCATCTGATGGGGGGCCGCGATAGACTACCGCACCCTTGCTGCGGAAGGCCTTGGGCGCCTGTTGCAGCTGCCTTGTGCTCTTCTCCAACTTGATCTGTGGCTGTGACTACTTGGACTGCTAATCTCTTTGTACTGTGTTGTGTGGTACGTACCGCAGCCAGCCTCCAACTGATTTGGACATACAGCTTCTTGGTGATATAGCTTACGGTAGCTTCTTAGGTTGTGCTTTGAGGAAAGCAGACGCTCTTTTGGCAGCACTGAAGGAGTACTTGGGAGAAGGACGGTATCGTGGCTTTGGAAGCTTATCATGGAGGTATGCATACAGCTCAACCCTCCCATCTGATATCGAACCAGCTAACCTTTTTCTAGAACACTACTACTGCATCATACAGTGACTCTCCAGCACACGCGCGAAGCACATCACCCGCACAACACGTATCACCAAGTTCCTCAGACTCCTCAGCGACGATAAAGCCATTACCCGCAATACTACACACGCCTCCTCCTTATGCAGAGGATGAGCCATATCGCGATGAGCCACCAACACCATCACAAGCAATGTCCTCGACGCGTCAAACCACACCACCCGCATATCATGGCCAGTCTCAACACAATCTGAGTTACCAACCGTACACAGACTCACCACCACACACCCCAATCGCCGACGACGTACCTCTCGCCCACCTCATCTCCACACATGCCTACACGCAGCAGTCAACGGAAAGCTCTTACCACCCTGGCGACGCATTCTACCCGGCCGACGCACCACCACCATACGCAATCGCTGTCCGACAATCGTATCGTGACACACTCATTCAATTTATACCCAGCAGCCACCACGACCCTCGAGTTGCAGAAGACGAGGAAAGTCAGCTGGGCATAGACGTGACAAGACCGGACGATGTGCGGTATTCAATTGAGAAGATTGTTGCCATGTTTGTCGTTGCGGTGATGTTGTTGGTTGTGTCGGGGGTGCTTGGTTGGCTGGCGTTGGGGAATATGTGATGCGAGGGAACGGAAGTGAGATGAGAGTCAGTTGGGGTTCAGGAATGGGTACAGGACTAGGGGTGGATATGATACACACGCGAACTATTCTCGCGACCACTTTGGATATGATGGCAGTGGAAACTTATTGAGGGTTTCGCGTTGGATACAAGGATTTCGAATAGAATTATGGAAGAGGCTTTTTTTTCCACCTAAATTCATGTATTGGAGAAAAAAAAAGATGATCTGGTCATATGTGCATAATTAGACGCCAGCATCACAGGTACCTGCATTAGATCAACATACAGAGTTGCTGGACAGCGTTGTGTTGCCTGTTTTAGCATTAATACTTTGGACTGCGATGGACGCTAGCTTACCACAACCAAACAAATCGTGTTCCAATATTAGACACCAGCCTTATGGACCCTGGTGGGGAGCTTTACCAAGTTTAGTGGGTCCGCATGGGTATCGGAACAAGGCAATGCGAAAACCGAATTGCAAACTGCGTAGAGAGATGAAGCTTTATGTTCTTGTGCAACTCTAGCCAACCCATTGCTCGCATAGGGAAAGCTATCCGTCATGTGTAGCCTGAGGCATCTAGAGTGCTGATGTGAGCAGTGTGCAGCGGAGACCCACACAAGCTCGGGCTTGTAAGGCGGTAGGACTGTTGATGGGATGGTTAGGCCACCAGAGGGAAATGGCATCCTGCAGGATCAAGCTTTGGAGAGTTCTTCCTGTCGAGCACGTGGTGACTTTGGTAAAGCATCCTCCAGGAATACAGTACGGTGAGAACCGGGGTACCGCTAAAAGAATGTTGGAAACCGCTGAACAGGCGGGATAGTGTTTGGCAGCGGCTTGACGTGGCTGGTTCTGAGCGATTCAATTAGTGTGTGGCGTCGCTGTAGTGCTCTAGGATGTTGACCGGCGGAGGATGACCCGCTATTGTGTACAATTCACCCCGCCGCGTCAATTTCGCCAGCAAGCGCCCTGGCCGGGAACGGGCAACGAAGTGATCTCGCGCCTTGTATCTGCCGTGTCAAGCTTCGAGGATACAAAGCCCGTCATCAAGCATCCTCAGCCAATTCCTCGGGGACTGTGCCGCACCCCCAGTTGGCGGGTTTTCCCTCACACAGCCTTGCAGCTTGCTCCGTTTGGACAGTGCCCAGCTTGCTGTCAGCCGCAGCAGCACCTCTCCCAAATATCCTTGATCGCACCCCACCTGCTGAATCTCAGCCCTCTCCCTCTCTCAGTCTCATGAATTCCATGAACACCCGTTTCAAGAACCTAGTGGGTTCGAAACGAAAGAGTTCCTCACACAACCCGTCACCCGCTCCCCAAGGCAATCCCGCCCCAACCGGCCAGCAACGACCGACGTCGCTTTCGCCTCAGGCCTCAAACTCGAGCAGCTCGTCGCTCCCCATGAACCCCCAAAACCCCATGGGCCGCCCACCCTCATACACATACGCCCCTCCTGGTGGGCTCGGTGCGCCCCAACAACAACACGGCCGACCTGCGAGCCCTCTACCACCCATCAACACGGGCGCGCCTGGCTACCCTCCTCAACAAACGCCCATGGGCTACCCACCGCAGGGTGGCCCGCCTGGCTATCCTGCCCAAGGACCGCCAGGAGCTGGACAGTACGGCCAGGGCTACGGTGCACCACCGCCTGGAGCTCCTGCCCCTCATGGTCCGCCCGCAACATACAACAGGCCCTCGGGCATGGCAGAAGTAGCCGGTGAAGGTCGCTCCAAGGCCCAACTCATTGTTGGTATCGACTTTGTGAGTAGCCCCAGGCAGCACGAGGCGCAGCAGCTAATCAACCCGAACAGGGCACCACCTTCTCTGGTGTCGCATTCGCCTTTGCTACCAACACCGAGGCCAAGGAAGACATCATCACCGAATGGCCTGGCGCGGGTAACCAGACAAAGCAAAAGGTACGCTGGACCATTACGCCAACATGCCATGGCTAACAACGCATCGTAGATTCCTACCGTGCTCTACTACGATCAGTACCAGAAGGTGGTAGGATGGGGCCCTGACATCGCCGATGCTTTGGCCCCCACGGGCTACCCCAAGCCTGGTGTGCAAAAGGTCGAGTGGTTCAAGCTGCAGCTCATGCTGTCTGGAAACACATACATCGACCCCATCAACCTCCCACCGCTACCTCCAGGCAAGTCTGAGATCGATGTCGCCGCCGACTACCTCTTCCACCTGCGCCAGGCGATGCGCAACCAGCTGCAAAAGACGCTTGGTGAGGTGTTCAATCGAGAAGAGCGCAACATCAGATACTACCTCACGGTACCTGCTATCTGGAACGATGCTGGAAAGGCTGCAACGCGCGCGGCTGCCATCCAGGCTGGTTTCCTGCGGGACGAAAACGACAACAGACTGACCCTCATTACTGAGCCCGAAGCTGCCGCCATGTTCTGTTCAAAGACCGGTCTACTCAACCTCAAGATACACGATGCCGTTCTCATTGTCGACTGCGGTGGTGGTACCGTCGATTTGATCGCCTACGAAGTTGAAGAAGAACAGCCCTTCTCCGTCGCCGAGTGCACAGCTGGATCCGGAGATTCATGCGGTTCCACTGCCCTCAACCGCAACTTCAGCAACATTTTGCGAGCCAAGATCAGGAAGATGAAACTACCAGATGGTTCCAAGACAGCTGGCAAGGTGTACGCCAAGTGTATTATGGACTTTGAGAACAGGATAAAGGCCGACTTCCGAAACAATGGTCAGAAATGGGCTGTCGACGTTGGTATCGAGGCAGAGTTCCCTGAAGCTGGCATCGAGGAAGGATACATGACTTTCACAAACGAGGAGATTCTACAGTGCTTTGAGCCTGTAGTAAACCGTATTCTCGAGCTCGTCAGGAATCAGATTATTGCCATTCAGGCACAGAACAGGTCATTGCAGGTAAGCAACATGACGTCGAAGCAATTCACGCCCAGTGCTAACTAGTACAGAACGTCCTAGTCGTCGGTGGTTTTGGTGCTTCCGAATATCTCTTCCAACAAATCAAACTCCACGTCCCACCTCAATTCCAGTCAAAGGTTGTCCGCCCCATGGACTCCGTCGCCGCCATCGTCAAAGGAGCTGTCACAGCCGGTATCACTGAGCGTATTGTCACACACCGTGTTGCACGTAGGCATTACCTAATGGCTACCCTTCAGCCCTTCAAGGAAGGTCACCACCCCGAACAGTACCGTGTCCCGTCTCTCGACGGAAAAGATCGCTGCAAGTACACACGTCAAATTTTTGTGCAAAAGGGTCAAAGAGTCAAGATTGGCGAACCGGTCAAGGTCTCGTTCTTCAGACAAGTCGCGCCTGGTGCTACACTCATGTACGAGGATATACTATATGCTTGCGACGACGACGTCTGCCCGGAGTACACTAAGGATCCTCGTAAGTTGCAAGAAATTATCCAGCGTAAAAACTACGTTATTAATAGTAAACTAGGCATCAAGGAAGTCGTAACACTCACTTCAGACCTCTCACGCAAAAACCTCGAAAAGGACTTTGAGCGCATGGATACGCCTCAAGGTACTTTCTACCGTGTCTACTTTGACATTTACCTTACGCTTGATGGATCGGAGTTCAATGCCGAGTTGGTTTGTCAGGGTGAAGTTATGGGCAGGTGTACTGCGCGATTTAGGTAGATTGTGGGTTGGTAATGTGTGGAATGCCCGTAAAAGTTTACCCGACTGGTTTGTTAATCTGGTGGAAAGACCAGACTTTTGGGCATCTTATCTAAATATCGGCAGGATGTATGCGCTAGATGGGGACACGATTGCGATTCTCTCTGTCTCCTGCGCGGATGCTTATCTTTCTGTTGGCTTTTTTACGATCTGGTTGACAGCGATTGATGATGTTATCTATATAAGCATACCCCTCAAACGTTTCAATGGCAAAATCTTTTTATTGTTATACACCAACACTCTTTCTATTGGAATGACTACGCTCTCTTGGATTCACTGCCTTTTCTTGAGATCTCGCTAGCGATGCGAAGATGCTACTACTGTCAAAATGTCGTCAGTGTTTTACCCCGATCGCATTGCAAGAGCGTAACCTTACCCTGGTTAGCGATGTTGGTAGGGTCAACATTGTTGACAGCATTCTCAGAGGCTGGTACGATGTTGCTAGCAGATGCGCTCGTCGAGGAGGAATTAGACGGCGAGGTATCGGCATCGCTGGTGAGCGAAGGTGTGCTGGTGCCCGGTGTCTATAACAGTGAAATCTCCAGAGAAGTTTGCGAAGAGCGATTGGTTGATTGACTCGCTTTCTGAATGGGAACAAGCAGGAGACGTGGCATCTGTGTGTAGATCCATGTTGCCAGCAAGGTATCCATCCAGAATTTCATCATTGTCTTGCGCGTCTGGAGGTACCGATGGTATCGCATCCTCGTAGTATCCAAGACTAGGATGAGTGACTCCCGAGAAAGAGTCTACGGACGAACTGCAGAGTGGCGTGCCACGGATTACAGGGGGTTCCTGATCTGACAAGTCTAACGACAGTGAATCGTCGTTACCATCAATTTCTCTATCAGCGTCTTCATGGTAGTCATAGTGGCAGTTGCGATCATCTTCATGCGTAGATGAACCTATCGAGAACCTTGAGTCGATGGAGGATCGACGCTAAGCTTCGATAACTTCGGATTCACTGTCTGAGATGGAGAAGCGTTCTTTCTGTCGGGAGTGCCTCTGTGATGGTGAAGTCATCTAAGGAGAATCGACGGGATGCTGGAACTGCTTCTGGAACACCATCTGAAATTTCATCTGGTATACTGCCTTTAGTTACCGGGTAGTCTGAAGACGGTGAAGCTGAAGTGGCGCTTTCTAGAGGGAACCGTCGAGATACTGGACCAGCTTCTGGAACGCCGTCTGGGATACTAACTTCAGTTTTCGCGTAGTTCCGACAACTGGATGATGATGAAGCTAAAGCAGGCCCTGGAGGAATCTTCATAGTACCAAGATTTGGCCAGAGAAGATAACCTTTACATTGCACGGGAGGGGGTAAGCATGGCATGCCAATCATCGAAGGTTGTTTCCCTGTGCCACGTAAAGGCGGAGGACGGGGTTCATCCATGGCATCACTGATATGCGTTGGAAGTTGAGGACTAGCTACCAGAGAAATGTCATGAGGCTGGTGAGTGCAAGACTTTCTCTTCGCGTTTCCTGGTGGAATTGTTCGTTGCTGTGGCTTGGGAAACGGAGAATCTGGACGCGTTGGATGGCGCATCGATTGTTCACGAGGGGCTTCGATCGTGCGATCAGTCTGTTCGAGTACCTTCTCTGATATGGTGTTTCCAAGCTGTACTGTCCTTACTGCTCGTTTCGCATTCTCAGCGATCTCATAAAGGCTCACACCATGAGTTTGCTTAGGTACGTGGTATGAACCTGCCTCGCCACCAGGGTGGTGCCTGAGACAGGAGTCTTCCCGGGTGTATCGTCGCGGACGTGGATGGGCTCGGTAACGGATAGCGTTCGAACGCTGGAGTAGTACCACAGCCGGAGGGGACGGCTGCATCAAAGCTCCATCTTCAGCCACAATCTTACCGGGAGCATCAGGTAGGCCCTCCTTTGCAACCAGCGGGTCATCAACAGTTGTCGTTGGTAATGCTGACTGAAAGCGTACTGCTCTACGAGCCTCAGCAAAGAAAGAAAAGACCACAGTAGCTACTTGTGGCATACAAAACTGCCCATTCTCTTTGTATCCATATTCGGCGCCACGGGTTCCAGTGCACTCTCCAGCGGCGCCTGGAGCCATTACCATACTGTCCGGTGAGCGTTGGGGTTGTTGGGCGGAGTCTCGACGAGACATCGTTATTTCCATGTCCACATCCTCGCGGAACATGGAGACTCCGGTAGGATATTTAGCATATCGGGGTTGACGACGAGGATAGATACGCACAAACTGGCTCTGTTGATTTTCGGGGACTAGAGCAAGGATAGCTTCGATGTCGTGGCAAGCGCAACGGGGGTTCTCCGTATGTTTGTGTTCGCGCATTTGCGCGTATGTCAGCATTTTCAGGCCAGTGACATAGGGTTTGGAAGTTGTAGTGCTGTTTGGGTTCTCAAGACGCTCGTGCTTGTGTATCTTCGTAAACTTTAGCAGTTCTATCATGATGTCTGGAGTTTTGAGCTTTCCCGAGGTTGTTGTTCAGTGTTTGACGAGACCGTGAGTTGTGAATTGGTAGTTCAGTGTCTCGACAGGAAGTCTTGTTGAAGGATGTACTGAGAAGTGGTACAACACGGTTGTCTCCGCTTTGGTGGATGCTGATGTGTTTCTCAGGAATATCTGAGTGATCCTTCTCTTATGCTACGGGACGATTCCAGCGATGTCTGCGAACATTTCCAGTATGCTTCTATGAATAGACGTGGCGGCCCATATTGAGTACAATATCTGACACTGTGAACGTATTGCGAATGGTTGAGAAGCAATTAGATGAGTCTAATATAGTTGTGTGCTAGTATATATGGCGGCTGGCGTTATGTGAAAGCCGTAAAGCCAGGATAGCGTGCAGACATCTTCGTTCCTTTCCGCATTGCAACAGGATAGTAGCGGGCTGAACGATATGAATCTGACGTACGTCGAGAACTCAGTATGTAATGAAATGAGACAAGTTTTTTTTAGTTTATAGTGGGAACACTACACGCCTTATTTCTCATGAAAGCCGAATACTCTTACAATGGACTTTGTAGCATGCATTCCGTTGATGATATGTGAGAACGTATATGTAGCATTTCGTATCGTATTTATACTCCGTCCTGGGAGTGGAACTCATCGTATTCCGCTGTCTCTCGATCGTCTCGCAGCGATGAGACAACGGCGAGATCGAGTTCATATACATCAAGTGATGTTTAAGATATGAACAAAGTAGTTACCGGGTGAGTAATACAGGACATGTGGTATATGGCGAAAAAGGACAGACACCTTCCGCATTGCTTTCGAAAATTTCATACAAACAGCATGGGTATCATGTGCTCTTTTACAGGAAGCTTACGCCGGAAGATTATCAGCCTTACTGAGACGTCTGACACCCTCAGCTTTCCTCTCCTCCGCAAGGATGGAAGCGAATTTACTAGCTTTCCTAATCTGAGGTCCCTTCCAATAAAAGACGTAGATTGGTACGACGACCAAACACGACAAGCATGCCAAAACGGTTGTGGCATACTCGGACTTCTGAGGACTTGACGATGCAAGGTTGTTGTATAGAGGTATGGCGTACATGGCGGAGATACCAGCGAGGAAATCACGAGCGAACGCGTTACCACCGGTAGCGGAAGCCGAGTAGGGACCGTAAGCGGCAATCATGTAATCGACAGAGGAGTAGTAGATTGCAAAGTTTGCGAGTCCGACGAGGAATGAGAAGATCATTGGTGCTATCCAATGCGTTTGGGGCGGTCCCATACCTGTGCTGTATTAGATGAAGTTGAAGAAAAGACAGCGTAGTCAACTTACAGGTCCAGGCAAAACCAAACAATCCGATCGGCTCAAAGAGCGCAAGCAATAGAAGCGGCTTCAAACGTCGCTCTGGGGACATCCAGTCCGGACCATTCTTCTTGCGCAGGTGATCGTCGCGCCAGAACCAAGGCCAGTATAGGAAGTACGTGAAGAAGTAAGAGGCGTTAATCGGAATGAACGCCCAGGCTACTTGCAGTGTGCCGAATCCAAAGTTATTTGGGAAGGTAACGCTGAAAGCCTCCAGGAACGTGAAGATCAGAGCGTCGGAGAAACCAGAGAGTAGCGATAAGAACAATACGATTGGCTCACGAACGAACATCTCAAATGGTCGGAGCCAAATTTTCCCGGCTTCTTTGAGCGAGATTCGCGGCTTCTTGAGTTCATTTGGTCCATAAACGTTGGGGTCTTCGCCGGTTTCACGACGTCTCTTGGCCTCGCGGTCGATGAGAATGGTAGATCGGCTCTCAGGCATGAAGAAATGCACTGCTTGGACAGTAACACCAAAGATCAACTGAATCCAGAAATTCCACTGCCACGTGAGGTATTTTTCGATGGGGCCACCAATAACACCGCCGATAGACGTTCCGATCGTAGAAGACAATACGATGAAGCATAGAGGCCAGTGCTGTGTCTCTGGTTCATACATGTCGGCAATTAAACCAAGAGTAACACTACCTCCCGCTGTGGAGAGCCCACCCTGATCACAATTAGCGCTGGAAGTATTTGATACGGAAAAGACTTACAAGAGCTCTGCAAACCACAATGGTGCCGAAGTTGGGGGCCACAGAGCAAGGGATTTCCCAGATGTTGATGAGCAGCATGCTAAGCTGCAAGATTGGCCATCTGCCAAATTCTTCACTCCATGGCGCCCAAAGCTCGCAGCCAAAGGAATAGAAGACCAGATAGATCATCTGTCCAACGCGCGCTGCCTGTGTACTGATTCCGAAATGTTCGGAGATGGGGTTGACAGCACTGGGATACACCGACGTGTTGAAGTTCATAGAGATTTGGATTCCAGCAATGGAAGCCAAGTACATGGCCTTCTTCCATTTTGGCCAAGTGTATGCAAGCTTGTCCCAACACTCCCATTCTCGCAACTCGCGCTTTCCGTCTGGCCTAGGGACCATTGACGGATGACGGTTCCCTGAAGGGTCGACGGGAATATCGATTTGCGACTTCTCCTCGTCGCTCGTCTCGGCTGGCATGCTTGGTCGGCGCTCAGCATCGTCTTTCTCGGAGACTGGTCTTGAACCAGCTCGCGCGGGCGAAGGGTGCCTGGACTTGCGTTCCGTCATCGTAATGTGGGCTAGGGAGAGAAAGCTGGAGATGAGACTCGGGGTGCGGGTTGGAAGGCCCTCTTGAACCCTACAAAAGTCCACATTTGGCATCCACCTCCAGAATGACGTCTGAGTAGAAAGTTCGTAACGAAGAACGACTCTCCACTCAGAGAGGGTCCTGTCAGGGTGAGATCCATTGTTGTAAACCCTTGGCGCAGAATGTTAGCATAAAATTTGTCGTTGAGATCGGGGTGATAGATGCCATCGACGACAGGAGTGATGGAGTGTGTCTCGAGGTGGGCCTAGCTTGACAATGTCATGGTGCTCTTTGGCGGCTGTATCTTGTGGACCCAACTATGTGACGGCAAGCTTCGTCCATGGAGCGAAAAACTAGTAGTTACGTTCTTAATCCACTTCTTGCCGACGTGCGCGTACCTCCCGAAAGGCGAAACGTCCGTAGATCTCCATGCGGCTGAAGATAAGAATGGGTCAAGTGGGCCTAAACCCGCAAGTCTTAAGCAGCTAAAGAGGTCGCCCGGTAATGCTTGGCCTATTTGGCATCCTTGTGTTCATTATGAAAGTAAGCATACTCGCTTGAAAGCTGTTTTGATTCCCTTGTAAAGGGATATCGAAAAGTATCTTTAACACAGCGGTATCCGCGTGGTCAGCAGGATTTTAATGAGACAACGCGAAAATCTCTTTGTCGCCTCGACTTACGACATCTCAGGATGCGGTCTGGCAATTGATCCTCATGCCGTAGTCGTCCGATTGGGGCAAAGATGCAAGAGGCTCTGCGGGCAGGTGGGTGAAAACTCTTAGCTCGAATGGATGATATCATAATGCATGAACGCGAGATCCGCCGCGGTTCGCGACACCAACACCATCTCTCACGATGCGATCAAGGCGGTCTCGACCTAACGCTACATATACTCCCTAGAGTAAGTTACCCGATTTTTTTTTCAATTGCAATGCTGCATTAATTCTGTTCCCATTTCCATGCCTGCATATTTCCAAGGTTTACCATCTAGAAGCCGAGATGTATTCTACGCACGCAGCTCCTACCTGCACATCGATTGACATGACATCACGCACTAGCCTTTCTGAGTATTCCTTACTCGTATTGTGGTAGCCTACCCAACGCTCAGTGTGGCCTGTAGGAACAATAAGCCAAGCCTCCATTACCAGCAGACGAGGTTTCACTCAACAATGTGGATACAGTATTCTCTTCCATAGACGTGAAAGAGGATCCTATGCCCTTTTGTTTCGCAAACTTCTGGGACTCCGGTCTATACAGGAACAAGAACAATGTTACGATCAGTGTCTTGTGCCTCATTGAAGACAACGCTTACGCCGTCTGTCTCCTCATACTGTATCGTCATCTGCGCAGTAGTAAGAAGATAGCTCAAGGTCGTGCTGCTCTAAATGCTCATAGAATCTTCATAAGTGGACTCAATCCTGGAGCTGGCCATTACGGTGGCTAAGGTCGATAGCTATGTAGAGATTCTCACAAGTCTTTTCCATATTCTGGGCTTTACGATTGGAAAAAATGCGCTAAAGAGCGCCCTGAGCAAGCACCAACGTGTGAACTATGCGGTTTTGAATCATCGCAAGGACGACGTATCCTTGGCAATAACGATGATGTTCATAAAGAAGGAAGTAGTACTTTCGAAGCTCTCCACTCGTCGGAAGTTAGTTGATAATCATCATCCGACATTTGGAAGAACAAACCATCCAAAGCTGAGCACACAGCGGCGCAGTCAGTCGAGGCCCGGTGCATGAGTATCAGAGTACACTACTGGTTCGTCTGGCTTGCTGAACAACAACCTGACCAAATCCGACGATAGTAGGTACAATTGTCAAATCCTCTGCTCGAGGTCATATTGACGTTCTCATAAATCTCGTTGTTGGCTTCATAAACATCAGCCATATTGAAGAGCGAAGCCTGCGGCTGAAACGTTGCCAGCCTCGTGCGGGGTCAAGCCAGTACTTCAACCAGCCTATAACCAACCAGATACACCGAAAGTTTGCTTATCACATCTACATAGTTAATAAATACCTGGGCTTTGCCTTATCGAAACGCAGTATCAACACAACACCTTCATGTGTTTCCTGTCACCTTCGCGTTGGGTAGTGTCAACGTAGCGCTCCACTTAGAGACTCCACCATGCTACTGAGTCATGGCGGAGGGATCGATAGCACATCAAGGAACTGCGAGCGCCGACGGACTTCAGCCTGGTCACGACATCTTTCGCACACCACATAACGACTTGTTTTATGCTACAAAGCTTCACTCAGAGCTAGACCCCACTCAACATCAGATACGTCTTGTCAAACTCTGGCCTGGTACTGAAGACGATGTCATCGAATGCACGTTGCTCCCAGGCGTACCTTTGGTCGACAAGAAAGGGCAATACACGGCTCCATCGTATTGCGCAGGCTCCGCAAAGAACACCGAATCTATTATCCTCAACGGCAAGCCATTCAACGTATTCGCAAATCTGGCACATGCTCTGAGAGAAGTGCGCAACTTCTGGGCGAGCACACACGGCGATAGAGAATGCATATTGTGGATCGATCAAATCTCAATCAACCAGAGCGACATCAAAGAGAGATCACACCAGGTACGATTTATGCGAGAGATCTATCAGTATGCGGAACAAGTCCTTGTTTGTCTGTCGACTGAAAAGGTCGATCCGAGAGGAATGAACTGGCTTGTTGAGCTAGCTAGGGACGCTTCCTTTTGTCATCTTGTAACGAAATCGGAAGTGTATGACGACATACCGGACAATCAAGAATGTGCCGAATTCACAAAAGAAGACATCCGGATGCTTCTCAACAGACATGTCTACGCCAAAGCAGGAGATGAAGAGTTTTTCGAAGGTTGGCTTGCTTTCTACAAGGTCATTGAAGCACCGTGGTTCACTAGAGCGTGGGTCTTTCAAGAATTCATGGTCGCGGCGAATATTTACTTCATGTACAGTGGGACATTTGCATCCTGGAGGCTCCTTTATCCACTGTGGACGATCGTCTGCTCATGGGAATATTACAACCATCCTATGTTCGGGTCCCATACCGATGACCGCCCCGCCTATCAGAGTCTACATCGTACTTTCAGATACACTAGGCAGAGCGGATTGAAACCAGCTATGGACAGAGTGACATCCACAATCGACAGCAAAGTCCGCTGGCATGGAAAAAAGGACTTGATATCACTCCTTAGGCACTCCTGCCGCTGTAATGCTTCTGACTCCAGGGACAAAGTGTTTGCATTTATTGGTTTAGCAGATCCGGCTTATGGAATCTTGCCGGATTATACACATCCTATTGACCAAGTCCTAATCGATACGACGATCAAAATTATACAAACTGAGGGTAGTTTAGAGGTACTACGACTAGTCGCAGATACTCATCATCCGTGGCACAACAGTACCCTGCCGTCATGGGTTTTGGATGTGACGTGTAGAGAAGTTGCAAGGTCTATTCAACGCGGCTATCTAGACCAGGAAAAAAGCAGAGCTTTCATTTTAACATTGAACACGTCTCATGGTGCTTTGCAAGCTTTGCAGGTCGATGGCATCCTCCTAGATAGGCTGTTGGATAGTTCAACCTCTGGAGTGCCAGTGGATAGGTTTGTGGGGGATGGTTATTATTACGTATCTCCGAGGGGTTCTGCTGCGTTCTGCTCCAATCCTATCCAAAACAATGGTGAGATTTGGATCTTGAAGGGGTGCAGTTCTCCTCTAGTCTTGCGTGCTCATGGAAGATATGGATATACACTAGTGTCAAATGCGACAATGAGACCATTTGGTGCGGAGAAGTCGTTGAAATGGGCGAAAGAAAGATCTGGAGGATGGCAGGGCATAAATATAGTCTGAGCAAAGCATTCATTGGAGATTCATTTCTAATGATACAAGACTCTGTGACCTCAAGCTTGACTCGAGATTCGCACCAAATCTGCAACATCTACCAAGACGCGGCAATACATGTCGATCGTAATTACAAGTGCCTATCATCACAATATCTCATCCATCAGCGTATCATACACTGTACGATCACGATGATTCATACTATCTTCATCGTTGTACATCAGCATCTTACCACGTAGGCCTTCATCGATTACACAAGAACTTGCCTATGGAGATGTATAGAAACCAGATCAGAAAACGAACACAACATAGCAACCAACTCCAATCAGAGAACTTTGCCTGAAAGAAGACAATGAAGAGTATCAATCATTGTATCTTACACGATATTCGAGCGAACGGACAAAACCGGAATGCAAAGTCGCAGTTCTTATTCTCACACACACTATCTTACCGACTCTTGTAGACTCGGAGGGTACCAAACCAAACAGAGTGATGTACCAGCCTTGGCTTCCAATGCGATGCACGAGTACACCCATGATGGGATTGTGAGGGCCTACATCTCTACACAACCTCGGTGTACATCTGAGAGCCTTCCATCAGAGCATGATCTGGCTGCCAGTAAGTATGCTATCATGACAGACATACAGGAGCACGCAAGGTCGGACAGCATGAAGGTAAGTACTCCTTCCGCCGAGAACATGCGCATGAACTTGAACATGGTACCTGACTCGGTCTTCGCTGAGCTGTACGAACAACAACTCGATAGATACCATAGTTCAGAGGGCCATATTCATCAAGGATTTGCGCCAGCTGCAGGCTTCGCAGGTGATGAGCTGATCGCGCCTTCGGGCGGATACGTCGAAGAGGCAGATTGGAATGCGGATGTTGACGACGACGAGTCCTTGTTACCGAAATCTCCATGTCCCTCCCTGGTTCCCTTGTCGGTAAATCCAACAATGTGGGCGCTAAATTGGTAAAGATGATGGAAGAGGTGGAGGAATGGAACAAGGCACACACTGGCCCGGTTGAGCCGCTCGGAGTTAATACCTACACTGGCCCTACTACTGTAGAATTCTGTGTTGAGGTATTCAATCCCTTCACTGCTGGAGATCTGCACGGCAGATTTAATCCGTTGCCCAGAAGCTGATCTTCTGGCTGAGGTTGATAGTTTGGACTACTTCTCAAAAGAATATGTACGATCGGTTCGCCTTCAAGGTCAAGCAGCGCTAGTGTTATGCGGCTCCTTCAGACTGGTACTAGGAGGTCAACGTCCTTATCACAGCCATGGATAACGACGCCAACCACCTGGATCCGTGGCCGCCGCTCTCTGAGTGGCTTGCACTACTCCACGTCAGTGTGCAAGGTCCCGCTACGCGCATGCGCTCGAAGATCAAAAGCGTATTGTTGAAGAAGCTAGACGCGATGGCCAAGATGGAGATGGCAGAGAACAAAGCGGCTATCATAGAGCTGCTTGGGATTAGATGCTGATACTTTCCAGGCGTGAAATTAGCGGTGGATGTAGACTGCAAGAAGCGCAGAAGTCTGCTGCTCGGGATAATTTCCGAGTTCATATAATATTTGGTTGGTGAGTTTTCTAGGAGATGGTCTTGGGTGGACTAAGAAATGGAAGGATAAGTGGAGTCCGGAAGTAACATTGAAGTAGATGATGGAAATATTTCGATAAGACAAGAATGATGTTCGCGGTCAAATGTTTCTAATTGACGCGGACAGAATCAAGTGACACCATCGTACTGTTAGCATGAAGCTTCAATACCAACGAATCCGCACATACTCCTAGTCGTCACCGAACCCGTGCTCAGGCGATAGGTATCGTCAGATTGTATCGTAGCCGAGAATATCGCAAGTTGACGAATATCCGTTAAGCTGCGAGCACCCAGAGTGACATCAACACGATCACTTCCGACACAATCTATCGGCAAGACAACGTCACCAGTAGTCTTTCCCAGCTACTAAAGTACTCACCCAAACTTCCATATATTGAAGTTCCACCAAGGCTCGAGCGTTGAGATCAGGAGAGTGAAAGCAAGGCTACGGAACAAGCTCAAAGAAACCTCCGATGCGACAAACCAAGACGTCATTTTATCCAAAACCCGAGATCGCCCTTCGCCTAACCCATAGCTCCCGCAATCCAATAACTCCTGGCGAACTCCACCAACATTCCAACCCTATAACATTTCCAACTATCACACATCCTTGGCCTACGCAACTCCCGACGATCCCTTCCATCTCTACCTCATCTCATTTACATCATCCCGCCACGCATCACCCAAACTCATCCTTCGCCGCCAACGTGCAGCCTCGCTTGGATGATTTGGAACATGCATCCATGTGCCAAGCCCAGGAAGCGCAAACTTCCGAAGTACAAGGAATGTATTTGCTAGGATGTGATTGGTTGTGCGTTCAGCATTTTTTGAGTGAAAGAGTTGCGGGTAAATCAGGACCATGTCTTATCAACATGGAAAGTGTTGCAGATAGAGGCGTAAGGCGACAACTCATCTACGCCTGGTCTGGTTACCTTGAGGTTGGGCGAGAAGTGCGGAAATGTCGCATACCGCATTCCGCGGATAACCACGACGCTGATCATTCCAAGGTTGATCGCCATGGACCTTGCTCTGATCTTCGTTCGAGGTAATGGCAAATCTCAACCAGTGCCCCCTGATGGCAAACTTCGCGTCCTTACGCGAAGCCCTCGCTTCTTGATACCTGTTTCTATCATAGATGGTTTGTATCTCAGTGTTCGTCCAGACCGTTCTTTCCACAGGTGCACCTACACCAAAGGCAAACTAGCCCGTAACAACGTGGCACAAACAACACTACGGAAAGGCATAGCAAATCCCAACTGCCGCTGTTAGCTCAAAGAAAGAAAATCTTTACCGACACCGTAGGGCTGGACCAAGCCAGATGCCACATCTGCATGCAAAAACCCCGTTCAACGGACCAAAGCTGAGAGAAAGTAGTGACATTTATCCACGCTAACGTAGCTCTCCCGCACCCTTTAGCTTGCACGCTACATGTCTCCCATCAATTTCTGTGGCGCGTCTAGATCCGCTTCCTAGCGAAACGTGGAGAGCTGAAAAAGCAAGCTGGCGCGGCTAACGTGAGTAAAACATCTAATCGGTGTCAAGCAAACCCTATCCCGGTGACCACATTACCACTCGATTCAGCCTCACCGCGCACCCCGACAGTCCGTTTGCGGAGTTCAATGCACGAGTGTCTCAGCCCTACTTCATAGTGGTTACCAAGCCAAAAACCCATGTGGAACTACTGCATTAATAGCCTATCGTCACCAAGTGCTCACACCTCTGCTTAGTGGACGGGCTTGAGCAAATACTGTGTAAGTAAACTCACCGGCTGGCCTTGGTCATCAAGCATTGATGGGCGGTCTGGTAGTCTCTAGGCTAGCCACGCGGCAAGCAGATGGCGGCGGCCCTTCTTCTTGTTAGTGACCGCCGACCGGGCGGCAGGTAGATGTAACTTGATCTGGGCTGGGGTACGCGTACCCGAGACAAACTCTGACATGGTAAAGATCTGGATGGTATGAAGATCTTACCAGTTTAGCCGAGCGTGTATTCAGACACGGCACGGTAAACGACATGTTTGCGATGAGTGAAGCGCAGTTCGGCGAGGTGCTGATCAGTGGCAACTGTCCGAGATCCTGGAACACAATTGCAGGATAATGGAGTCGTGATGTGATTGTTGTTACATTAATGATTCTATGTAATCTTTCTGCTCACTGGAGCTTTGTGACAAAAGGGAATGCAAGAGGGTATATTTGTATGAACAGTATAATGAGACTTGTTGCACCCGTTGACCCAAACGCCTGGTAATGCTATTTTGTCGCACTCTGCGACTTGGAGTATGCTTGTGTGTTGCGCCATATGCAGAATTTGACAGATGCCGTGATAAGGGTGTACAGCAGGTGAGTCTGTGTTGCCGACTCATGGTCTAGAGCGGAATATGTCCCTTTTAGAACGCCGCTGAAATGAGAGATGCTGAAGGGAATTCTTTGTGTGCTGAACAAGAAATGATTGTGCTAGCAATGTATGAGATGCTCGTAGATTATCATCTGCGGAAGACGTTCATGAAGCTCTTGCGTTTGCTGACTCCTGGGGTGACAGGCCTGTCGGCAGGAACAGGTGGCGGCGCCGGGTGTGAGGTAGAGGGCTTCCTGCCGAACTTGGAGAGCAATGGCTCAGACTTCTTGCTCACAATTCTGCTGTCGTCAATCTTTTCGTTGACAGCTATTCCGGAATCGCGGGATGCATCATGAGAAACCTTGGAGGTGACGGCTGGTCTTGCACCATGGTCAGCTTTAGACAGACCACGAGAGAGCATATTGCTACTCTTTGCTTTTTGTGCGGATTTGCGCGAGCTCTTAGTCATGGCACGCTTGATGTTGCTGCCAGTCTCGTCGGCTTGCTGTCGCTCCAAGCGCTCGATCTCGCCCAAGACGGTCATGCCGTTCATGGCGAGGCTCTCTTCGGGGATGGGAACGAATTTGACTACGCCGCGATCTGGCGACACGCCGATGGACTCGGCCATGAATGTTTGAATCAGAGAGGCATTGCGCTTGTTGGTCGTGGGCTGCAATTGCACTGGCAGAGCATTGATGGTGAGCATGTAGGTGGGCTCAAAGGATCCACCGAGGAGCAGACACGCCGAATGGTTGACCGTTATCATGATGGAGGCTTCTGGCCTTTGGTAGCGCGTCGAGAGGTGGTGCGAGAGGTCGGTAACCAGGGTGTATTCGTCCTTGATCTGCGCCGGGTTAGTGATTTGCCCAAAGAGTGGAGCTCGGCGGAAAATAACAACTTACGATAACGTTTGTCCGCAGCTCGGCTACAATGGGCGCATCCTTGGTCACACGCTCGCGAGCCGACGACGCAATGCTGTCCTTGTATGAGAATTGGTCCTCGTAGAACTGCGCACGCGAACGGGAGGTCACGGGCCGTAAAGGGCCAACTCCATCGACGACAGGACTACGAGCGCGGTCATGAGAGTCAACCTCGATATTTTGAACTGACTGTGGCGACGATGCAAAAGAGAATTGCGAGGGCGAGGGCGAGAGTTGCTCTCCGACATTCTCCGGTGATAGTAGGGCAGTGCCTGCCTGTTTGGGAAATGCATTGGTGCCAGAGTACGTCGAGGTGGACGATGGGCGTGACATTTTTGTTTGGGTCAAGGTAGAGTTGTTGACCGAGTGGGGCATGACGGAGAGGAGCAAGATATGGCGGAAGTGAGGATATAAGAGTGACAACAAGGGTTGTCTGTTTGGGGAGCCGCGAACAAGTTATTCGCCTAGATATGGATAAAGACGTTGGTGCAACATGCAAGAGTGCAGATCCCGGCGCACTTGTCTATCTTGCAATGTGAGACGAGATCCGAATTGAGACGCAGTGGCGTTTGGTTATCAGGACACGGAACTTGGGGGGGAAGTCCGTGTATTGATTGACGGTGTGGAGTGGATGATGGTGCGGCAAGATAGTAAAGTGATGAGCGGCGGCTGTCGCTGGGCTTAAGAATGGATGACGATTGAAGCAAACACCCCGCAATTGCAAAAGGAAGTCGTTAGCCAGAGGAGATACAGGAGCTGGGCCCTGGGCAGACGACGGCGAACCACTATATGATAAATCTCCATAGCCAGGCGTCTGGTCCCAAAGGTTCGCCGCATGCCACAGTGCACCTCCAGCACCAAGCACTAAGCATCTCGGGTAGAGTGACAGGGGTGTGGCTCCATGTCCAGCATCACCTGCGCGCGGGCCAGCCGCCCGCCATGCAGTTTTGGGCACATGTGCACCATCGGACTGGGTATCTGACATTTGGCCTCGCTGAAGACGGCTGTGCGCTGCATCCTTATCTGGATGTGCGTCAAGCGTCGGCCACTCCATCATGGCTTTCGCATGGCATCAGCCATCATCACCTATCATCAGTCAGCCGTGTCTGCTCATCCATTTGCGCCACCACCCGTACCTGCCAGCTGCCACACTGCGCTTTGCTGACCCAACACGCGACTGCTGTTTGAAAATAGCACCGTCGACGGGGGAAAGGGCGACCCGTAGGCCAGTATTGGGCACCCCTAGTCCAAGACGTTGGCATCAATCTCAGCGACAACGCAACACCACTCAATCGAGGTTTGACGCTGCACTCCTAGCCTGCGCACTAACCCCATCCGCGGCCATGCTCCTACCCCGCCAAACCAAGCCTAGCCTGGAGCCGCTCCTCTTGGGAGGACGCTCCGGAGTTTCGACCTCTGTTTCGCCCTCTTGTGCCATGCCATGTCTTTGGTCTTCTTTTGCTGGTCTTTGTTCTGAGTTACGCGAGCGGGAAGAAGCAGTACCCGCCCTACCCTACCTGGGGCCGCCCTCCTTGCACGGCATGACAGTGGTGACTGGAACATGCTGTGGCCAGATGCCTAGGTACTACCTCCGCAGTCCGGAGCGAAGCCGAGCGAAGCCATAACAGACTCCATCGCCGACACGTTACTCACAAGTGCGTATGCCATCCAGATCGAGACAGGCACAAGACCGCACGAGTCACCAGCCAGTCACTGAAACAGCCATGGGCAACAATCCTTCAATCGTGACATGGACTTTCAAATAATCCCCTGTGTAAAAGGACGGGAGATAAACAGCTGATGCAGGTACTAGTTCCTGGTCCATCTCAGAGTCTCGACCCCAAGGCGACAGGACCTAGCAATCTCCACTTATATTCAATGGATAGTACCTTGATAACAATTACAAGCAATTGTTCCTTCGCTGCGTAAGGAGTTGGACCATCGCATATAGCTAACCGCCCAACTTTGCGCCTGCCATGTTCGCTGCGCCTCAACTTCTTCCGAAATGACTGTCCCAACCCTCACCCAGCAGCCACCACCCAATCTGAATGAAGCACACTGAGGTCCTCTCAAGTCAAAAAGTCCTCTCTTGTTCGTGGCACAGCTTCATACATGTACTATATGTCAGACGCTCTGCACGTCAAGACCCTTTCGAAATGTCGGCTGCCAACGCCGTGTAACGAGGCACCCTACCGGTCGCATAGTACTACGTCCATCTCATTTCCCCACGATTGGTTCGCAGCCTCTCAACCAGAAGACTAGCTCAACGGCTGGTCTGTTCCTTTATCTGAATGAAAGCGCCCCTTCGTGCCACTATGGCGTCTTGATTACACGGGTGTGTATGTTTAGTCTACTACAACCCATCGTGATGGCTCGATCGAATGCGGACACTACGCAAGTAACCGTAATTGTCAATACGAATTGAACGGCGTAACCGTGCGGCCCGCCGCCTTTTGGGCTCACGATCGAAATGTCAAGCTTTCGGGGTGGATTTGTGGCGGCATACGAAGAAACACGAAGGAAGCATGGTCTGTGTTCCTCCGTGGCCGTATAACGGTGTTATCTTATACCTGTTCAATGGCCGGTTGGATGTACGTTGTCTTGGCAAAAGAAGCATTCTTCCAATATTATCTCGGTTGCAATAGTGTATATACCTGCGACATTGCAGTGCAATGAGATACAACTGGCACAATAAGGCGCCCATCATGATGGCTATGTAGCATCAAGACGCATAGTACACTTATCTGGGAACATGCAAAGCTATCATATTCGCGCCTTGGCTCAAACGTCGAGATCAATATCACAAAAATTGCTGGAATACGAATCAATGTACCATCGTATCAGAGTGATTTCATTGCGCTGGTGAAGGTGTCGTCCACGTGAGAGCGCGCAGCGTGTTGCCCAGGTGGGGATCGGCGCGGGCGCCATCGCCAAACGCAGTCGCATCAGTCCACACTCTCGTTGACGGCCCGCAACCCAACTCAGGCTCCATCACATCTCAAATGCCACCGAAGAATGCGACAGCGAATGCTGCGCGCAGAAAAGGCCCATCCTTCAATCCACCACGGCCTGTAAACGCGGCATCCCAAGCCTCCGCCTCGACGAAACGCGCTCCAGCAGCGGCATCCCGCGCGACTGGCGCCGGAAAGAAGAGCAATGCGGCTGCCTCAAAGAGTGGCTTTCAGCCTGCTGCTGATATAATCAACCTGTCCGATGACGACCAAGATGAAGAGCTTGCCGAAGATCTAAACATCTCAGACTTTGACGACATAATGGAGGATGCACCTGCTCCTAACCCACCAGCAGCAGCAGCCAATCCTGTCCTCTCAGAACCCGTCGTACCCCGACCGCTTCTCGCACGCCTGCTCCTCGAGAACTTCGAAGACCCGAATATACAAATACAGACTGGTGCGATGAAGTTGGTAGGAAAGTACATTGATATTTTCGTCACCGAGGCTTTTCTCAGAAGCCAAGATGAGATGAAAGCAGCAGCAAAAGATGGGGGTGTCATTGATGGCTTCCTCCAAGTGGAAGATCTGGAGAAGTTGGCACCCCAGCTTGTCTTGGACTTTTGAAAGCTCAACTCGTGTCCGTCCTGTGAGGAGAAAAGAGCCCAGCTGTCATAGGGATGCATACAAACCTGTTTGAATATGTCATTGAAGTTATACTTCATGCGTATCCTAACCAGAAGCTTTTTACACCGACTACGGCGGTGGCTTCGATGATTGCGTCGCGCTATCCATATACTTTCCATAGTCCTTCTTTAGACGCCAGTACTGTTAGGTTATTTTCGGAATGCCGCAAGTCACAAAGAACGAAGGTGGATACTCCACGCACAACTACGACTCGTAGCAGTCAAGAGGCGGAGAAGGCACGAGGCCGAAACATGGACATGTATATCAGTCTTTTTTAGGACGAACCACCATACAGAAGTCAGGCCGAGAGGATCTATGAACAAATGAAGGACACTACAGCCCGACAGCTTTGAAACATCTCGCAATGGTGCCTGGTCTCCAAGATCTTGTCGATGAGTTTTACGCGCGCAGCCTGATAGCCATGTAATGCACAATCTCGCAAACAGATGTTCCGGTTGCCTGGCTCGTTTCGGTTTTGAGGTTGCCGTTGCCACGCCTTGCTTGAAGCACGATGGGGTTGGGCTCAAACACAGCCGTAACGTGGAGCGCGTCGCATCATGAACACCCAGTTGCATCACGACGAACACCAACATCGCGACATGATCAACGCAACTCTACAGCAATGCTGTCTGCGTACTTTGCGTTATACTGCGCTGCGTTCAATCTTTTCCCAACCGGGTTATACATGATATTAGCACTGTTCAGCCTCGACGTTCAAACTCCGAGTTGCACTCAAATATACCCGTTTTAAGCCTCACCTACAGGGTCCTCAGCCGAACCAGGAGGCTGAAGCACTCCTCGCCTCTAACGTGTCGCAACTCCAACCCCATGTATCGGAATATCTACTAACCGCCTCGGCCACGCATGCGTATCTTTCATGCCTTAAGATGGCCCTATAGCCATCACCTCAGGCTTCTCTTTTTCTCATCCTCCGCATCTCTCACGTTTCTTGTCACTTTGTGTTGCATTTTCCTTTGCATCTATCTTTCTTTACTTACCACTTCACAATCTTTAATACACAACTGGCTAGTCCAGCTTGCTATTCTTTGCATAACGAACCAGAGCGCTAGTCGCCCATTCACTCTCTTGACGAGACATTGAGCATCGCAATACGAATCGCATACCTAATATCGAAATCGCCTATTACACGGACGACCATCACATACAATAGCCAACATGTACTTCTCAAGAGCAGCTATCTTCTCCGCCGTCCTCGGCCTCGCGTGCGCCCAGGAGTCTTCCATGACCGCCTCGGGATCTATGGCTATGGCCTCCGCCACTGAGCCAACTCTCTCCTCAGCCGTCCTAGGCAGTGCCTCGACATCCCAACCAACTGCGATGACCGGCATGGTCATGACACACGTAGTCCAAGTCGGAGGTCCAAATGGAAGTCTAACCTTCTCTCCATCCAATGTTGTCGCACAACCAGGAGATCTAGTTCAGTTCCAATTCCACCCCAAGGTACGTGTTATCACAGCCCACCACCCAAAACCATTTGCGCAGTCTGATTAACGATTTTCGAATAGAACCACTCGGTCGTCCAATCCACATTCGACAATCCATGCACGCCCATCCAAAACATCATGTCCAACAAGACTGACGCCTTCTTCTCCGGCTTCATGCCCACAAACGCCTCTTTGACTGCTACAAGCCAAGTCCTCACCTACACCATCCGCGTCGCAGATGCAAAGCCAGTTTGGTTCTACTGCTCCCAAGGCAAGCATTGTCAGGCTGGTATGGTTGGTGCTATCAACGCGTAAGTCCTCTTTCTCACATGCCCAAACATCCATCCACTAACTCGGCACCCATAGTCCCACATCCGGCAACAAAACAATGTCCGCCTTCGTCGCCCTTGCTGCCCAAGCTACAGAGAACCTCTCCCCTGGTCAAGCAGCTGGTTCAGGTGGTCAGACAGGAAACACACCGACGAGCCCTTCGGCCGGTGGCGGCGCAAACTCTGGTACTGAGGGCACTGGCAGCGGCGCAGCGGGCGGTGCTAGTGGTTCTGCTAGCGGTGCTCCTGCTCAGGCTACTGCTAATGCTGCTGCTGGTGGTTTTAGCGCTCAGAGCTTTGTTGGGGCTGCTGCCGCGGTTGTTGCTGCGGTTGTCGTTTTGTAAGGGAGTTGACCCTGGTGAGCGTATGAAGAAAGGAAGGAATATATGTTATTTTGTTGTGATACCAATTCTAGGATGACGATACTGAGCTGGTTCTACGGGACTCAGATTTCGGGATGGAGTTTTTCGTGTCTCTTTGTGAGAACATTTGTAGGAAAGTAATGTGAAAACTATCTCTTTCAATCTTGATGGTGCTTTGCATCTAGTGACAATATCGTGTTATCTACCCTGCGAGACATGATGTTTACGTGAGAGCGACTACCCCATCCCCCACATCCCCGCTTCCACCTCGCTGCTTCCTCCCACGCCCAACTTCCACGTGCAAACTCCCAGCGAACCACGACTGCGTGCAACACACCATTCAATCTCTAGCCCGGCTATGATTAGTGAGTGGGCTTACGGCAGAATGTCACAGCTGTTGCGGGACAAGATGACTCGCAGCGCCTCAAGCTTGCGCGATGGCTCGAGTCGTGGGTCTTCTGTCTCAAACACGGTCAGGTTATACAATTGATGTCGTCTCAAAGCTTCTGGAATCGGTTCGAATTACACTGGAATGATAGGGAGACATGCGTAAGAGTTGTGCGAGATCGCTATGGAGGGTGTGAGGTGGAAGAGTTTGAGGAACAGGGTTATTGCAGTTGCACGCTTCTTGTTACGCCGTCGACAAGCGTCTTTGCGACCGGGAACACTGTCACTAAGACCTTTACCGTTGTGGGATGTAAGGAAAGGCCTGCTTTCATCGTTCAGCTACGTCCAGCACTGCACGCCCTTGATCTCGACATTATACGCGCTGCTAGCATGACATATCCAATGCTGGCTTCCATCGTCAAACCTCTTGATCTAGCATTACCCAGAGGTATATGCGCCTATGAGATGGAGAAGCTTAACGGTACACCACTGAGCCGTTTACAGCCCCGGGAACGCTCCCTCGATCCCGGCGCAAGTGAGCAATTAAAACGCCTCCTCATAAGCTTCGCACACCTTGTAGCGCAAAGCTGGTATTCACCACACAAACTAAATGCGATGTCCAGAACGACAAGAGCGGACTCACCTATGGACGAGAGTCCATCGATGCTCTCGCAGTGTCGCGGCAAGGTCGGCTCCACTATCACCTCTAGACTTGAGAAGCTGGCTATTGAGCTGCCGGATGCACATCTACGCCAAAGAGCAAGCCTGACATTACATGCGGCGCAGCGACTAGAAGACTATCCAGTTGCGCTCAACCACGGAGATCTTATTCCATCCAACATCCTAGTCGACCAGAACACCTGGGAAATTACAGGCTTGGTAGATTGGGCGGAGGCAGAGTACTTACCTTTTGGAACTTGTCTATACGCACTCGAATATCTCCTTGGATACCTCACACCGGCTATTCCCGACCTTCCGCCTGTGTGGACCTACTTTGATGGCGCGACGCAGCTTCGTGAGTTGTTTTGGACGCACTTGATCGAGGCTGTACCGGAGGTAGGAGCTCGAGCAGAAGACGTTAAGGTGATAAGAGATGTAGGTGTGCTGCTTTGGCATGGTATCGCTTGGGATGATGGCGCTATCAATCGTGTCGTCAACGAAGTGGATGATATGGAAGAGATGACTAAACTTCGTGCATTTCTAACTGTAGGTTGAAAGCATATCGCACAAGGTACATATGGTGAACGCGTGGGCTATATCTTCGCCTTTCTCCGTTCTTTCCTTCGTTCTATTCCCAACTGTCTTCGTTTTCGCTCTATCGCGCCGAGCGTTAACCAAGTTTGTTGATTGTGGGCGCAATGCGCCTTCCACCAGACGGTGGGTGTCCCTTCCTACACATGGCGCACCTTCTATATACACATAGGTAACATCACAACTTTTGTTTGTGACCCATCATCCTTGTTATTCCTTTTGCGTTCCGTCACTATCATCGCTCTGCTTCACTTCACCACTTATAACGAAAGGAAAGGTGTCGTCGAAAACTACGTTGTATTCTTCACCGTCCCAAACAGGCACGGTGTAGTACAAGAACGAGCCGACGCGAGAAACAAGGATTTGTGAGCTGACTTCCTGTTTTCTCCAGCGGTGAAGAATTGACGAACCAAGATAAAGAGTAGCCAGCATGGTCTCCACTCGGCGAGGTATTGCAAACGCAGAGCTGGCAACGATTGGCATGGAACGGCTCAAACCTATCCGACAGGAGAGTGACACTATTCGTGTCCTCGTTCCTAGTACCAAGAAGGTAGGCAAAGCTTCGCTGAAGCGAAAAGTGCCCAGCACTCCTCCCAATATGGCGATCTTCAGCACTATCAGTGAGCATGACCTCAGTCTCACATCTCCGAGCACCGGCGAAACTCTAAAGCTACTCGCAATGAGCATACCCAAGAAAAAACAAGGCTCAATCGACCATGGTGAACGCACCGTCTACTCTGCCCTCCGAAGGCTTGCACCAAAGCCCTCTGCAAACATGAGCGGTAGCTGCCACAACCCCATCATCGTCGACGATACCTTATCACCACCACGAAAAGTAGTTCGAGCTCCAGAGCGAAGCCATAGACACAAACGGCTGCCAGGACCTCATCAATTCATCGGCAATGGTTATAGAGACCTATACAATTATCACGCCTCCAAACCAGCATTAGCGGCCATGCCTGCGAACGGAAGTACATTCACCGGGCATCAGAGTCATGATATATACCGTATGATGAACGCGAAGATAACTGCAGCGCCAGATTTTAGCCCGAACGCAGCATGGGGCCGCAACACCCTCAACGTACCTTTTGAAGTGCAATAACATGGTTTACAAGCGAGCGCCGCGTACAAGCGAGCGCCGCACCCCACCAACTTTGCGCACTTCTCTCCTCTTAACGTACAATGGCTCAGCGTAGCGCTACTCTACTAGCTTCAAATGAAGCAGATATTCAGCTTGCTATCTTCTCTATTAAATCTTATTAAATACAGAGTAATCGCAATGCTGCTGCTATCTATAGCGTGTCTGAACGAACGATCCGCCGCCGACGCGCTGGTGTACCTGCCCGACGCGATTGCCAGCCTAACTTAAGAAAGCTTACCTAGAGAGAAGAGGAGGTGATTATTAGCTATATACTCGACCTAGATCAGCGTGGATTTGCGCCTACGTACGAAGCTGTACGTGATATAGCTAATAGGCTACTGACTACGCGCGGCGCTGGTCAGGTCGGCGTCCACTGGCCGCGCAACTTTGTCAAGCGTACAGACAGTCTCACGACGTGTTTTAATCGACCGTACGATAGGCAGCGAGCTCTATGCGAGGATCCAGCTCTAATTAGGAGCTGGTTTGAGCTTGTAGAGGAGACAAAGACTAAGTACGGCATCTGCGATGAGGACGTCTACAACTTCGACGAGGCTGGCTTTATAATGGGCAAGATCACGACTAAGCTTGTCGTGACAGGGTCAGAGAGAAGAGGCAGACCAAAGGCTATTCAGCCAGGCAATCGTAAGTAGGTAACGTTGATTGCTGCGATCAACGCAGCTGGCTGGACAATCCCACCATTCCTTATCTTTGCTGGCCAGTATCACCTGTCTGCCTGGTACGAGGAGGATATCCCACGCGACTGGGCGATTGCAATTAGCGACAATGGCTGGACAAATAACGAGCTAGGAGTTGAGTGGCTAAAGCACTTTAACGCTTACACGAAGACTCGCGTTGTTGGTGCGCGTCGTCTGCTCGTCCTTGATGGCCATGGGAGCCACCACTCTCTTGAGTTTCAAGAGCTCTGCAAGGAGAACAACATCTACACGCTCTGTATGCCACCTCACTCATCTCACCTACTCTAGCCTCTTGACGTTGGCTGCTTCTCGCCGTTGAAGCGCGCGTACAGTCGTGAGGTAGAGAGCCTGATCCGCCACCACATCAATCACATCACCAAGCTCGAGTTTCTGCCAGCGTTCAAGGCAGCCTTTGATCGATCGTTCACATCAGTCAATATCTGCTCAGCTTTTCGAGGCGCAGGCCTCGTGCCTCTCCAACCAGATACTGTACTATCGAAGCTTGACGTGCAGCTGCGTACGCCTACTCCAGCTGCCCTGCCAGAGGCCCTCTGGGAGGCGCGTACGCCGAGCAACGTACGCGAGCTTGAGGCTCAATCAACGTTGATACGTGATCGCGTTCGGCGGCACAAGAGCTCATCGCCTGCCTCTATTATTGAAGCGATTGACCAGCTTAAGAAGGGCGCTGAGGTGATGATGCTCTCAGCTGAGCTGATGCGCGATCGGATTGCCAGCCTTGAGAGGGCTAATGAGGCAGCCTCAACGCGTAAACAGCGTAAAAAAAAGCGTATACAGAAGCGAGGGACCTTAACAAAGGGAGAGGGAGAGGATATACTCGCTCAACGTGAGGTTGAGCAGCAGATTTCTCGTGAAGAGCGTCAAGGAGGAGCGCGATCAGGACTCAGCCGCCAGGCTCTGGCGCGCTGCACGAGGTGCAGGGAGACTGGCCACAACTCACGTACATGCAAGAAGGATACTAAAGATATTGCTTAATCTGCTATATAAATATCTATATATCATATTATCACGTTGTTAAGATATACGACTGTAGAGGTGCGCAAAGTTGGTGGGGTGCGGCGCTCGCTTGTACGCGGCGCTCGCTTGTAAACCATGTTACCCACTCTCCGCGCATGTTCTTGCGCAACAGCAGAATGCCTCGCATCATCAGTCACCGTATATGCAGCACCATCAAGTCCAAGCTCCCTCTAACACATACGGATTTCCGATGGCTCCCTCTCACAACGAAGGCGTGCTCCGTAGGAGGGCTATACAATATCTTCGAGAATTTCCACGGCCTTCACCGCACAAGAGAAGACTGTCTGACGCCGACCCTGATGAGACCAGTGACGATGAAGCCGAAGAATACCAGCAGCATACTAAACTACAGCCAAGCACTTCAACTCCCCAGTCTGGCTCCATGCCGCCATCCAAGGTCTGCAATGTTGACCGCCATATCACTCACAAGTCAATAATTCATCGAGACCCAGATCCCAACTTCCTCGTCAGACACCTCATTGAGCACACCTCGCTCATCACATCATTATTACAACTCTATCCGCACTCCACCGACCAGAAGGGTCTACGAAATGATGTATCAATGATGGTTCAAGTACAAAATCAGTATGTGACTGATTGGATGAAGGCTGAGTCACAGAGTTCGCGTAAGCGACAGAAGAATAACGACGAGAGCACTGTCAGCCTAGATAACCGTCCGCAACCCATCATAAACCCTGCGACGAGGGTACAGAACGAGCAAGACCTCGCTTTGCGCCAGATACTCTCTGCAAATGCTGATATGTGGCAAGATGATACAGGGCATGGTGTTGCAGATGTGTTTGCGGTTGTACCTGCTTCTTCTCCAGTGGCGAGCAGCTTTGGCGGAAGAATAGCCGGCTCTACGCATATGCCTTCAACCTCGATGGCACATGGTCTTCTTATACAGGAAAAGCTCGGCACTACTGGCAGCGCCCTTACAACTCCAAAAAAGCACATCCCGAATTCCGCCGTAGGGTCAGCGCGCTACAAAGGCATGCCTACCACTCTCAACATGGAAGACATACAGGCGAAACTTGGCGGACCGTCAATTAACCCGAAAGTTAAATCCAAGAGTTTGACCGACTTGAGTCTCCATTCAAGTTCTTTTGAAGGCCTGGCAACTCCCATCAAAACAAACCTCCATCCCATCAACGCTCTCATCACTCCCTCCCCAAACCGTATACACGACCCTTCATCTTCCCGCAGCAATCAAGGTAAAAGTAGCGAGCACGCCACCACACAGCATCCAGCCCCAAGCTCCGACGACGACAGACTCCACGTTCGCAATAATGGCAACGCCTCAAGCAAGTTACATAGTGAGAGTTCATACGACTCTCGGATTGGGAACCCGGGTTTCCGCTTTGAACGACGTGTTGATGCAGTCCATGGGCGAATAGGAGCAAATCCGTTGTTGAAGGAGTAAGTGAACGGGACAGTCTGGCTGTAGGAGCTGCACAGAAGGTGGGAGAGTATCGATGAGCTAAGGAGTGCCTAGGAGGAATGTGTATATATCAGCACTTGTATATTCTAAGTAGTATGGAAGTGAAAAGCAGGTGTTGAAGAGAGTGATGTGAAGCATCCTGTTAGCCGCCACCAAAGCCAAGTAGAAGAGCGAAATCTCATGTTTCATGATTCCATATTCTATTCGGGTATCAAGTGACTTTTCCCTTTTTCATCTCTCGTAAACCAAATGAGCACAATACCTAACAGCACGAGAATCTCATCTACCGACCCACTAGTTGCCCTTGTTACCTCTCTTACCACCCCTCTTCTTCCTCTCTACATGACCCAACAACGTCTTCTTGACATCTCCCAAACTCCTCTTGTTCTTAATCTTGGCCTTACCCAGCGTCATCAAGAAGTTCTTCTTCCTTGCCTTCTCCTGATTCGTCGTGCTCTTGCCCTCAGCCGCCTTCTGCTCCTTCTTCTTCTTAGCATGCGAACTGTGGTTTGTCTCGCGATCTGCGCGTGCAAGAGCAATCTTCTCTTCTTTGGTGTTCTTTTTGCCGATCTTGGCGGCAAGCTCGATGGTATCGGCGGTGATGGCTTCGTCGGCGTGGCGAGCGGCGAGGAGTTGGGCGCGTTTGGAGGACGCGAGGGAGGAGGTTATTGTTGAGGAAGCGCGCAGGGCTTGGAGTTGTTTGAGGTCGGCTGGGGTGAGGATGGTGGTGGTGAGGAGTTTGGATAGGGATTTTGTTTCTGGTTCGGCGCTCTTGGAAGGTTCTTTGCCGTCTGGACCGGGTGTTGGTGTTGTGGTGTCGAGCTTAGCTTTCTTTGCTGGCCTGTCTTTCTTTTCCTTTTCGTCTTCAGAGTCGCTGATTTGGATGTCTTCACCATCACTCTCGACGTTGATCCAGCCGCCTGAATCGTCGCTGTCGCCGTCACTCTCCACATCCCACTTCTTCCAGTCGTCCTCGTCGTCAAGTTCGACGTCGCCGTTGTCCGCGTCAGGATCCAGACCAGCAGCTTCTAGCTTCTTCCTACGCTCCTCTTCCTTCCATTTCTCGAGTAGCTCGATGCCTTCGATCTCTCCAATAGCTTCTTCACCATAACGGCGTTCCTTGATGGTACCAGCACGGATACCCATTGTCGCGTCTTTGCCACGATCGCGCTTCTTAAGGAGGTCGGCGCCGACTTCGCGGTAAAGGGAGAGGAGACCTTTGGCGGCCATCATCGTGCCCTTGTCCTTAGACTTGCGGTACTACTATGCGTCAGTATACATCATAACATCAGGGTAGTGTCTGAAAAGATGTAGCAGAAACAAAAGGTATCAGAGTTGCGACAAGCGCTTGGGTTTGTATTCAGATAGCGGGGTCTTAAGCCGCCTCATTAACACGGACCAAATGTTCTCATCATGAAAGAGTTGGAGTGCGATGCGATGCAGTGGGAGCATACAAAGTGGGGGGTGACTTACCATAACCAAGTCCTGGAGCAGGGTGTCCGTCATAGCTAACGGCTGACGCGCGCAAATCTCGCGAATGGAGTTCAGACCTGCTGCCGCGACCTCAGAGGCCGATGCTTCTGAGACGAACTCATTCGCAATCTTCTGCACAAGCGGTTCGAGCACATCTGGCGGTACATACGAGTGTGTCGCTTGCGCTAAGCATGCCAAGTAACTTGTGACTGACGCTTGTCGAGGAGTGAGATGCTTCAAGAAGTATGAGTATAGCGGGAGAACTGTGAGCTGATGTAACCCGACAAGGCGAGTGACTAACTGCAGTACCAGCAGCTTCGTTTCGAGGGCAAGCTTGTTCTTGGAGTTCTGGACGTGCTTGGAGAAGAGCGTTTCGGCGAAGCCTTGAGGATCGTGGAGAAGGTGTAGCGCGCTGAAGTTGAGAGGATGCGGTGCATTCTTTTTCTTTTGCTTCTTCTTGAGAGTGGCAGCTGCAGTCTTCAGTTCGCGGGCCTTCTTCTTGCTCTTCTTGTTGATACCAGCCGAATGCTTCAACTTCGCAATGTCCACATCGTTGTCGTCGTCGCTGCTCTCTTCTGCGGCGGCTTCTCGTTCTTCGTCACCACCAAGGAAGAACTTGGTGCCACCGTAAATGGTCTTCTCGTTGTCGCTCAGAGCGGCCAGTCGCATGACCTCGACAGCGCGCGCATCCGTCCATATTTGTCGCTTCCAAAGCTCTCTTGTGATCTTAACGGCCCATATACCCTTGGGCGAGGAGGAGTCTGATTCTAGGAGACTTTGTAAGGTTAGTCGATGGACCTTTGAATTGGAAGGGGGATGACATACTTGTACAACGCTGTCTGCATAGACTTGTTGAGTTTGTGGTTCACAGACTTTACGTTGGCCGTCCGTAGGTCTGAGATGATCTTGGTGTAGAGTAATTGTCGCAGACTCTTGCTGTTGGTCGTCACAAGGATGGGGAACAGCGTGTTGAGGAGTTTGACCGAATCTATTACTTCTTTCCGCTTAAGCAGGCAGTATGCTCCGACAACCTTGTCCCGCAAGTCGTACTCAAGCACCTCATGGTGGGTGAGCAGCAGCTCCAGATCCCGAGGAAACTCTGATGCAATGTCGGGGTAGAGGTCTGAGGTATGCGACACGAATTCGATGAGGTCCTTAAGCGCGACCAGACCGCTGTCAGAGGTGCTTGGGTCTGCAAGGAAGAGGTCGAGGAGGGTTCGGTACTGCTGCCATTGCTGCTCGAAGTCGTCTCTGTACGATTGAGGGTCTCGTTTCAGCTTGAACCGGAGTGCTGCATGATCAGACTCCAGCTTCTCGAGGGCACCAACTTTGCGCTTCATATTGGAGATTCGGATTTAGGGAACGTGAAAGTTGTCGTGGCCGTCGTCGTGTATGCGCCTGCATAGACTTTGCGACATGAAATTTTAGTGGGGCCATCCCACCAATTGGTCAGGGCGGACCGACACTAGGCCGAGAAGCTCTGGCCTCTTTGCGCGTAAATCTTTCACCAGCCTCGACAACCTCGCGCAAGCAACTCCTCAGTCGCGCTGCCCTACAACGGCGCGCATCATACTCGATAATCTAATACGTTACTTCTGAGTGCTCGTCGTTCAATCTCGATATCCGCTCACGCGCTCTCAAGACATCGACGCGGCAATAGTACCAGGGCCAGCGCCCGCCGTCGCCCATCATGACGAGCTTCTCTTCCATGTCCCTGTACGCCTTGACGGTGAAGCAGCCGACAGCGACACAGGAGGCAATCTCCGGCGACTTCCTTGGGAACGGCAAGCAGCAGATCCTCACAGCGAGCGGCTCACGGCTTGCCATCCTCGAGGTCTCGCGGCGGCAGAAAGGCTTCCAAGAGCTGTACTCGCAGGATGTGTTTGGTATCATCCGTCGTATAGCCAAGTTCAGGATCGCGGGCGGTACCAAAGGTATGTCAATCCATCTTCCCCGCTACAAGCAGTATAGTGATTTTCAAAGCACACGACACCTTCGAGCTCCCAGCTCTTTGAGCCCGCGGTGGACTGGACTGCAAACACTAAGAACCTCTACTGACTCCGTCAGACCATATCGTCATAACCACCGACTCTGGCCGGTTAGTTACATATGAGTACATGCCAGATGAGCACACTTTCAAGACGGTTCACTTCGAGACGTTCGGCAAGTCTGGAATACGACGCGTAGTGCCGGGCGAGTATCTGGCAGCCGACCCGAAAGGGCGGGCTATCATGATCGCCTCGACCGAGAAGAACAAACTCGTCTACATCCTCACCCGAAGTGGTCAGACGGATATCGCCATATCCTCACCACTAGAGGCACACAAGCCACAGACGCTAGTGTACTGCCTCATCGGGCTTGATGTTGGTTACGACAACCCCATGTTCGCTACACTGGAGGTCGATTACTCGAACTCCGAGACTGATCCTACTGGCGAAGCGTACGACGAGATCAAGAAAGAGCTGGTTTACTACGAGCTAGATCTTGGTCTGAACCACATCGTTCGGAAATGGTCAGAGCCAGTCGATCGGACAGCCAATACCCTCTTTCGAGTACCGGGAGGACCAAATGCCCCAAGCGGTGTCTTGTGCTGCGGAGAGGACAGCATCACATACCGCCGTATCTTCAACAACAAATCGAGTGTCCACCGATTGGCCATCCCACGTCGTGAGGGGGCCACCGAAGATCCCAACCGCAAGCGCATGATCGTTGCTGGTACTCTGTACTCTCTCAAAGGCGGCGATTTCTTCTACCTCCTACAAACAGAGGATGGCGACGTCTTCAAGCTTACCGTAGAAGCAACTAGCGGCACGGTCGACAAGATCAAGATCAAATACTTTGACACTATCCCTGTCGCGACCAGCATCTGCATTTTGAGGGCGGGTTTCGTGTACGCCGCCTGCGAATCTGGAGACCGGATCTTGTACGAGCTAGAATCTTTGGGAGACGAGACGGAAGACCCCGTTTTCGAGAGCGGCCAATTCCCTGTCGATCCAGAAACTTCTTTTGCACCGCCTTTCTTCAAACCTCGGGCCCTTGTCAACCTCACCGCGGTAGAGACGATGCCTAGTCTCAATCCGATCATGGGTATGGAAGTTGCCAACCCTGCATTGGAAGATGCGCCCCAAGTTTACACGATCAACGGCACCGGTGGTCGGAGTTCGTTCCGCACCACCAGAAACGCGCTTGAGGTTCTGGACCTCATCGAGTCGCCATTGCCGCAGAATGCTTCCGATGTCTGGACTACGAAATTGACCAGCGAAGACGAAACTGATACCCTTATCGTCATGTGCCTTCACAGCAGAACGCTTGTTCTCAAAATTGGCGACGATGTCGAGGAAGCATCGAACACGGGCTTCCTTCCAGACACGAACACGCTTGGTGTACAGCAGTTCGGTGAGGACTGCATTATCCAGATTCACCCCAAGGGTATCCGTCATATCCAGGGCATCCAGTTTCCTAACGACGATGCGAGCGCGACGCACGCTAGTCTGACTGACTGGCAACCTCCGGCGCATCGTACTATCGTAGCTTGCGCTACCAACAACCGACAAGTTGCTATCGCGCTAAGTTCCGGTCAGATCCTATACTTCGAATGCGACTCAGATGGATCACTTGCTATGGCTGAGGAGGAAATTGCTTTGGACAGCACCATCAACTGCCTTGCAATGCCCGACGTACCCGAAGGTAGCGTGCGAGCGTTCTTCTTGGCTGTCGGTTGCAGTGACCAGACTGTCAGGATCTTCAACTTGAGTCCTGACATGGAAGGAAATATCCTGCGAAGTATCTCTGTTCAAGCCCTCACGTCGCCGCCCAGCGACTTGACCATCAACCTCATGACGGACAAGTCCCCCCGTGGATATAGCCAGTTCTTGCACATTGGTCTACGAAGTGGTGTATACATCCGATCAGTACTGGACGAGATGACTGGCGACATCGGCGACACCCGGAGGCGCTTCCTCGGGCCCGAGCCTATTAAGTTTGCGAAGGTGACCGTTGCAGGCGAACCTGCTATCATCGCAATGACCTCACGGCCATGGCTAGGCTACACACATCCTCGTACCGGAGTGTTGCAGCTGACACCGCTGAACTACATTCCGTTCAAGTCCGCTTGGAACTTCGATGGTTCTCAGTTCAAGGGAATCATCTGCGTCAGCGGCAACGAGTTACGGTAAGCACATCCCATCTCTTTCTTCCCAACTGCAATGATGAAACTCTGTACTCCCTAAACACGATGAGGGCAATAACAAATTTCCAATTGTTCCTACTGAAAGCAGTTATCAATTTGTTCTTATTACAATGACGGCCTACACGATCAGTTGCTGACCACGACAGAATCTTCACATTCAACGACCTGACGGACAACACGACTTACGAGAACATACCGCTCAAGTACACTCCAAGGAAGATGGTTGGATGGCACGACCAGGGTGTGTTCTACGTGATTGAGAGCGACAACAACACTATAAGCGCCGACAGACGCCAACAGCTAATCGCCCACGCTGGTATCAAGAAAGAGGACGACGGCACCAATGGCGACGCCACGAACGGCACAATCGATAGCGACGAGCTTCCAGCCATCGATTTTGGTTACCCAAGAGCTCAGGGAAGCTGGGCATCTTGTATCCAAGTTGTCGATCCTGTGAGCGAAAAGACTGTCACCCACACCGTTGAGCTGAATGGCAATCAGTCACTTGTCAGTGCTGCCTTGGTGTTCTTCGAGAGTCGTGGTGAGGAAGCATTCTTGGTTGTTGGCACTGCCAAAGACTTGAGCTTCGCTCCCTTCAAATACACCTCTGCTTCAATACAAGTGTACAAGATCAACCCCACTGGTCGCGAGCTGGAGTTCTTCCACGAGACTGAGGTCAGCGACCCGCCTCTAGCGCTACTTGCATTCAAGGGAAAGCTCATCGCTGGTGTTGGTCGTCATCTGTGTCTCTACGACTGCGGTATGAAGTCTGTTCTACGCAAAGCTCAGGCTCCAAACTGCGTACCGACGCGCATCACTGATCTCAAGACCCAAGGCAGCCGGTTGGTTGTCTCCGACCAGGCGCAGTCCGTCACCTATGTCGTTCACAAGGACCAAGTTCACCCCAACCGCCTCATTCCTTTTGTTGATGACACAATCGCGCGTCACACCTCAGCATCTGAGATGTTGGACTATGACACCACAGTTGGAGGCGACAAGTTCGGCAACATCTGGCTTGTGCGTTGCCCACAGAAGGTTTCTGAGTCTTCCGATGAGTCGCCTGACGGTTCAGATCTCCTAGTAGATAAGGGCTACTTGGGCGGTACACCGAACCGTCTCGACCTCATTGCCCACTACTTCACAAACGACATTCCTGTTTCAATACAGAAGACTGTTCTCTTGTCAGGTGGTGAGCGCATCATCTTCTGGGCTGGTCTCCAAGGTACCCTTGGTGCACTTATTCCCTTTAGCTCCCGCCGACAACACAAGATGTTCCAGCAACTGGAGCTTCAACTTCGGTCAGACGACAAGCCACTATCGGGCCGCGATCATCTCGCCTTCCGCAGCTACTTCGCGCCGGTCAAGAGCGTAATCGATGGTGATCTCATCGAGCGCTTCTTGGTGTTATCACGCGACAAGCGAGAGAGCATCGCTGGCCAGATGACGGGTGCAGAATGGACACCCAGCATGATTGATGAGGCGATCTGGAACATGCGCGGTCTCTATGCTTTCTAGATGAAGCATGTTCTCTGCACGTTATGGCGTTTGGAAATTTCGGGCCTTGAAAAGCGGTTGGTGCTTTCTGTCCAGCGGTTGTAGCGTCTTTGATGAATGAGTTACAGCAACTTGTATTTGTAAATAGAAACGTAGGTCACAATAGACCCAAATGATACCCGAGAATCGTCTTTAATTGCTTTCGAACAACTAAGCTGAATGGTGTATACTTGGACTTGTAGTACCATCCCATGTCAATCTTCTAAGATTCCCATAGCCCCGACTATCATCAATCCCACCACACCACCTACTATGATCTTTCTCACGGCCTCCATAGCGATATCCAGTGTCACAGTTTTCTCTCCAGCGGACTTCTTCACATTGTCATTCTCCTCCGATCCATACCTATACCCATTCGACCCCGCAATCACGACCTCGAAATCCCATTCTCGATACCCTGTATTCGTCGCACTTTCTTTGTGCATATCCCCCTCACCCCAAAGCGCACATTTGATAATAGTGCGACTGCCCGCGTTCTTACACTCGGGACCAAGGTTGATAGCAGGTGAACGCTCAAAATAAATGTTGAAGCTATTACACACCTGCGTGGGTAGAGTTGGTGTGTAGGTGGGTGTAGCTGAGAAATCGAATCCCTCTGGAAACGAGAGGGTGGATCGAGGCTCTGGCTCGCCTTGTGTAGCAGATATTCCCCAGCCGAGACATCTACTCACACACTCGGTCGTACTGTATGCTTGTAGCTCATAGAAGCCTAGGTACTCGGTGCCGATGTAGGATGCGTTTGCTTCACGGAAGGCGAGAGAATAGCCGTAGGGTGTGGTGGCGTCTAGAGCGGGTGAACGGAGAAGAGGGGAGGTGTAGAAGGAGTGCATGTTGTCTTCTGAGGGGATGGGGCCGTAGCCAGGGGCTTGGGGGAGACAGTCGCCTTGAGTATTGTGGACGATCACAGGGGTGGTTGGGATGTTAATGGTCGGAGAGATGGGGTTTGTTGGAGAATGCATAATTAATGTGGTTGTTGGGGTGGTCACGATGGTAGTTGTCTTGGGTGTTAAGGTAGGTATGTTGGCAACGTTGAGAGTGGCTGCTACCAGGCTGAGCGAGGTGGTGTCTGCCATGTTGATGTATGTGAGTTGGAGAACACTAAAGTAGAATTGTGTACGAAAAGTGTTTTTGTGATCTTTTGTCGTTGTTGTACGGTAGCGATAAGGTGGCGGTGTGTTGTTGCACCACTTAGGTGTTGGTATTACAAGCACCATAATCACCCCTTTGGGCCTCAAATCCCTAAGCACCAATTTATCCACTCCTAATTACCTCATACCCTTGACAGCCTACTATAAACTGTCGTATCATCCCTGAACGCACTCTGCCCTATTCACGCATTCGTCAGCATATCATGTACCACACCAATACGAAATCCACTACAACGATCACCGACCTTTCAAACACCGTTCCACAACCCCAATCCACAAGTCCCTCCCCTTAGCCTTCGCCTCCTCATTTCCCCACCCCTCCACCTCCATCATAAATGCATCCTTCTCTCTGCCGTTCATCCTCTCTGCCATCTCACTCAACGTCTCCGTACGCGTCCTCGTTGTCACAACCACAGCACCTGTTTTGGGCAAGCGCGCAAACATCTGCATCTCAGTACGTACGAGTAATTCGGTAGGGTGGAGGGTTGCTATGTTTCCGGCGAAGAAATCGATGGGGCGGGGGATGTGGAGGGTGGATGCTAGAGAGGAGTGAAGTGGGCGCGTTTGGATAAATGATTGGTGGAGAGTTAGGGGGCCGGCATGCGAGTAAGGAGAGATCGTGGGGAGGTCGAGGGTTAGTATTGATGGTAAGGCTGAAGAAGTATCAGTCTCGGACGGTCAATGGGAAGGGAGAACGGATTGGAAGGTGAGATTTGAGACTCACTAGACCAAGGTATCATCGGCAGTCTTCTGTTTCCTTCGCCCTGGACCATAACATCGACTGATTTTCCTAGGTACGGCGCTATGGTGTAACCGGATGGGAAGAGAGTCGTACTAGCTTGTCTATAATCCTCATCATCAGCCTAGGCCTAGCACAACGTGCCTGACACAAAAGAGTTACGAAGAAACGGAGCACTTACAAATACCACATCCTAGTACTCTCGCTCCTCGCCCAAACCATGAAATCCTCCCCACACAATCTCGCTATAACCTCCAACGGATGCGCCTCTAAGGAGCCTTGCTCTAGCGCGAAATCCTCTCTAGTCAGTTCATTTAGAATATGCTTTTTACGATGTTTAGTCTTGAAGCTGAATTTATTGTGATGTGTTTCGACAAGGAAGGATGCGACTTCTTGCAGTAACTCACGACATGCGGATTCGCCTTCGGGAGTAACGTGTATGCAAGAGGAGCGGTTGCGTGAAAGGAGGTGTACCCGCGCAGCGTGGTACTCGATGTAGTGTTCGTCGATGGCAAGCCAGTCGTGGCGGTTTGTGGGGGTGAGACCTAGTTGCGACGGAGTGAGGGGTTTGGAGTGCGTGGAAGTTGATTCGATGGGTTTGTTCGTCAAGGTTATGTCGGGGAACCAATCGCCAGTTCCACAGTCGTCTGCGTCAAATGCTGGCATTCGTGAGATACGGTGTTCTTCGGCTATGTAGGCCCTGGTTTTGGGGTTCTTGATCTCGGATAGGTCTTCGATGTCGCGGAGGTTGACTGTTGTTGTCGCTGGGGAGAAAACATGGTAGTCGAGCGCGGTACTGTGTGCGATGTCTTTGACTGGCGCTGACAACGAAGCATGTGTAAAAACGGTCATACGCTGATTTCTCATTACGTCAGCATGTGCCTTGGACTCGCTGTTGTTGTCGGCTGTCGTCGCATGATGGTGTGCATCCTTGTGCTCGACCTTGACAACGACGAATCTCTCCGGAGCGGGGCCGAGAGCGCCTTTGTAGAACCAGAGCCGGACTACGGCGGTGCCTATGAAGAAGAAGTAGCAACATATGCCAATGACGAGGACGAGCAGGGCGTATAGGGGAATAGATCCAGATTCCGGTAGCGGGCTCGCTGCCATTCTGGCAGTTGGACAAGTACAAGTGCGTTTGTATCAGCGAGTAGAAACTGTAATGTAGAGGTTCCCAGCAGCGAATCTTTGCATGACCTCGGATCATCGTGGCGAAACTAGCAAGTATTGTGACATGTTGTGCACATTCGACAGTGACGTGAGGATGTGAAGCTTATTATACATGATGCAATTCAATGCAACATGCAAATGAGCAATGGGAAGAACAAACCATTGCCAGATTAAGCGTTTACACGAAGGTGCTAGCGGATGTTCTAGGTGTGAGAACAGAGATAGAGGAGGAAGAGAAAGGAAGTCGGAAAAGCAACGGATAATTGGGTATCGTGATATTTGACTATGGCAAAAGAATCAAGCAAAATATACTCCATACTCCCGAATCTGCCCTTGCATATGTCGGAAACAGCCTGTCGGCAAGGTATCATGCAAACCCAAAAAAAACTCAAAAACGTCCTTGGCCGTCCCCCGAATCAATCTTCATAATGTTCGTATACTGAAAGCATCCAACTCTTACTTGATGGCAGGCAAACTATCAATCTTCGCATATAGCTCCTGTGCATCCTCAAAGACGTACCAGACACCCTTGGGGACACCCTTGAAAGCCTTCTCGAAACGTTCTGGGCTGTTCTTGTTGCCCTCATCCATCTCTGCAACACCCGTCACCTTGCGGATGTAAATGGCACCGATCCAGTTCTTGCCAAACTTTCGGTAGGCTTCGCCGTATGATTCAGGGTCTGTTTGTGTCGAGTCGCCAATGAGAATGAACTTGCGCTTGGGGAACCAGCTGTGGACCTTCTCGATGCGATCAACCTTGTAGGCTTCAGTGCCCTGTGTCAGGTTCGCAAGGAAGCCAGCCAGATTCATCCAGCTAGCATCGCGTAGGATCATAGTTCCATTGGGGTAGTATTGCTCACGGAACTTGCGCAGAAATGGGTAGAGGTTGTATGGTGACGCGGAGAGATACCAAAAGGGTGGGTTGTCAAGCTTTTGTACAATGTGCCTGTACAACTCTGGCATACCCTTGATAGGCTCTGGCTCCTCTGCGAAGGTGGTGGTAAGGATGCCGACAGGTGACGAGGTCAGAGTCTTCTTGATGGTGTCGTCGACATCGGAGAGTACGGCCCAGCCTGTAGGCTTCGCGAAAGTGATATTGAATGGTGTCGCATCATTGTTGGTAGCCTTGAGCTTATTGACCTGGCCGTCCTTGTAGTCGTTTCCAGGAATAGCCAACTCATCCGAGCTGATGCCGTCGCGGCCGCTAGGACCCAGTCTGGTGTTGAGGCCAAGTAGATCAATCTGAACAGAATGCGCAGGAAGAATTTGGTCTGCAAAGGGCTGGAGCCTCTGTGCGACGGTAGCCCTGGCCTGTTCATCGTCTGCCAGACCAATCTTCTCAGAGACCCATGCGACGATCTTGGAGAGATCCTTGCCACTGTTCTTGACAAAGTAGGCGGCAACAAGTTCCGCCTTCCACCTTCCTAGGCGGTTCTGGTAGGCGGTGGTGTCTAGTATCCATACGTAGTCGGTATCCGGGTTAACGTTGGTGTAGAAAGGATTCTTGGCACCAAGGTAGGAGGAGAGGTTGTCTTTGAGGGAAAAGCTGAATCGGTTGGCGAGTTTAGGCATGTCTGCTTCGAATGCGGCAAAACCTGAGTTCTCTCTGGTAATATGCTCTTGTTCGGTTTCTTTAACACGCATACGAGCCTGGCCAGCCATGGCGGAGGCGGATTCAGGAGCCATCTTGTAGGGTGATGATGTTAAACAAAGGCGCGGGTGCCTATCGAGATGGTGAGGTCAGGAGGAGGGTGTATTGCACGGGACGAAGGGGGGGGCGAGGGCCATGGTTGAGGTCATATACTTTGTGCCTGGCACTTGACCAGGGCGAGCTGAGTGGCTGTCGAAGTGTCTCACGAATGGAACAAGTGCGCATGAGGGAATGACGTCTGGCCAAGCCACGCATGGCTGCCGCATCCTGTAGCAATGGTCGCTTGCCGAGGAAGCGACGATCCTTGAACCTTGTCGCCATATCGCCTCGAATAGGTGGGGACAACTCATGGGCGATACTCTCAGTCTCCAACACTAACAGTGGGGAGAGTAATGTCACAACTGGTAACAGCGAATCGTAGCTCACCTGGTGTCGATGCGAACAAAGTGACGCAACCACAGCCAAGTTACTAGATCAGTGTGAGTCTTTGATGTTTGTAGTAGCCCGTGACAGGTTTGTGTTCTTGAACGGAAATAACATGTCGCTGACCCCGTCGGTTGATGAAAGCCTACACTTGGCTGTGCCAGACTTTGGAGACGCTGAGATGGATCGGGTACTGCTGAAGAATTAGACTGGGGCGTGACGTTTGACGTGTCTTGCAACATGGCGTCAGTACGGCTATATCGGTACTGGGCTCAGACTATGCCGCCGTCACACCTCTCGGCGACAAAGAAGACGACAACCGCCAGACTGCGTTCATGGTTCTGTGTATATTCAACAGCCGGTTGCCTTTTCATTTTACCGCCACCCGTCGAACAGACGAACCGTGGTATCACGCGGCCGCAGCACAAGCAGGTACCCGGTCATGTGTCACAATCTCGACGTATTCTGCGACGCTTAGTAGGCGTCCCATCTCCGGTACTTGTAGAATCAGTGTGGATGCACGGAAAGGGTCCAATAAAAAGCAGACTACCGGGCCGTGGGTCTGCAGGAAAAGGCCGATGACATATCTTGGCATACCCTACGCCATCCGGGACGCGTAGATGGCGCTGTGTGGGGAAGAAGATGGTAGTGCAGTACAGCGATGGTTGCAGCGTCGCCACACGTTATACGCGGCTGTTTACGTTGCCTGTACATGTGTTCGCGAACTGGACATGGCTTGGCAACAAGAGGCGCAGCCTTACCTAGGTAACCGTCGGCGCGAGGAAGGCGCGCTGGAGGCCTCAATCAATTCCTCAATCCCACCATCTCTCCCCTTTCCACCAAGACTCGCGGACTCGGAGCTATCTAGTCTTTTTGCGCGTCTGCACTCTGTATTTGCGCATTCACACCAGACTCTCTTGGGTCCATTTGAAGTCGCGGAACCACTCCGCTAGGAACAGCAGACATGGAGCTCAAGAAGCGCCTCAACTTGGGCAGCTTGATGCGCAAACGATCCTGTGGGTCGCATATCGAATTTCTGCCTGTTGCACTCTAACACTGGCAGCGCAAACAGCCCAAGATGTCAATATCGACTCAAATGCTGACACGCCCGAGGCAAATGCCACCAGGGGAGTGGTAGGTCATACCGCCTCGTCGCATCTTCGTAGCAGCTAACAGCGAGTAGATGGCCTTCTGTGAGTCTGGTGCCGCAAACTCGGTATGACATTCACTCACAAAACTATGGCGCCATACTAACCTACCCAGGGCGAAGAAGTCCTCCACCTGCCTACCATCGTCGAGTCCGCCGTCGCAAGCCCGAGCGCTGCATCAGCCGCCGCAAGACAGATCCGCATCTTCCTCTCCAAAGAGAACTTTACTCGCCCTCATGTCCAGTACAATGCCATGATGCTTGTTAGAATCTTGGCCGACAATCCGGGTCCATCCTTTACCAAGAATATCGACAAGCAGTTCGCCGACACAATCAAGGACCTACTTCGCAAAGGTCGAGATCCAAGTGTAGCTCAGATTGTGAAAGAGACGCTGGATTCAATGGAGCGTGAAAAGGGTTATGACACCAACCTGAACACGCTGTTCACCATGTACAAGAAAGAAAAGGGCCTCATGGCAGTCGCCGCAAAGCAGTTTGGCCCCCGGAAGCTCCATGCGCCAGGCTGGTCAGCGTCGCAGAACATACAAGGCGGCTTTAGTTCAGGACATAGGTCATCATCCAAGACACTGCCGCCGCCAGTAGAGCTCGCAGGTCGCATCGAGGAAGCGCGTACATCGGCCAAGCTTCTCCTGCAGCTCGTACAATCCACGCCAGCAAATGAACTACTCGGTAACGAGCTGGTCAAGGAATTCGCTGAGCGCTGCACGGCCGCCCAGCGCAGCATACATGGCTACATCGCATGCGACAATCCAGCGCCCGACGATGACACTATGCTCACGCTGATCGAAACCAACGAGCAGCTCTCCCTCGCTGCCTCCAAGCACCAGCGCGCCGTCCTCCAAGCCCGTCGATTTATGGGTGCTTCGCCATCCCCACCGGTACAGAGTGGAATTGCCATGCCGCCGCCACCGCCGCCGAATGGCAATACTAGTCCAGCTGGTGTGCCTTCAAATAACGATGCACCTTCCATACCTGCTATGAACTTTGGAACGACACAACCTAGCCAAACAATCGGTGCAACACCTACAAACTACGGGAGCGATCAAAGCAATCTCCCTCCGTCACTGCAGGCGGCACCGAACCGTACACAACCGAGCGCACAAGAAGAGAACCCATTCGCTGATCACTACACGACTACATACACACCTCCAGCGCACCAGAACTCTTCACCGTCAAACGATTATGGTGGCTCACCGGATCCCTACCATCCCGGTTTCCAGTCAACTCCATCGTATCTGGGCCGACAAGAGAGCTCCGCAAACAACTTGACCATGCACGGCGCGCAACAATCAATCCCAGAAGAAGATGACCATATGCGACCGCGCACTGAACGCCCGCGGACACCTGACCTCAACGTGCCTCAGCAGCAGGCTCATGACGTTTCGCCCGTCGCAGAGCGTAATACCGTCACGTACAGATATTAGGCTTCTCGCGATGAAGGATCGCGTAGCGGACCGGACGCGGACGTGATGATGTGGGGTAACGTTTTGCAGGACCGATTTCACTCTTTAGACCCGACGGGTAACCCCGATGCTTTGAAATCACTAAGCGTGCATGCTCTTCTTCTTCTTGCGCAGGGTTGAACAACTCAAATTTTACAGGGCGGCTTGGCGTGCGATAGTTAGGAAGAGATACCATAGTTGGCTTTCACATGAATTTACAGTTTAATGCTATTGTACTTTGTCTTGCCCCGCACTTGAGCGCAAGGCTGTGACCTCACCACCCCCACGGCCATGCAATGACCTCGTGCATCTCACGCGTCTCTCACCCGCATTGATCACGCAATCCCCACCGCACCTGAATCGTCAACATCGTACGGCACGTCGATTAGCTTGGTCAGCGACGAGCCGACCATCTTCGCAACCAACCCCTCCAATATGGAAGGCGAGACCCGGCACCCCCCACCGCGGCGGAACAGGGACCGCTTCTAGCGCCGAAGAATTAAAGAAGCCGTCATGTTGAAGACATACACTATTGACATGCCCCGTTTTGCCCTTCCTTTCGTCCATGCTAACTTCCACTTCCTCATGGCATTCTGCTGCAAAAGTCCATGGCTCGTTCGCTTCCGGAATGCGTCGACACGTTGATTATTGGTACGTGATGGGACTAACATGCGCGCGCAGGGTAGATACTGATTACAAATTATAGGCAACGGGCCGTCAGCCCTCATCCTCTCCTACATCCTACACGGCCATATTCCCTACTACATCGGAGGCCATCATGACGCGATACTCGACGCGAAACTGCAGAATTCACCAAACCTGCTTCACCTGACGCCGGATCTGTACGCGCATTTCTTGTCCTCCCTACGCTACTCGACCCAAGCGCTGCCGGTCAATACGCTGCTCGATACCCTTGTTCGACCCAATGCCGATACCGAGCTGAATCCCAAATCATGCATTGAATGGCGGTACGAGCCTGACAAGGCCATTCCACATGTTGCAATTGGAGATACAGCCCATGCAGGCGGACAGTGGGCGGAAAACCCGGTCTCCGCGAGCGCGGATATTGGCACATTGAGCTATGCGGAACAGTTAAGCCTCCCGGGCTATTCGTATGCAGACCATCTGGCCAAGAGCGGAAGGGAAGACGAGGCGGAGTTCGTACGGCCTTCGAGGGTCGAGGTTGCGGATTACCTGAGGACATATCCGGAGGCGGTGGGCATAGCCGATAGCATATACACGGGGCTGAAAGTCGAACATGTGCATCGAACAGTACGCGGATTTTCTGTCGGGAGTCTCGGGATTCGATGCAAGCATCTCGTACTTGCGTCCGGTATCTTCACAGTCAACATCCCGCCACCACTCTACCTCGCGCCCGTCGCACAGATGGACTCGCAAGAAGCCCCATTACTCGTCATTGGATCTGGATTCTCCGCTGCTGACGTTATCATATCGGCGCCGCCAACTCGAAGGATCGTACACATCTTCCAGTGGGCTCCTGAGAAGCGTCCATCTCCATTACGAGGCTGTCACCACACCGCATACCCCGAGTATGCAACCGTATACCGCCAAATGAAGCTTGCAGCGATTACGGCTAAGAAGAAAACAGTAAAGTCTCCTTCTATACGGCGCAAATCAAATCCGTTTCAGCAACGCGACTGGACTCTCTACGAAGGCCTGCCTAATGCCGAGGTTGTCAGTGCGTCTACCTCTGGAAATATAGCAACCGTAGTACTACGACTATCTTCAGGAGAAACTATCACACGTGATATAGGCGGTCTAGCATACGTCGTCGGTCGACGCGGAACCTTGGATTTCCTCTCCCCAGAACTGTGCGCTGAGATTCTAACTTCGCCCGACCACATGAGCCCCGACCCATCGTCTGGTCATCTAATTTCAGGTCGAACACTCCGTGCCAAAGCCGAAGCTACATCTCTCGAAGTAGCTAAAGACATCTTCATAATCGGAAGTCTCACGGGCGACTCTCTCATCAGACATGCAATTGGTGGTTGCGTCTTCGCCGCTGGTCGGATCTTAGGCGCAATACCAACTATCTACTCTCCTGATAGTACGCCCTCGCCAACCTCTTCAACCTCTCGGTCTGCATCGCCGGCTTCCACGTCTGATACTGAGATTGCTGTTGAGGATGTGCAAAACAGTCCTCAGAAGGAGCGAAGTGGAACGCGCACACCGGGTGAACTGACAAATGGGCATGCGGATCTGCATGTTGATCGGAGAAAGCTTGTTAGGGCGGTGGAGACAGCTCACGTGGAGAATAGGTATTGGGTTGACTCTGGGTGGTGGGCTGGTGGATTGGGGCCAGGGAGGAGTTGAATATATAGACACTTTGATGCGTGGTCTTTTCATTGGCGCAAATAGAAGTACATACCCCTTGTTCGTTAATACAAACTCATGATTACGAATATTTGGGCCCACACACATGCATTCCTGATGTAGTTCGTGTTGCTCGATGTCACCAACCAAAATCAAGTGATATTCTTCATCAATGTCTCATTCAGCCGCCATCTGAACCAAGTGTTCACCTCCATCAGAATACTTGTACCTAGTACACCTTGAACTCTGCAATCCTAACCTTGGTGCCCAACTTTGGCGTGAAAACAACCCTTACCTTCTCTCCCTCAACCTCCTTCCACTCTGCCCCCGTAATTCCATTCGCAACAATATCCCCATAGGTCGCATCCTCCACATCGCTCCAATCCCCGTTATCTCCTCCACTGGGTACTTGCAGCTTGTAGCTAGCGGGCTCCGCAAAACCCTGCTGCTCGTTTGCGAAAAATGCAAGCTCAGCCGCACTAATACTGACAGTGTTGCCAAAATCGATCTGAAACCACACGGCGGTTCCATTACCGACCGGTGTATCCCACCCGTTCTTAGCATCTTCTTCGGGATAAAACCATATCCTACCATCAATCGCAGGGTACGTAGCCGCTTGACTAGTGTCCCCCACACTTGTCGTACCACGCGGGTACGCCGTTGTAGCGCTGAGCTGAACAGATTTTGCGATTCGACGGGTGATAGCCGGTGGAGCCTGACGTTGCACGTCTACGGTGAGACGGGTGAGAGTAGGGGATGAAGCAACGACGTTGCCGTCGATTTCGACTTGCAAGCCAGCGGCGTTGTAGTGTGAGCCGTCGGCGTCCCATTGAACGGCGATTTCATGTCCATGGTACACGATACGTTCAGCGCGGAAATAAGTCATCTGCGCTGCTGAAGCGAGGGGGCTTACTTCCAGTGTGTCGTTCGCAGACGGCCGGATGCCAACGAGACCTGATAGGACAAGGTCGTTGAACCCAGAGTGGAAGTAGTGATGACTCCGCTTTAGTCCGACAATGGGCAGGCCTGTGTCGGGGTAGTAGTCTTCTTCTAGATCCAAGATCCCCGTATCAGGGTTCCTATGCAATTGCGCGTATTGACGTAGTAGATTGGTGTAGTCATCGTTGTTGACAACGCCCGTCTCCTTGCCTTCCACATAATGATCCAAGAAATTGGCTAGTCCGGAAAGCACCTGCGTCATTTGGAAAGGCCAAACGGGGCCGTTCCACTGGCACTCTGGATTCGGGCCTTCGTATCGGTATTGTCGCATGTAGTATGCGTATGACGGCTCTACGGTACGCAGGCCGTGTTCGCCGGCAAGTTCGCTGCTGTTGAGGATGTGCGACCAGGCTTGTGCGTAGGTAGCGGTGTCGTCGGGGAGGTCGTGGGTCCATGGCACCATACCAACTAGTTCGCGCCCGCGGATGGGATCCCAGTATGTGACGTTTGTGTTGTTGACGTGGTAACGGTCGATGAAGTGGGCGAAGGTTGAATTCCAGAGGGCTTCTTGGACGCGTGACTTCAGGGCTGTGGCGCGGGCTGTGTAGGTGTCGACGGTGTTTTGCTGGCCGCCTTTCAAGGCCGCCATGTTTGCGATTGCTCGGGCGTTGGCGTATTGGTAGCTGTTTATGCTGGGGCGGAACGAGTCGCCGCCGAAGAAGCCATCATAGCCACCCGAAGCATCTATACTGGAGATTGTATACTCCGTCGCGTCCCGGATAGGCTCAACGTAATACAATCCTTTATCCTTATCATAAGAGTCATCCCATGCCTCATACACCCTCGTCATATCATCCAGTCTCTTAACAACATCCTCTACTACTCCATCAACAAGATACCCCTGCCAAACAGCCGCAGCCATACTCTCGGAAAACTGGCGACTATTACTATTGCTGCTGTAAATGAACGTCGCGTAGTCTTCTTTGAATCGTCGATCGCGAGACCATCTTCCCTCCAACAAGTGGAATCCGGTTGCATCGTTGAGACTCGCCCATGGCATAGTCTGCCACCCGACATCGTCAAGGAACTCGGTGGAGATGTAGCCGTTGGCGCCAAGGTCGCGTTGGTGAGCGCGAAAAATGGACCATCGGTAGTAGTACACATCTGTGATGTCTTTGTCGCTAGAATCGAAGAGTGGGATTCGGTTGCGGTACCATGCTGCGTCGTTGCCATAGTACTTGGTGATTATAGCGTCTGCATCGAGGAGCGCATAGCCCTGATGGATTAGAGGAATGAGAGCGACTGTGCTGAGGAGCTTCATGACCGGCAGTCCAGGGCAAACTAAAAGTCCTCTACACGAGCATGACCTTTTGCGCATGCGCGCTCATCGTCCCTTTACATATCCTCTTTCACTAGCTCAACCAGCTAGCTTCTTGGTCTTCCATCCGAATGCGAGCTCCTCGTACACCCGGATATACATTGTGACGTGAACCATGCCTAGTATTGGCTGTTTCTCGGCCATCGGAGTATTTCTGTAAGAAGTGAGTCACTTCGTATTGGCCATGGCAGTATCGTCGCAGATCGCAAATACCTCCGACGGCGGCTCTCCGAACCAGGATCGATATGAGGCGCCCCGCTTCTTTCCCCGCAAAACCTGGAGATCAGCATGGAGATAGTTTTTCCGTCGCGTTCGTTGGACAAAAAACTTGGTTCGAGTTGCATAGACGTTGTATTGTAGACTTCGTCCGGTGCCGCGGTTGTTGTTCGCGTTCGTGAAGTGGAAGCACCAAAACCTGGGCCGCGCCAGTATATATCAGAATTGCTTCAATCAGAGCACTTGGATCAAGTCGTTGTTTTCCCGATATTTCTAGATGGGGAGAATTTTTTTGTATGTGTGTCGTTCGAGTTACAAAAGTTGCAGGTGACTCGTCACTGCGTCATTGCAATACCAGAGATGAAGTATAGATGCAAAGTAACAGAACATTTGCACCACAGAATTTAAGCAAGAAGGCGTATCCTAGGTGGAAACATTAAGCTTTGAAGTATGCCTAGCTATAGTATTTCCACTATTTTCGGAACAGAGTACACTTTCGGGCAAAACTCTATCAATGAGAATAGTCACAAGGAGATTACCCTATGCACAACTCTTTACAGCCATCGTTGTTGGAGTGTTCTTGCTAATACTTGACGGGTATAAGTTGTTACTATGTATCGACACTTTGGAAACTCCCAAGGTTCGATTGATCTTGGGGTATTCAACGGGCTACGAGGCGGCACTACACTTAGCTTTTATGTTTTATATACTTCTGTATCATTATGTGTTAGTCAACGGAAGCTTGCTCCTCGTTAGACTTCTGAGATGGTATTTGCTTGGTGCAGAAAAATGAGGAAGCGCGTTAGGACTTTTTGACTTAGACATGACCGCAACGGCTACCATAATTAAAGGAGATGAGATGCTCCTGAAGGAGAAGTGGCCCTCTTGCGCAAGAGGACATGTAGGAGTGCTTCTCAGGTGCAAAAAAAGATGCCTCCACGAGGGGGAGGCCATGCACACGTCAAAAACTAACATTGAAGCTTGCCTATTACCCGAATCGAACGAGTGATCTTCGCATTACAAGTGCGACGCCTTACCGCTTGGCCAAACAGGCGCTAGTGTGCTAGTTATTGATGGAGAAAAGTTCGAGTAATATTTTAATATTGTTGATATTGTAAGGATGATCGAAATGGGTGAGTTTTGGTCAATCGGCGGGTAAAAACGGCGAATACAGCCAAGTTCGCAGCCAGGGCGGGGCAGAACGAACACTATACTTCAACATACCAATAACGAAGCTTATTGGGCCCCTACTATTTACTACTTCCAGCTGGGTCGATTACACCTTGTCACTGAGGGTTTTGGTAAGATCTTGCTCCTGAGACACTGTATGAAAGTGAGGCGTTTGTATGCACGAATGTCGCGCATAGAATACGCCTTCGAGACGTTCCAGGTCAGCGTTGTGTAACCGTGTAGCTATAGCTACTTGATCGCTACCACTGGAATCTCTGGTGGCTTCGTTGGTTGCGGGAATGGCTTGTTTTGGTTATGAACCACAGAAACTCTAGAACTGACATGACACTTCTTAGCAAAGCAACGACGATATCTGAAGCTTGTCATCCATGACTATATGTTGTGATTCACTACTGCACTCTAGAGTAACATGTCTTGCCGTATACCAACGTGCCTAGCCATGGATGATTTATCTTGAAAGTGTAATGTAGACCTCAGACACAATGATCATTAAGCTTGTAGCTCTATTCTTAATTCCACGGTCGTCGGTCGTGCGCAATCTACTGTGTCAAATAGCGCTGCTGCAAAAGTGATAAGGTGGGCGGCGGACTTAACCAACGCAGTTCTCAGAACATCACCCAGAGATCATCGCGTAACAACAACATCACTAGACGGCACACCACGCCGCTCATCCTATTCCCATCGGAAGAGAGGGAATGTCACTATGTCATTTCACGAACTACCCCACGGGTTGTTAGTGTTGTGTGGCAAAGGTCGAGACTTCCAAGGTTAGCCTCACCTTTGTTCCGCAGTTCGAGCGGAAGCTCCGACCACCGCTACATCATCGCTGTAAAGGCCAGGCAACACGTACACCAATACTTTCACCCTGCACCACAACCTCGTATCACAGTCCTTTCCGATGTTGTATCTCAATCGTGCAAGCTAAGACCTAGTCACACACAACTCAACTACTTGACCAAGAAATAGACGGGTTGAAGGGCTAAGATGGCGGATACCGGCGTGGATATCGCATCTCTCACAGCCGACCAGCAAGCTGCGCTCCAACAATACACTGCCGTTACCGACCAAGCAACATCCGATGCGATACCGATACTTCAACGCGCGCAATGGAACGTCAACATAGCGGTAACCCGCTTCTTTGACGGCGAACCGACCGAAGACCCAGTCGCTGCAGCCCCCGCCCAACTACCACCGCCCCAAGACATTCGACGACAAGAAACACTGCTGAATGGTTTTGCCTCACCGCGATCATCAACAGGTAGTGGGAGAAGAGTGAGGATAGAACCTGCTCCGAGGGTGGTCCCGCAGCCAGAAAGCCAAGTCAGCACACAAGTACCGCTAGTGCTTGCCATATTCTTCGCGCCATTCTCGCTCGTATACTCTTTATTCGCAAAATCCTTCCGGTTGTTAGGATGGATCTTCCCCTTTCTGCCGCGCGCATGGGGGAGGGTCACAGCTAGCAATATCAACACACCCGCCTCTCAACGCAGCGCAAGCGGACGACGACCTTTGAACCCGCGAGATACAGCGGCGCGTTTCATTCGCGAGTTCGAGGAGGAATACGGAAGCCACAACCTGCCGTTCTTCGAGAGTGGATATGCACAAGCCTTCGATCTGGCGAAGAAGAACCTCCAGTTCTTGATGGTCGTGCTGGTCAGCCCAGAGCATGACGAGACATCATCTTTTATACGGGACACACTTCTATCGCCAGAGGTCGTAGAGTTCGTGCGGAACCCCCAGAACAACATCATACTTTGGGCAGGCAATGTGCAAGATTCGGAGGCATATCAAGTTTCCGCCGCCTTATCGTGCACCAAGTTCCCTTTTACGGGTCTCATCGTACACACACCGCAAGTTTCGTCGACGGCTATGGGCATTGCGGCACGCGTAGCCGGTCCCACGCCCCCACAACAATACATTGCCAAGTTAAGACAGGCAATGCAGCAACACACGGAGCCGCTCAATCGCGTACGTAGTCAGCGTGCGGAACAACAAGCGACACGAAACATTCGAGAACAACAAAATAGCGCATATGAACGCTCACTGGCAGCGGACCGAGAGAAGGCCCGCAAGAAGAAGGAGGAAGCAGAGCGTAAAGCCCGAGAAGAAAAGGAAGCACTTGAACGCGAACAAGCCATCGAACGATACGCACAAAACCTCGCTCAATGGCGGCAATGGCGCGCTGCATCTATACACTCTGAGCCTGGTCCTGAGGACAAGGACATTGTACGCATCAGTCTTCGCATGCCCAATGCAGAGCGTGTGGTCCGCAAATTCGCCGCCGATGCACATATAGAGGAACTCTATGCATTCGTCGAATGTTACGATATTCTCCACTCTGAAGAAGGTGTACAGGAGAATGTGGAACGGCCGAAAAACTTTGAGCATGAGTACAAGTTCCAACTGGTTAGTCCCATGCCGCGCGAGGTATACGAGCTCAAGACTGGTGGCACGATCAAAGAGCGTATTGGACGAAGCGGTAATTTGATTGTTGAGCGGACGGATCTAGAGGACGAAGAGGAAGACGACGAGGAATAATCGCAGGAAGACGAGCATTAGACTGGCGTTTCAATATCTGCTCGACTTAACGTGGGACGTGAACATCCACTTGGGTTCTCGATACGACGTTTACGTTGACTATGAGTACAAGTATGTATGTACAACGCTATACATGAGTTTCGTCATTTGCAGTGCTTCGACTATTCCTTGATCCATGCATACCTAATATATGCTTGCCAAGACAATAGATACCACAGCCACAGCTCCGTGTTCCGGATGTTCGAGTCGGACTCTACGGCAGCTTCGGGAGCACAGACCATTTATTAGCGCGAATGCATCCAGTCCGATTCCGTCACGCATCACAAGCTTTTGATCGTCCAATCTGCCATCGCGTCCCCTCAAACAATCCTCCGATATGCTCGCAGCGATAAGACAACATGGAAAGAGCTAAAACTCGTAAACCGCATAAGAAGTCGCGAAACGGCTGCTTGCCGTGCAAAGGCCGACATGTCAAAGTGCGCATCCCATTCGAGTCATGAAATCTACATGCGACTGACCATCTTTCAAGTGCGATGAGCAAAGGCCCAACTGCGCAAATTGCGTGAAGCAAGGCACTGTGTGTGAATACCGACCTTCCACGAGCCGCGAGAGTCGTGAAGCTTCCAACATATCGCCCTTGCCAGTTGGAACACCAGCTTTCACACCATCATCCGGAGATGGCAATGCCAATTATCTTGACCAGCAACCATTACCAGATTTTGGAACCATCACCCTTAATGGCGCGTCCAGTCAACCTGATCTGACATTGAACATACCCCAATTACGGTTGCTCCAGTACGTCCTTTCATTTGCGTTCTGATACTCTAGGAGTACCTCGCTCTACTTCCGTGATCTTGTATGACCGTAATGGTCACCCGGATTTGTCTACCATATATGGGGAGTACCAAGAACTTTGAGCTGATTGCGTGCGTAGTCACTTTACGACTGTCACAGCCAAAAGCCTAGCAGCGCATACTGACGCCGAGGACGTGTTTACAACTACTTTAATACAGATCGCGTTCGACCATCCCTATCTTCTTCAAGCAACCCTTGCGCTCAGCGCGTTACACCTGAGCCGGATTTCAGGCCCAGAAGAAGCCCAGCAGTACTCGTACCAAGCTGAGAAGTACCACGAACAAGCTCTGCTCAACTTCCAGACCACTGTTCGCGATATCGAAGATTCAAACTTCAAGCCAGTCCTTTTGTTTGCGGGCATGATATTCCCACACGCATGTATCGCTTCGCTTATGGTGCATACTGGCTTGGAACATGCGTTCGAGAGCGTTCTCTCCAATCTCGTCTTGACCCGGAGGATCAGGCCCATGGTGGCCAGCTTCTACACGCAGATGAAGGAAAGCGAACTAGGTCGTATGATTCCCGACGACGTCAAGGGTATTGATTGGCAAACCGAGGAGCAGCCACCCAATACCGAGCTTGTACAACTCCGCAAGTTCTCAGAGGTCGTTCATCACGTCTATCCTCCCGACATTGTCGATGCATACGGTTATGCCTGTCATATCCTCGAGTTAGTGTTTCAAGTCGCAGGAAAATCTGAGAGACCTCCTTCCGACGCGTTATTGAAGATCTGGATTCATCTTATCTCTGATCGCTATATCGAGCTTTTGTCAGAAAGGCAACCGGGGTCTTTGATCATCTTTGCACACTACGCTGTCATAATGCACAGAGGAGCGAAATGTTACTGGTATCTCGAAGGGGTTGCAGAGCAGATACTCCTGATTGCAGATCATATGGTCCCTAGCGAGTGGAAGTCGTGGCTGCAGTGGCCTAAGGAGCAGATTCGCGGTACCTCTGTTCCGCCGACGCCATACTCGGGACATGCGACATGAGACGCGACATCTTTCACAGGCTTCTACAGCTTCTCAACATCAGATCGCTGAGCTACAGATACCTTCGGCCTGCTTCATAATGTGAGCCGTTCCATGCGGGTCGATGCTGCCCGTTGCGGAGACACTAGGGTTGCAAACCTGCCTGACTACTACCAAAATACGTGCAGCTATTGCACCGAAACAATAACTTTACGCCAAATCGGCATTGTTTGTCCCTTTTCTCAGACTGCTTTGGGAAATGCTTGCGAGGGATGCTTGGTAGGCTTGATGAAGTCTTAAGTCGTAAGTAAAAGCGGCCTAAGCTCAAGTATCCACCTATTGACTTACTATGCAGACCACCTTTACAGGATTTGGCTCGCCAGCTCGAAAGGAACCCAAACCGAACTCCAGATACATTCAGGAGGAGGCTGTGCGAAACTTGCGAGGCAGACAGCTTATCTATCTGCACCAACTACGAGAAGCGCAAAGACGTATTCTGGAAGCGAAATTGAAGACTTTGTCCAGCTACCCCGTGTTTGATACCACGATACGCGGAGAGCTAATGTAGGATATTCAAGCAACAGCCCAAGAAAAGATCGAAAAGAGTGGACCCGAGTATTCAGGGAGCAATGCGATTGGCGCGTCGTATCTGAAGACGCTAGTCGTATGCACGGATCCTACTCCTCCTCTACCCGGGACATGTACACATCCCAACAGGCGGCGGGAAGGGGTTGCTCGGGCAATCTATGTACGGTTCTAGGAAATCTATGTACGAGATACGGCTAGGTGGGCTGTGCCCCACTGCCATCAACTACAACTTCTACACATAAAGACGTTGCCATGATCTTCTCAATCAGCCAGCCCTAATCGACACATCAACACTTCAGCTGTGCGACACTGCGAACACCGCTTACACTCTTGATTCCTTCGTCTCAATTCTCTGACCTGGTTTTACGATATTACACGGGCTTCTGCCACCTACCTCTACTCCCCCGCCTAAAGATGTCTACACCAGGACCAGCAAACGACTCAGTACCAGAGTATGTACTCTGGCCGTACACGCCCACCATCGCAGCCGGTGCCATTTCCGCTGTCGTGATGTTCATACTGTTCTTCATTCACACATTCCGCCTCGTCAAGAACAAGACATGGTTCTGTATACCGTTCGTTGTCGGAGCTTTGGTATGTGCCCTACTCTCCACTATCTTCAGCTTCTATGCATGAATTTAGTTTACTAGAGCGGAACACGCTAACACCTGTCCCAGTGTGAAGCCATAGGTTACTCTGCTCGCGCCGCAGCCCACAACGACACAGAAGGGAAAACACCCTACATCATCCAGTCCACACTCATCCTCCTGGCGCCCATCCTCTTCGCAGCTTCCGTCTATATGATCCTTGGTCGCCTCATTCGCCGTACAGACTCTGCCGAATACTCTCTGATAAGAGTCAACTGGTTGACCAAGATCTTCGTTGGCGGCGACATTTTCTGCTTGTATGTCCATCTAAAACACACTGTTCGTATGCGTCACCATACTAACTCAGCTCTCTAGTATGATTCAAGCCGGTGGTGCAGGCATGCTTGTCTCAGCCAATGACCAAGACGGTTTCAAGCGTGGCGAGAACATCATCCTCGGTGGTCTTATCCTTCAAATCCTCATCTTCGGCTTTTTCGTCGTTGTAGCGGGTACCTGGCATGTACGACTTCAAAAGCGACCTACAGCTGCGTCTGCGGATATCCCATGGACCAAACTGATTTGGTTCTTGTATGCGGCTAGTGTCTGCATCACTATTCGTAACCTTTGCAGAGTTATTGAGTACGCTATGGGCAAGGTATGCTTCGCTACTACTTCTTCTACATATGAACAATTTGCTGACGGACAATAGGATGGCTACCTGCTATCTCACGAATGGCCCATTTACGTCTACGACTTCCTGCCTATGATGATCACGCTTGTTGTGTGCATCTGGTGGTACGACCCCAACATCAAGCCGGGTCGCAAGACAGACATCGAGTTCGCCCATCGATAAATTGGCCGAGATACTACTTGTGCAATTGACGGCACATGAAAGCACGAAGCTGGCTCGAAAATAGAGTCTAATAGTGGGAGCGAGCACTTTCCCATCGACACCGTATATTTGTTTTCTTAGTGCAGCGTCCATGTTTATCTTTTTCGTGATGTAGGAAAGAGCGCTTCGATAGTAGTAGCTCATGAGGATATCGTCAAGATATCATGGACACAATTGTTATAAATACCTAGCATAGCTTATGCAGATCTTGTTGCATGTGACGCTTCGTCCTTTGCCATCTTCGTCGACGCATTTCTGCTGTTGTGATAACATACTCGATCGCAAAACCGCCGGAAGATGGTCTACCTGCAAAGTCGTGAATGGCTTAGTTTTTCTTTGATAACATACCGAACTTAGACATCTGATTTTGCTCTCATCAGAATCACCCAAATAACATACATCGCTCAGTCTTATAATTTGTATTAGCCACGTATCTTTTCGATGATGCTATCCACTTCTTCCGTCTACTGGTGGTATTAAGTTATGGCTACTCCACACCTACGTCTTCGACCGCCCTTTCTCTCCCTCTAGTCCAGTCCTCAGGGACTCGAACTCCTCTATTCCTGTCTTTCCCTCGCATCCTCAATCGCCCTATCCCAATTATAAAACTTTATATAAATACCCTCCGTTATTGTAATACAGCTCGAACCAACCGCACACCCAGTCCAAAGCCCGACTAATTTCATATCCTGCTTGAAGCAAAGGAAAAGTGCCAACGGCACAGCAATGACATAATACACGAAAAGATTGCACCACCCGCCGATATTTTGCTTACCCAGGCCGCGGAGTAGAGCGTTCACAAGCGCGGTGGTGGAGTCGGCGAACTGGAAAGCGGCCAGCAGAGGCAATACGGTGGCTACTATGCTAACGACTTCCGGGTCACTGGTAAAGGCTTTGGGTAGGGTGTTTCGGCAAGCGGTTAGAAAGGTGAAGTCGATGAGTCCGATGGCGAGGAAAGTTAAAATGTAGGTTTTTGTGGCGGTGCGGGCTGCGGAGAGGGAGCCAGCACCAATTAGATTGCCCAGGCGAGTTGAGACGGCTACGCCAACGGAGAATGGGACGTGGTAGATAGCTACTGCCAGAGTCATGACGCTGTTGATGTTAGTGTTTGCTGTATATATTATGAGAGGACGTAGTTCTTACATTGACTGCGCCGCCAAGTGAGCTGTGGAAAGATAGCTTGTGGAGAAGGTAAGAATGTCCTGTAAGTGGATTAGCGTGTACCCCATATCTGCGGGTAGAAACTGTAGACGTACAAAAGCCAGCCACTCCGTCTCAACCATGACAATACCCGGGACAGCCAATTTAGCCATCGGACCCCAGTTTGTAAACGCAGCCTTAGTGAAGCCACCCCAGCATTCCAGCGAAGATGGATTAACAAAGTATACGTAAATCCAGAGCAACAACGGCAGAAGATTGTTGGAGAGGACAGTTGCAAGTGCAGCACCTGTGAGATCCCAATCTAGAACGAATACAAAAACATAGTTCAGAGCTATGTTGATGGGCGTCGCAATAAGCAAGACGAAGAGTGACGCGTTGAAAAGGCCTTGGGCTTGCGTAAACCGCTTGCCAGCTTCAAAAATGGCGTATCCTGGCGCTCCTGCGAGAAGCAACGAAAGGTAGTATCCGGCGAGATGCGCGATTGCTTTTTCCGGAACGAGGGCTGCCAGAATCCAGCCCGAACATAACCAGATTGCTCCAATTGGGATGGTAACAGCCAGCATGAAGAGTATCATGCGCTGAAGATGGAGACCTACCATGGTTTTCTTCCCTGAACCATAAGCTTGCGCGCAGAGAGTGTCTAGCGATGTGGCCAGTCCTTCGTAGATTGCTAGTCCGGTAATGTTGGCTGTCATTGTAGCTAGAGATACCGCACCAAGCTCATCCGTCCCAACTGTACGGGGTATCAGTCAGCTTGTGTCCGAGAACTTTTCTGCTCTGGGTACTTACTATGCCCCACGACAAAGATGGTCACCAAGCTGAACGAGTATTGCAGTAGGTATGTTCCCATGAGCGGAACGCTGTATTTCAGGAGCAACTTGGCTTCTTGCCCCGCCGTCGTTCCCAGCTCTTCTGTCGTCCCCTCTCCCCCCAGCAGACTCTCAATATCAGAGGGATCCGGAATCGCGCCATATTGACGCTGCTTCGCTGCGTTGTCGTGCGACTTGAGTAAGCCGACGCGCTCAGCCGTACTCGTGGAAAACCTGCGCGCCTCGGGAGCGTCCATTGTGTTGTATGTGATGCCACCACCAGAAGTAAATGGAAACGGAACAAAGCCCAGCGCTAAAGACGAAATGTCATTATCGTATTCCAAGTGCTTGACTTCGTTGTATTTGTCGACTTTGTCTTGCTTCTGCGGCTGCGATCTCACAGTAGTCGGCTTGGGCTGCCAGAGTGGGGCGAGCAGCTGGGCCTCCGCCGTCAATGGCGCATCTCGGCGCATGGCGATATCGGGTGGCTTGCAAAGAAGCAGTAAAGCGTCGGAGGACTAACGAGGGGCGGGCATGGCCTTGCCTGTGCCGTGTGGAGTTTCTGTGCGACAGGTGCCCTGATGCGGGAATGTTTGTCCAAAGCCTGCAGCTTTTCACGAGGTTTTTGTGGTGCAAAAAAGGGCACTGTCATGGCTCATTTCCCGCGCCAACATGTTGTCAGGGTCTCCGCTGCTTTCGTTGCCATGTTTACTGCGAACTGAGCCTGCACCTACCATTCGCAACGGCGGGCCGTGGCGATAGTCTGGTAAGGACGAGGCAGTTGGGCGACTTGGGGTGCGTGGCGATGATCGTACCATTGTAACGCGCTTCGGAGGGTTTCCCATTGGCGAGGAATGGTTCGTGATCCAACCATCTCCGAGACACCCGGAATCGCGACGTTGCGCTACTGTCGAGTATGCATGTCGAGTTACCTCACCAAGCATATCTAGAGATGCGCGAACTATCTGGCTGAAGACATAGAGCACGATTCGTCTGAGTCTTGTCGTTCGAAGCGGTCGCGTGCGCAAGATAGTGTATTTGGAGCTTGGCTGATCTGCGTATATCCTTCCATCAGAGTACTACCTACGCATTCGTCGTCAGCGTATCTTCGATCGTGCTTCCATGGATGATGGTGTTTACCTCTATCGGCTTGAATGTCGTGTACAGTATATCGTAGTCTACCGTCATCATCCAGACGTATAGTGGAGTATACCTAGGTGATGCAGAGCAGCAATTTCTCAAATCGCAAAGTTCAGAACGACAGCTTTGGATCATCCGTGTTATAGGCAAGAATCAGACGTCACAATAACGTTGTCATGATTGGATACAAGGCGCAGCAAGCCACAACCATATTAGGACCAATTGGCAAAAGTGGTAGGGCCGTGCCCAGGAAAGCTACTCTGCACTCAAACCTGCAAAGTCATCAAGACAGCTCATGCGAGTTTAGATCTTGGCTTGCATCTCCGGCGTGCTCTAGAATTTCCATCACATCTTCAAGCACTCACCCCGCAGTTCCTTCCTTCTCTCTTACGTCCACCAGATATCAAATTGTGGCTCACGTGCCCTACCATTGAGCATTCAGGTCCGCACTATATATCACCACAAGAATAGCCTTGTCCCCTCGTCTTCGGTACATGGCTCATAGACTGCTGTTCCCTATGTGCTCGGGCTGCTGGGATGCCCAGCATCTCCATTCACTAAACCTCACACGCCCAGAAGAACCCATCTCGTATCATCCAGATCCAGATCCGCGACCCACAACCCACAACCCGCTATCCCGCAGCTCCATGCTCTAGTCTACGCCTGCACCTCTTATCGTGCAGGGACGCAATTTCCAGATTCGGAATAGCTAACTGCCTGTAGTCTTTGTACATGATCCCACATTGTATTGATAGAAAAGAGGAGCGGAGTGAGAACGAGAGGAATAAGGAGAGGACGAGCACGTTGTTCTGTGACATTGGTGACAAACAAAATGACAGATCTCGCTTGGAATCCATACACCACTTATAGCCCACAACCCAAGGCGGCAGAATATTGTAACCTTGTTCCCACGCTATAGTGACGGAACACTCTTGAATTTTGCTGCATTCACACTTCGTTCCTCTCAAACTTTTGTCGGTATTAGTTACACTAGGAAGTCTCCGTTCGTTTTTTTTTACTCGTCTCATTCGTTCCATTGGCGTCCGATGCAACGTTTTTCACGAAGGGCTTCCTTTTATAGGCTTTATATATGCTGTTGGTAAGAATATTTGGATGTCAGTAACTTCATTTTAAGCCGAGAGCTGCACGTCTCAACCAAGTCCGTAGCACTAACGGTGTATCAGGACACTCATTTCAGGAAACACGCAGACCAATTTCTTTATGATGTTGTCTAGCCCGATTCAATTACAAGTACACATTAAATATACTATAGAACAGCAAGTCAAACAAGCCAATCTTCATCTCACATCATTGCGTCCTCTATTTTACTCTACAGACCGCAGAACATAACCTAGACCTTCATTCAGATACACGCTACGAAAGCATAATCTCCCGGTGGCACAATCCAACCCCAACTACACACACATCTTACATCTTACATCACCCCATCCATCATGCCGTCCCTCAACTCTTATCCCCATACCCGCTTACCTTACCCGCTTGATCCGAACCGAGTTCCCAACAGAAAAGCAATCAGCGATCGCAGTTACGATCTGCATAACTCATGCCATATACCATATGTCTTAGACATGAATCACAACAACGTCTTCAAGCATACAATGCACAACTCGCAAAAAGCAGGTAAACCGGCATAGCGGACAAAGAGCCAAGTCCATCTACGTAATGATGTCCGTGTTCCGCGATGCCACCGAGCACACCATGTCCTGAAGCTATGATCTGCGATTCTGCCCAGTCCGCCGAGTCGCGAGCGCGGGGTGGGGGGCAGAACCAACCGCACCAACAAGCGAACCGAGAGAGAGAGAGAGGAAAAAATGAGACTAAGGGGATATACGTAAGTGGTATCCCGCCCTACATATGCGGAGTGCTCTGTGCCGACCCTTCCCCCCATGCTCCCATCCGCCCGCTATTTTGCTCCGCACCATACTATGCTGGGTGGACGGGACGATGGAATGGGAGGAAAAAGTCCCAACCAATGCCACGCCAATGGTATTGCGTCAAGGTGTATCCTGTCCTGTCAGTTTCCATCAGCGGAAAGCATCGGCAACTGAGCTTTCCGAACTGCACGACTGCACACATGGCGTGACATCAGTACAATCCATCCGCGTCGTAGGTTGCTCTAGCGGGCAGTTTTCTACTGGTGGTATAAATTTTCCATAACCTAGGAACCTTATTGGGGTTTGGTCTATTCCTGGGGTTCTACTGTACTGTATTATTATACGCATCAAGCATAGTCTTTTAGCATAACGTGTGTGCAAGCTTTGAACATCCGATCCGACCTGCTCCAACCCCACGACGGCGCCGCATAGAAAAGGGCCGAAGGCGCGTCGATGCGAAAAAGCAAGCGGCGACACCGTGGAAATAGCTCACGTGTTGAGCAGCGATGCATATTTGTGGAGTACGTGCCTACCACTGCGCTGGGAGACGCCGAAAAGAAAAGGAACAACGTGTTGATCAACCGCGCACGCGCGCGCGCGCCATCAAGTCGGTAAAGGAGAAAACGCGACGACGCCATGCGACGCGTGTTGTGCAAGGAGAATTTGTCGTGTCTGATGGCCATTGGGGGGTTGTTCTTTTGCTTTCGCGTGCTGAGACCAGGATCGTTAGAGTGAGGCTCAGTGAGTGACAATGCATTGCATATGAATTGCAGTTAGTTGGCGATGATCGCTGGGATGTGATTGTGTGCGTGGGTGGGCGGCTCCGAAGACCGCAGCTGCGCTGTTAAACATTGAACGCGTACTCCCGCCACAACGATCATGGATTTGAAAGACTGTTGAATGCGCAGTCGTGTAGTCAACTCGTTGATTATCAATTATTCGAGTATTATGAGTGCATCTGTAATCGCACGTATACACGAGACGGAGTTCAATGACGATAAGGAAAACTGTGATAAGATAGAAATTGTAGAAGATTTCATTATGTGATGACATGAAGAATGGAACCATTGACAATGTAGTCTATGAAGGAATCCCAGCCCGTGAAGGAAAAGGCCAAACCCTGGCTTGTAGACATGGAACCAATCAGAGGGTTCTTACATGGAGATAACGCCGGAGAAATGCAATGGACAATATGTACAGACCGAATGCATCGAATATCGACATTGTGAAGTGAACGCTAATGCAAAGAGGAAAATCAATCGGGCCTTGCGAGGATTGCGGCAATGGCGTCACATGGAGCGCAAGGCTGGGGTTTGCGTTTCAATGTTTCGGCAGCTGGTGGTGGACAGACGCACTCGTCGTCAGCAGGTACGAAGACGGAAGTTCGACGTGCTTGCGTCAGGCCTGGAGCGTTCATTGGCACGAAAAACGATTCACGGCGATCGTACTGCGGTGTGCGACATCCATCTTCATCTTCAAGGAAAACAGATGGCCGTCTCGAGAAATGACCAGCGGAAAGCGCGTCGTCACAGGAGGGGTATGCAGTGCCCCAGAAAGGGAGCTTCGGGGGCGTGCCCTGACCGTTGTATGGGACATAAATGGATCCACCACGCGGTCTGAGGAAGGGACTTGGGTCGTCAAAGTCCTCAAAAGGACTCTCGTTTGCACTCTTATCCGATTCCTCCTTTGTGGCCTCGAGGTGCGATTTTTGTAGCGCGATCTCGAGTTCTTCGGCCGAAAAAGGTTGCGAGGGATTACGAGTGCGGTCGGAGCCAGTGGCGGGTCTCGATGTTAGCTGGACGGAGCTGCCGCGGCGAGCGGCTAATCGGCGAGCGTCGCGAGGGTCTTCAGTTGGATTGCGGGAGAGACCGACTAGGCACGTTAGTAACAGATCGGTCATATACACGAAGAACAAAACACACCATTGAGCACATCGCCTTCGTCGTCAGAAGCCTCTTTGATGTTTGCCGGTCTGTCGTCACCAGCGATGCTCGCTCCGATGCCGCTGTCTACCCACTCTTCAGCATCGTAGTCTGAAGAGCAACTTCCTCTCCGACTTCGGTGCATGCTACGACTGCGGCTACGTCTCCTGAAGCTACTCCTACGGCTCGGTAGCCTGCTACCCATGGGTGAATATAGTGACGCGTTGCTATGCCGGCGCCACGCTGTCGAAAAACTGAAAGCCTCGAGCTTCTTCTTGTGTTCGGGATCGACAGCGCGACGGTATTTTAGTGGAGGCATCTTCTCGCCAGGCTTATAGAAATCAGACTCTGGCTCCTCTGGTTTTGCGTTCTTGTGTGAGCCAGCAGTAAGAACGCGCTTTAAGCGAGTGCGAAGGTGGCCAGGCATTGTGGGCGAAGAGTGTTGTTGAACCGGGGCGTGATAACCAGTACGGGAGCTGCGAGTGGAATTACAGTAGTGGTATGTGAGTGCTGGTGTGAATGTTGGCGGAGTGTGAAAGTGTGGTTAGAAGAGAGGAAGAGGGCACTCGGAAGGATGGTCCGGTATGATGTCGGCAGCAGGGTGAGGCTGATTAGGGAGTGGGTCGGGCACAGACGCTGCAGTTATCCTAGCCCTGGTCGAATGCTGGGCGAAAGATGGAGTAACCGAAACTGCGGTGGGACGCTCCAGTGGTCAGACACTGTGCACTGGGGAAAACGGTGGGTTGTATATGGGCTGTGATGCGGCGGATGAAACGCCCTGCAAGGCTAGAAGAAAACGCGGAGAAGTGCAAAAGCTTGGTCAAGCTGCACAGTAATAACGCGATGTTGGGCTTGGGAGTGACGGAGTCTCGCTACGACGCTGAACCGACCAGCGAAGAGAGGGGTGGGAGGGTCAGCTACTGAGAAACTAGGTTGCTGCATGCATGCCTGGCGGTAGAAGTTTTCTAGAATGGAAGCAGGCGCGAAAAGCGCAACAGACGGCGTGAAGCGACTGGGCTCGGTCGGCCGAGGGTTTCCTAGCGAAAGGACGAGTGGGTGCAAAGGTGGGCCAGACTGGTGCTGGGTGAGCGCTAAGCTGTTGGAGGGTGAACTGCCGTTGGGAGTGGCATCCATGGCTTGCCACCATGGTAATTCGCGCAGTCTCAGGCCTCATTCGCTGCCTGTCGGATAGTGGCAGCGCAGGTTGCGGAAGGTGGTTGGGATGATGCGTTGAGGTACTGCACGCCGAGCTTCCAGATGGCGTCGGCAGCGTATCTGAGCAATACGCGGCGCAACTTGGTGTTTGTCTAGACAAAGCATCGAGCATGCTTTACTGGAACCCTTTGCCGCCAAACGACTGTCAAGATCTGACGTCCCACCCAGGTCCGTCCAGTCGCCGCGTGCCTGCATTGGGCCTACCTCAATGGGTCTCGGTCAGGTGGTCGGAAATTGCGCAACACAGTGTGGGGTAAATCTGTATGGGACACAATCGGTGAAGTCATGTCTATATCTGTACACACCGCCAACGCGAGATTGACTGCTTCGAGAGAGTAGCCCTGCCTTGGTCCCTCCATGGGGACTGCCTCACTCATCCTCCCCACGTGTATGTTTGCCGAGGGTCCCCCGAAGCCTCAATCGGAGCCTCATTCCTCGAATCGGAGTGATCGCTTACAAGGATGACGCTGCCCCGCATGTCACACAACTTGCTTTGGCTACAGCAACACCTTCACGCTGCACCGTAGACAGGTCGAACCGCTGCAATGGGCATAAGGCGTGGCTGTTCGTGGCTGGAACGCGGTAGCTGGCCTTTCTATTGGAAGGTGGGGGTCTAGCTCCTGCAGCTACCCCATCGCGATGACCTCATCGGCGTCAAGCTGCGTAGCTACAACAAACGCCCTCATGTCGTGTAGTTGATGACCTCTGCCCTGCTTTCTCCTACTCCAGTACCGCGCTTGAGCTGATCCTTGACTACAACTAGAGCTTTCCAGGCTCATCCTCCCGCTGCAGTGTGCATCATCCCGAGTTAATCAGCAACAACATGGACAAGATCAAGAGCGTTCTTCACGGACACAAGAAAGATGACACCGTCGCCCACAATGCGCAAACATCTCCATCCACTGCTGAAGGGTATGTGTTGACCGGTTCCTGATTGCGACCCGTACTAACATCAAACCTAGTCAGCAACACCCTATTTACGACCAAATGAGTACCGGGGACGAGGGACGGAACACAACTGCCGGACACACAGGGCAGCCGATATACGAGATCAAGACTACCAGTGGTGCTCCATACACAGAGCTGGCCCAGCCAAGCGATTCAGCAGGCCTTCACGCACATGACGCTCATGGGAGGCCTGCACATGTTGGCACCGATGGACCCATTGGAAGTTCTACTACGGCTGCAACTGGTGCCCAGTACGATCCCAGCAGGACCCAAGACAGCACCAGCACTTCGCAGCCTCTTCAGAGCGCAAACACGGCTACTGGAGCTGCACATCGCCCTGATGCCCATCCTCATGGTCACGCTCAAGAACCGAGCGTCGCGAGCATCAAGAGCGGCGTAATTGGATTCGGTGCGGGAGCTAATCAGGGACATGCTGCTTTGTCGACACACAACCCCACTCGGGAGTACATGGGTCAAGACCAAGTAGTTGGAGGTGGAGATCCTGGGACTGCTGGCATGACCGAAGGAAGGGGTGTAAACCCAGACCAGACACATACTCGTACGTAGATTAAATCTACTATGTCATGCGCATGACCTGACTGAATGCAGAATCCGGCGCCATTGGTGGTGGGCCATTAGGCTCTAACCCTGCTTATACCACAGAGCGTCAACCTTATGAGAACACTCTGCGACAGGAGAGCTATACCGCCGATACCGATCGCTCATTCCCTCTCGCGGGCGGTGTGATATCAAAACCTCACGAGGACCCTATCTCCTCTCGGCACCCGACTGAGCACACCTCGACCATTCACAACAAAGGCATCAGCGAGCGTGAGCCAGGCACAAAAGAGAAGGAAGTTGGTATTCACAATAGCGACAGTCCCGCTCATGACAGTTATGGACGCGAAGGGCTGGCCGGAGCAGCGGCAGCAGCTACTGCCATTGGCGCCTCCAAGACACTTTCACAGTCGGAAGAACGAGACGTCCATGACCGAGGTCTCGAAACTCGCCAGGCTACGTATGGAGATGTTCCACCAGCTGCTGCCACGACGACTAATCAGACCGGCAATACCTCGAGCCAACCGACGTCTGATTACCACCCAGAGGCTTTGACTGCCGCGTCTGTTGCCGCCTCGAGATCTTCTGCCCTTCCATCATCTGCACAGGGACACGAGTACGGGGCTCAGGATATCAACCCATCTGGAACTACTAATTCTACCATGGCAGGAGCTCCAACGACTGGGATGTCAAGCACCGGTGAACGACCACTAAACCCCCGACTTGAGTCACATAGACATATCCCTGGCGAATATATTGCAACACCAAGTGACGAGAAAACGTTCCTCAACTACGCTCCTGTTATCGAACCCACTTCCACTGGTTCAAGCGGAAACCTAACAAGTGTAGAGCCTACGTCCACACTGGACCCATCTCACGTTCAGTCTTCCGTGGACCCTACGCCTACAAGCGAGCCTCACGAGCTTAGGCACACAGGAACGCTTGAGGAGCCCCAACCAAAATCGGCTGATGAACATCACTATGGTCGTGATGCTGTAATTGCTGGAGGCCTCGGTGCTGGCGCCGCAGGCTTAGGTGCCCATGCAGCTTCAAAGAAGCACGACACCCAAAACGTCGGTAGCAATCAACCTCTGTACGAAGAGTCTAGCCCTTACAGTAGTAAAATACTCGACCCCCGTGTCTTAGGTGACAAGGCCAAGCTGGAAGAGCAGAAGTTCGATGAGCAGAGATTCGATCCACGCGCCAAGACCGAGGCAGCCCCTGTCAGCGGCCCTCCGGTTACACATGATTCATCTCAGAATGTAGCCTCACAGCATCACTATGGTCGTGATGCTGCAGTACTTGGCACAGGCGCTGCAGTAGCGGGCGGCATGCACCACGCTCTCGACCGAAACGATACTCCTGGCGTTGGTACTGCCGTGCTTCCTGACGACCCCTCTTACACTTCCACCACTGGATATAATGTCGCTGCCCCTCAACCAACTTCGAACTTCTCCAAGCCCCTTCCTACTGCAGGCACGTCCGCTTCTCAACCGGTAGGACATGACAACTTCTATGGCGCGACAGGAGCTCCTGCGCCAATCCCAGACACGACTGCGCAGCAGCCATTGAGCAATCTTACTCAGGCACCTGTCGCCACCACAGTTCCGGAAAGGCACCCCGAACATCATTATGGTCGCGATGCGGGCCTGGCCGGAGCCGGAGCCGCTGCTGCTGGTGGCCTCTACACTGCCAACCGTGACAATACCGACAGTGGACCAGCTTCAAGCACTATCGGACCTCATTCCAGCAACGCTGCGAATATCATGGATCCTAGGGTTCAACCTGACCCGAGCAAACAGATACATCACAATGTTGGACCCACTGCTGAGGACCCTGCTTCACGAACGATTGGCCCGCACGACAGCAACATTGCCAATATTCTGGATCCCAGAGTCAAACCTGATCCTTCAAAGCAAAAGGAACACACAACAGTCGGACCGCATCAGTCAGACACACTGAACCGCCTAGATCCCAAGGTTGATGAAAAGGCTGGTCAGCAGAGTGGACATCACTATGGCCGCGACGCTGCTGTTGTCGGAAGTGCGGGCGCCGGCGGTTATGGAGCATACGAAGCTACAAATGCGTATGGCGATCACAAGATGACACAACCTGGAGCAAGCGAAGCTACAACTGCTTACGGCAATCAAAGCATGACACAGCGAGCGTACGAAGCTATCAACGCATATGGCGATCACAGGATGACACAACCTGAAGCCTCTATGCCGAACCAGAGATACGACCCCACGGCTACCAGCGCGCGTGCTCCCAACCCTATCTCATCAAGGACCCAATACGATTACAATGACCCTACTACTCAAAGCAATGTCAATCGTACTGATCCTAACGACCACATCAACAGGAATGTTGCTCTTGGTGGAGCAGGTCTTGCAGCTGCTGGGTTAGGGGTAGGAGCTTACGCAGGATCCAAGCATAACGATAACACTACTCAACTCCCTCTTCGCCAAAAACAAGACTTTACGTCAGCTGATCAATCTGCATACCCGGTTCAAGGCACGGCGCAGTCTTCTTATCCCATACACGAGACCGCCACGAATGAATCATACCCTACCTCAGGCACCATCGCTCCACACAACACACATGCTCAGGATCCTACCCTTCAGCAGCCGTATGGGGCTAGGGATCCCACAAACGAGAACCACGATAAACGCAATGCTGCTGTTCTAGGTGGCGCCCTAGGCGCAGCAGGTTTGGGCGGTGCAGCCTACGCGGACTCTCAGCATCAAGACGAGCGCGAGGCTGAAGAGCGTCTCAAGAAGATTGCCCACGATAAGGAGAAGGAGCAGCATAGGCTTGACAAGGAACAGCACAAGCATGACAAAGAAGTTCACAAGCACGACAAGGCCCTCGCAGCTCACGAGAAAGACGAGCATCATCTGACGAAAGAATACGAGAAAGAACAAGCGCGTCTGGCCAAGGAACACGAGAAGGAGCAAGCACGCCTGGCCAAGGAGCAACATCAACGCGAGAAGGAGCTTGAGAAAGAGAACGAAGGCGAGGAGAAGAAGAAGGGCGGTCTTCTTGGATTCCTGCACCGTGACAAGTCCAAGAAAGAGAAGTCTTCTGCCAGCCCTGAGTCTTCACCACGCCAATCTCGCGACTACAGCCCTAGGCACTCCAGGGACTATGGCGACGATCACCCAGACTCACCACGATGGAAGGGAAAGCATCTTTTGCACAAGGACCCACCAAAGGGCCATCCTGCGCGTGAAGCTATGGAGCATCAGCAGCACCAGACTGATCCATACGGCTCTGCAGGAAAGAGGGAACATGTTGGTGTAGACGGTCCAATTGGTGACCCGAATATGATCTCTGGCGACCGGTAAGATTATATCTATCGTTTTCGTCGATTGAATGGTTTTTGACATGCATTGTAGCGAAACTCAAAAGGGTGTCTACGGCGCGCATCCCATCTCCGACCTTGGCCACAACAACACTGTCACAGAGCCACATACCGGTCTTCCAATGAACACGGAACGCTTTGGCACTGGTGCCGGCGGAACGGATGGTAACCCTGCTATTCATGGTCAGCATCAACATAATGTTCCTGGTGCGACGTCGGGTCAAAGTGCGACAGACTGGGAGGCCATCAGGAAGACTAACACGCCATACTAGATTGTTTGACGATGGTGGTGACGGTAATGGCGATGATGACGTTTACAGTACATGAAGGTATGACTTTACGTAATACATAGTTAGCTGCACAATTCTTCTTCAGTTGGCAAAGTAATAGTTCACCCCTTCTTACTTTATTCACGCTCTAGTCTTTCCATCTGCCGTGCGATTTACATCAAGTACAGCAACTGTTTCCACTTACGACGTGTAGACCTCTACGCAATTCACATATCTCACCATTCTAGAGCATTATCGTCAAAGCGAAGTCAAGGGTAAAAATTAAGGGATTGTAAGCAACATCAGGCTCCCACATTTTCTCTAGACTACTAGTATCTAGACATGATAGAGAGGCCCGGCCGTCTTGAGGATCGTTTGCCAACTGCATTATGCTCTATAGGCTGCTGTGGACACCTTCACGCTGTACCTTTGGTACCTGGCCGGTGATGTATAGCCGAGCAAAGACTCCATATTGTTATTTGGGCGTGAAGTTAGAGACAGGTGGACCAATTCGATACTTGACTTGCGGATGCGTAGCTACCTAGAGATTCCAGGAGACATCGATATCAAGCAGCTAGTGCCACTCATCAAGGCCATCAGATTCCACCAGGATCCAGTTCAGGTCAAACAACAGATGACAGACGCAGGCAAATACGAGGTGTCTTGGGATGCGAAATAGTATAGGCAGAATGGTGCATGGCTGTCCTCAATGTTACGTGAAATATGTCTTTTGCTTGACAGAATACTGCGCATACCTACAGGCGGCATTGTGGTCATCCTAATATCAAGAGCGGGAGCTTTGGTATTTGCCTCTTGCGGAGACGAAAACTGGGCTGTTCCGATCAGAGACTATAAGAACTTTAGAGAATTGAGGTGATTAGACCAGCACCGGTAAAGGTATTGCGTGGCATAAGTATCTTGGTTATCTTGTTACTTCATTTATTCATTCATTTTAGCAGCATCAAAGCTGAGGGTATCTATCTCCGGCTGTTGAAAGGCCGAATTCTTCTTTTGTCTTACGCCAGAAACACCGTCACGATACCTCGACGAGACCAATACCTAGCTGCGCACATCAATGACAGCCGCTAGACATGGTAAGCACGGACCTCTTCGCGATGGCATGCCCTCGTAGATTGTTGAAATACACGAGCTTCAGCGCTCACTCAGTGTGAGGAGGCTTAGCTACTGTAGGTTTGCTTGGGCTGGGGGTATGAAGGGCCCAGCTCTTGGATGCTGAGCTTGGCAAGCCATTGACCCATGTCGATGGCCTTCTCGAGCGGCTTGCCTTGGACGATACCAGCAACGAAGCCTCCGGCGAACGCGTCACCGGCACCGTTGGTGTCGTTGATCTGCTCCTCCTTGATGGCGTGTACGGAAAACTCCTTAACATCAGCGTCACCAGTCACGGCAATGGTTGGGTCGGTGCCTTGAGTGAAGACAACAGTCCTGGGTCGCTTGCTGTTCTGCTTTGTTCCGTTGGCAATCTTCTTGGCAATCTCCTTGATGTCCTTGGTCTCCCAACCATGCGCCTCGGCGAACGCGGCGGCTTCGGTCTCGTTGCCGATGACAATGTCGACGTATGGGAGGACCTCGTCGAGAGGGTCCTTGAAAAACTGCGAGATGAAAGGTGCGGAAAGGTTGAGGATGAATTGCTAGAAATCAGTTAGTCCACCAATCTTTTCTCAACACATCTAAGATTGACGTACTTTGTCCTTGGCGGCAGCCTCCTCAGCCAGTGCCTTGATGGCTGGTACGCAGACGGTCAAGTGGAAGCCACCGACGTAGAAGACCTTGGCGTTCTCAACCTGCTTCCAGATGTGCTCCTGCTTCAAGTGGTCAATCTTGTAGTTGTTGGCAGCAGCGAGGTCGGTGCACATGGAGCGGTTGTGGCCGGTAATGACAACACCACAGCGACCAGTGGGAGTCTTCTCATCGTAGAGATACTCAGTCTTGACACCAGCATCGGCAGAGATCTTCTCGAGAGTCTCGCCGTACTTGTCCTTTCCAATGCAACCAATGTAGACGACCGAGTTGGGCTCGAGAATGTAAGCCGCACCGCGGGCAGTGTTTTGTGCCGCACCACCAGCGATGAGAACAGCCTTGTAGTTCTGGAGCAGGTCCTCGTACAGACCCATGTGCTTCTCTGGGTCGGCAAGGATGGCATCGTTGGCCTTCAAGCCATACTTGTCGAGGAGAGCCTGGTCACTGCTAGCTGTTAACAAAGCTCACAGCGGTGTTCGGCGGTTGCTGCGAAGCATTGCGGCCTTGACTAAAGGAACATAGACTCACCCAACACCCTGGATGTCCAGAAGCGGGTTCTCAAGGCACAGTAGTTCGTAGTTTCCAGGCATTTTGGTTGTAGTATGTGAAAAAAGACGTTGTTGGTGTCGTAATGGAGAGAAAGTGCTGAATGTGGGGCAGGGTTTCGAACAACGAGGGGCAGCAAGCTTCGCGCTAAGAATTACGCCGACAGACATGCGCGGAGTCAAAGAAGGAAGGTGTAGCCGAGTGGAGACCCTCGTCGAGCATGCGAAAAAGGACGACATGTTGGAGCACGTAGACGTGAGGCAGGAGCAAGAGAAGATGTGTGAATGCCATATATGCTTCTGAAGAGATATTGCTCTCGAACGAGGCTCACGAGATGTCAGGCCACCACCACCTTATTTGACATATACACTGAGTTTGTCGAGAAAGGCATCAAAGGCATCACAGGCATGTCAAGAACCAAGATTATTCGCACAACTCCATTTCGTAATCATAAAGCAAAACCAAGCTTCCCAAGCTAGAGGTAGAACATTGAGGCTCAACTCATCTCCGACCTAACGACTCAAAGCCTTGGTGTTTTCAGAAGATAAGCCATACCTCAAGCCTAACGACAGCCTGACTAGCAAGCAATCAAAACGAACCCAAGCAATAGTGCAATAATTTTAGTCTGTAAAGCAGATAATCGCCCCATCCAAGTAACTTTCCCTTGATTCGACAGGTGCCGAGAACAAGTTCTGACATGCAAGTGAAAGCATTGTAGGAGCACACATCCAGCTTCCGGGAGAGTACCTGTGCTCACTCGGTCGAAGAGCATGCTCGGAACCCATCCAGCGAGCTCCTCAGCTCGGGCATGACACTCTTGTAGTAACCAGGACGGAGTCCGGCGAACGGTATGTCTGACGACACTAACGACTGATGAGAAGACAGCATTGAACAGCCTGCTATGGCTGCGCTGGGGTCAGATCAACCGCCTTGGCCGTTGGGAGGGGTGCGTCCCCAGGAGCTCTCAGCACCGTCGCGGTATGAGCTGAAAAGGAGCGGACTCGCCATATTTGCTCCGTTTGCGTATCCATATTGGTGGTTGCTGTTGAAGTCGCTGCCATAGGTCGATCCCCAGTTTGAGGGGCTGCCAACATGAGTTCCCCATGCAGCACCACTCCCGATACCGCTAGGAGCTCGAGTGGCAATAGGAGTGCCAGTCTCGACGCTCAGAAGCGAGTTTGCTGAGTCACCCCGCACATGACCAGACATCCTGGGTTTTGTACCACTCATAGGAGATCGACGGAGATCATTACCGAGACCATTGGTGTTTAGCATAGAGGGAGACGCTGGACCAGGCGTACGGTTCCAAATAGAGTTCGAGTTCCACTGACCATCGGGCACAGAAGGCAGGTTCGGTGGCTGGCGGATAGAAGAGGTAGAACCTGACCTACCCATAGGTGTGGAGAGCATCGCGGGCATGGGAGCAGGAGACAAGGGCTTATAGTTTCTAACCGAGTTGACCAAGTCGTTGATCGACAATGCTGCTGGCACAAATGTGTTATCGTTGACAACAGCGGTATCCTCGAATGTCTGCTCTGGTGGTGTGGGCGGAATGTTTTCGTCTTCTTCAACTAAAGGGTCCAGTCCGGTCTCATCGCCTACTAGATCGTCCACCATGTTGCGCATCGCATTGTCCTTAGCAAGCGTAGTGGATGCAGATTCCGAAGCTGCCGCAACAGAGTGCGACTTCTGATCGTCTGGGATGGGCGCTTGCGTGTGCTGGAATAGAGGTAGATCGGTCGCCTGGACTGCCAGAGCGGGAGATCCATCCGGTCGGTTTGTGGGACTCGCCAAAAGCTCCGATGGTAAACCTTCTTCTCGGTAGATGAATCGCGGGCCTGCCAAGTCCAGTGGAGCATCATCATTCTGCGTGAGGAGCAAGCCATCGATGAGCAAATCCTTGACCCGCATGAGCATTTCGACATTCGGGTGGTTACGCTCCAGCTCAGTCCATTTCTTCTTCATTACATCTCCATCATACCAGAGTTTCATGGTGTCTGGGTGAATCAGCGGCTCGAAGCCAATCGTGTCCGTGTCCTCCTCTAGCATATAGTTCTCTTGCGGAAGCTGGTCGACGGAGAAGCTCGAGGCCAAGAGAGACAACGTCGCAGCATAGGCTTTCCAAAGTTCCTGGACGTCGACAGTATTCAAGGTATCAGCAATATTGGCATTGAGTACCTTCCAGTAGCGCGTGAACCAGGTGCTGTACAGACGAAGACCTGGGAGGATGCGGCGTGCTACGGCTGTGATCTTGTCGGACAGATGGGTGGCGCGATCGCCGTTCTGATGCTTCACATCGTTGCCTTCGGACAAGCGATCCAGCTCTGGCTGTAGGACCTGTAAGAGGATAAAGAATGTCTTGACATTTAGGCGAAGGTAATAGAAATATGTGCGCATGATGTTCGGCGGCGGGTTCTCGCCTGTTGGGGTCAGCATAGTCAACTTGTGGAGGCTGAGCTACTTACTCTGCAACTGCACTGTCGCGAAGTATTCCGCTGACATGTTGATAAGGATGATCTTGGTCAAGATGGAGTCCAATGGGCGCTCTTTGAGCTCGATAGCCAGATGGCTGAGCACTTCGCCTTCCAGCTCATCGTGAGCAGCGAATTCCTCGCCCTTGTAGAGCTTGCTATGCAATCTGATGAACCAAGCAATCAAAGCCCGACCGGTGTTACCGTCGGCTGTCTTGTGGTTGTTGATAAGCTGCCCATTATCCCACGCAGTAATGACGCGCTTGAACTCGGTTGCCAGATTGGCCTTGGCCGAGGGATACGGTTCTTTGCTTGCTAGCGAGCGATAGAGGTGGTACACGCAGCGGAAGTGATCGCCATCCTCGCGCGCGATTACTGCAAGTTGATTCGGGGCATGTCCGGAATCGGGGTATATCTCTGCGGCAAGGTCATAGTAACCTTTGGCGGGGCCCCAGTTGCGGTCCTTGTTCTTCTCAACGAGTTCGGTTTCGCGGTAACGGGAAAGGTCGCCGAGCTGGATGAGCGTCTGGTGGCAAGAGATGAGGACCTGTGTCTTCAGGGTTGCGGGGATGCGCTGACGCGGGGATGACTTGGAGGCTGCTCTACCATTAGCGATGTCGCGTGGGGTGAGCCGGGCGTACTTACTATCATCCTTCCATTTCTGGGCGATTTTGCGCAGTTCTGGGATACCGTCGAATTGAGTATCGAGGTTCAGTATATACTGGCGGTAAAAGCGCTGGCTGGCCTTGATGAACTGGAGATAAGTCTTTTGAAACTTTCTGGTCTCGACAACATGGTCCTTGGAGCGCTTAAGCTGCCCAGATGTTAGCTTTGTATTTTGCCCTTCTTGTCGCAGTAACGCACGAGTTTATGTTCCTGCCTGAATTTGGTGTTGACCTTGAGATGCGCATTCCATAGCGTCGTCTGGAGTTCGTAGGCCGATGCGTACTCGAAGTTGGAGAAAACGAGGGCTTCGCAGGCGGCGCGGTAGCTGTGAAGTATTAGTTGTCGCCAGCTCGAAATGGCAATAGTGCCTACTCTTGCAGCACCGCAGCTAACTCGGCGCACGAAGAACCGCCATCAGCGCGCTTATAAAGCTCCTTCTCAATCGCCTTCGCCCGCCTACAGTTTATTAGCACCCGGCGGGCATTATCGTGATGGCGCCATGACGCACCTGTCAAGTTGTTCGGTGTTCGCGGCCATGCCTTCTATGTGCAGGAGCCGGCGACGTTCATATGTGACCCCACGGTCGGCGGGCAGGTCAGACGAAGGCACGGAGCAGGCGGCGGACGTTGTGGCTGGCGTGCTCCATTTATGGTAAAGTTGTATGCCCTGCGTATAGGACAATCAGCGATCGGGAGAGTCTCGGAGGCAAACAGCGCCCAAGACGCGGATATATGGCGTCAGAGTGGGAGGCGATGGCCGTGGTGTGAGGCGTGAGAAAGTAAGGTTGGTTGATGAGTCGCGAACTAGCGGGCCGCAGTCTCGGAGCTAAGGTACCACCACGGTTCGGCCTATCTTGCTACCAAACCACCCTCTTTCACCACACAACCAACACCAGACTAAAACAGCCCTGCGAGACAGCACTCTCATCGGTAAAAGGTACTGCCCCTTTCATCTACGCCTCGTCACAGTCACAATCAACCCCAATCAACATATAATGGGGATCAAGCGCTCACACCGCGATTCCTCGTCATCAGACAGCACACCCTACTCGCGTGAGACGTCTGTCGATATCAAGATTGTCCACTTAGATACCGAATCTGCCATCTCTGACGAGCCCACCATCATGAAGTGCTCGTTACCTCCGCACGAACCGCTGTCTTTCAATTCCATCGAAGATCACGATGTGCACTATCAGCAGGTTCATATGAATCGATGCAGCGAATGTCACAAGAACTTTCCGGATCAGCACTATCTGCACCTACACATTGCAGAATACCACGATCCTATCAACGCTGCCAAACGAGATCAGGGAGAAAAAACGGTAGGTCGTTTCCGTATATAGTTTGTCACGTGTTTGCTCCTTCCCCTCATGAGGTGGCTCCTTCCTCTGGACGCGTTCATCCATTCCTTGAAGCGAGATTGTTGAAATATGCCGAATATGAGTGCCTTCACACGGATACTGCAACTAATAACTCGTAGTATGCCTGTCTTCTCCCAGACTGCGATCGCTTGTGTAGCACGCCACAAAAGCGTCGCCTACACTGCATAGACAAACACCAATTTCCCCGCGACTACGACTTCATTGTTGTGAAGGATGGCATCGACCGCCGTAGCAGCATGCTAATACCCTCTCATCGACGCAGGAGCTCTACGATGAGTACAGCGAGCAACGCTACCGGAAGGCGGAGAGGTGAGTCGAATGCAAGCACAGTAGGTGATACTACGGAGATGGATCAGGATGAAGGAGACGCTCGTCGTTACCCCATAAAGCTTCACGGGCGTGGGGGATTCGGTGGCCGCGGACTCGGACGTGAGGAGCCAGCCGCAGTCACTGCCACAAAGCCGGCTGCCGCTATTGGATCGGTCGATCCCATGGACAGTCTAACTTCCAGTATGTCCTCACTCAAGTTCATTCCTCACAGTGTCCGGGTAGCGCGTGGAAGGGGCAGGGGGAGAGGCGCCTGAGATGTCTGGTCGCCAGACCAAGAAAACAAGCTCGGCAACCGCAAATATCTTTCCATCCACACTCCCATGATCTTTCTTTCATTGGAACCCTCGCCTAGCTATCTTGCCCTATGCCTTCCCTTCCATGTCTATCAGTCGCCACGTGGTTAGGGTCACAACAACACTCGACTTGTCGCCGTCCCGATGAACACCACTCATCTCTCTTGGTGATCTGGTATTGTTAGTGATCGCGATAGCAAGGTGTGTATATAGCGGATCCGATATCTCCAAGTCAATAGCTGATAGGAGATCCGATCGTGGTTCCTCCCTGCGTAATACCCTCGCCGACAAGGTGATCGTGTGTATCGTCTGGCTGCAATACGCGCTGCACACTTCACTATTTCTCTTCAATCGTCTCAAGTTACTCCGGCTGGTGACAGTGGAGCCCATAATCGTTTGTTGCCATGTGTTCTTGATACGCGTGATCATCTCCTCACCACGACAACCGCCCCACCGCCGCTTGCGTGCAATCGTCACAAGCATCCGAACGCCGTCCAGACTCATAGTTGCTATGAAACCATCGACTATCGCTCGCTGCGCGGTCGCAAACGAATACCTACGCCGAAGGAAACAGCCGTTCTGCGATGCTACCAATCGCCCCTGCCCAGAGCACCACGTCCAGCTTCTGTGTCACGTCTGAGATGATACCGATTGTAGAATCACAAACAGGAAAGAGATTAATGGAGATTTTATCGTCACTCAACATTTCTACTGCAAATGAGGAGCGCTTCGCAGAAACGAAAGGAGTCAGGACTGTCGCTTTGGATAAGATGAGCACAGTAACAGCGAGTAAGTCAGAGACGCGCAAAAATTTGGCGAAATGCCTTGAGACCGAAGCTGATATGAAGATACGATAGTGCATAATCACAATTCCAGCGTATGGAAGCCATCATCGAAGCGCAACCGTACTAACAGCGCTGTTCTGGTGGCTCTACAGCTCAACGCAAACAGAAGCGTCCTGACGGCGCCACCAATTGCGGAGCCAAATGGGCAAGATGCATGTCATGAAGGGTCCGATACTATGACATATGCGTCGCAAGATGTGGCCGACCACGAATACCAGATTCTGACCGCTTTCCGCTTTCCTCCCACTGAAGATAACTGGGCATCGAAAAAGGTCGTTCCATCATCCCATCTCCAAGAAGCGAGCGAGATAGCATCGCCCACCTCAGACACCACATTATTCGAAGACACACCCTTATGTCCGATTAACCCATTAGGATCTCGAAAAAGTGTTCATTCGTACGCAGCCTACGACGACACCCTAAGAAAAGAACTGCCAACCACATCCGCCACACAAGTCAAAGAATACAAAACAACCCCCATGGAGAGGCGGTATGACCGAAACCGTCGGTATGTCTCGTCTGACCCACCCTTTGATGTCATCGATACGCCTTCAACTCCATTTCGGTCGAGAGCAAAGACGGATGATGGCCTGCTCTTGTTTAGGGCTGACCCTTCCAAAGAACCCACGATCAAAGCTCGTGAGAGCAGGCACCGTCACAAGATATCTTTAAATCTACCAGTGAACGCGCATGAAAGGAGACGCGATGGAGCTGGGCGACCACAACAGCCCGATGTTGAGAGTTGGCCCAAGCCGCCGCCTGATATCGGGGTCGCCCATCATGCTATAAGAGTAGACGTAATGACCGCAGAAGAAAGGGATCTAGAATGCAAGCACCGACATACGTTCATAGGAACCGGCTCGCTAGACGACTTTCTAGAGATTCTGAAAATCTCAACAACACATACCGCTACCAAAAGCGCGATTGCTCGAGCCTTCGTACAGCTGGCATCAGCGGAGCAGCTTTACGCTCGACAGTGCTCCACCGGGTACCTTGGGTGGGACCTTGTTTCACGAACAACACTGGCTGTCATGGACGTTACTAGCGTCGATTGCGTTGTACAGTTGCACGTCAAGCTAGACTCCATTACACTGCGACAATTTCTGGACCTGATACCTTTCAATGATGTAGATGAAGTAACGGCAATGCGTATCGTTGAAGCCTTCTCAGTTGCTAGCCACTTGGACGCGACGGCGGGTATAGGTACACGTAGCAAGGCGAGAGCTTTCAGGAGTTGGTTCATTCAGCAGATGAAGGCTGGCGCAGATCACTGAAGGCCTTCGAGATGCTGCAGGAAGAGGTACTCGGTTGATGTTAAAGAACATGTTCGCTCAGTTCTATCGACCAAACAAAGCAAGGTTGGAGATACGCTCGGCTTCCCCTACTATACTCAGTCATTCTCCTAGTATTACTGACTCAACCTTACCTGCGTATCTTCCTACGCCTACTCTAGATATTGCGGCCTTTAGGGATAACGTGATTCAAACGGTAACGTAACTACAAACTCTCAATCATTCGAGTACGCCTTGACTCTTCAGAGTCGCGGTCTACACGTTTTCTCCTTTTATTGAGTTGAAATCTTGACATCTACACTTCTGCCTTAGTCCCACTCTCATTCCTCTACCTCTTCTCCCTTTTCTTCCCTCCTGAAGCCTACGCCTCCCTCGTCACTCCAATCACTCCACCCACCGCGCTCCTGTGCACTCAATCCTGCTCTCAAAACAGGCTCCTACCCTCCCGAAACTTTCACTGAAGTTCAGGCTCCCATCTCCACCCTCGTTCGATAAAGCCTTCTGCTGCTACACTTGCTCAATTCATCATAATCGGCGCGCACTTCTAGCAACTGCAAGAACTATGGCGTGTTTGTGAATAACACTATTTCTATTCAAGGTATGTATATCATCCTGCAACTCCTCTTGATCTTTGGAGTAGGCGCGCGGAGCACTCTGCTATACAGGTCGAACTGTTGCCTACATGTATATAGAGAATGAAAGACAACAACCACTACGATGTCGAGCTACTCACTGCCGCCGTCCAACATCTTAGCCGGAAACGTCAAGCGAGAGATTGTGTGCGACTAAAAAAAGAGCGCATTGGTCTTTTGCGAGGATATCACTCTTGATTACGTGCGCAACAATCATCATTGTCACATTCAGCACTGTAGCGGATTATAAAACATAATCTTCCTCTTCTTGAACCGCTCTCGCTATCAAGAATCGAACCAGCCACCCGTAAATTCTGTTCTTCTCGAGGTCTCGACATCTCGTTTCTTAAGGAACGAAGAGGAGTACGACTGTGCTGATTTTCTGGAGGACGACGATGATGATCACCTCAAGTCGATTGACGCCGGAGCACTTCAGTCTGTCGAAGATGCCATCGAAGTCTCCGCTGGGAACGCCATTAGGAAGATGATCGTGGTCACGGAGGAGGGGCAAGAAGAAGACACATGGAATATTTTCTCAAAAACTTCTCGGAACTATCAATAGACACCAAAGGTGCTAGGTTTGCTCATGTCCTGGACGCCCTGCCCCTCCGTTGCAGCATTGGGATTTTCAGCGCGTATGAGAACGACCCATTGACACCTGCGACATACGAAGAGGTGCTAGCTTTTTCCGGGCCATATCTCGTAGGTCTACCAACCGTGACAGATACGGACGGCGCTTCTCGTGCAGACGGTTTATCTGTAGAAGATCTGGGAAACAACGAGGTCACCAACGAGGTGCAGGGTGGGCTCATGGAACAGGGGATTCGCGCTCTCACGGAGGGAGCTCGATGGTCAGGAATGTAGAATACGAAGAAAGTGATGACCCCTTAGAGCATGACAGGCTCCACGAAAACCCACTATGTCATCGCTTCGAGGCGTGCAACATCCGCATCGCCCTCTGCGACATGACGTAGTCAAATGAGCTACGAAATACAGGTCTTCGCTATATTCTTCGGTTGTTTTCTCACCGGTTTACGGTATTACTCTGACAACGATAGTCCCCACGGGCCAGACCTCAACAAACACTTGGTACGGATAGTCACCTTCGCGCCCAGGCCCGACTGTTACAACGCAATGTAAACGGTTCGCTTGCTTTCGCCGCAAAACACAGCAACCAATTTGACCCACTAGATCCCTAAAACGGCCAGTTATCTGCCCATCGCATGTCAGCAACAATGAGAGTAACGTTGGCTCTGACCCGACGCTAGCGTTACTCTCAATAGACCGCAACAATATGACTTGTCTGCTTCACCAAAGAGTAGAGCAAGTCAGAAAGCAAAGGCAGCTCTCCTGGGCCACATGTTCAGCATATGAGAGGATCTCGATACGCGACAGCTGTCAGACCCAATGGGCTATTCAAAGATAAGGTGGCAAGGTGCGCAGCCACTGCAATTGCGAGGAGGTACATGTCGCCAAAGAGCGGTACGGCGAAGAAGACTACGCGGACCACAAAGATGACCGGGTATTCATGCTTTCTGCGTCCACCGAGAGATCTATCATGGTGTTTCCAGCGGCGACTGAAGGATATTTGAGGGTTGTTATGCACAAGTCGAGCAAAGCTTGGGGGTTGTGTAATTGGCTCTGGAGGAATGCATTGGAATATTACCAATGACGAATCGTTGGCATGTACACATAATGTGCCTACAGTGAGTTGTACTCAGAATATATAGGAAAAAGAATAAAATCGTGAAACACCAACCTGCTGACTTTTAAATCTACTTGGGTGAGTTGACGTGTAATTTGGCGCTAGCGGGAAACCTTCCCCGCATTCACAATCTTACTCCAAGTAGTGCATTACCTCGATCCTTCAATCATCAACGATGTAAGATTCTTGCATTCGAAAGAATCATCTATCGTCTGGTATGTTGGCATGATCGTTTCGGATACCCGGCTATGGCCATGACCCTAGCAATGCATCCTACCCGATCATCCGGACCGCGCAACTCCAATGACGTGTAGCGAAGCGCATTTGATCTTCCCCGCGTCCTCCACGATGCAGGAACAGATGCGATTTCCTTGATCCCAGTGCAGCCGCCCGGACGTGGCGGAAGACGACGTGTCGGCGTTATGATGAGCTAAGTCCTCGGCGCCCAAGACTTTTCCAAGCAACGCCAATGTCATCTTCAAACTTGGCGACTTGCATTACGCACACCACCCCCTTTGTACAATGTCAAACGGAAACCGCGGGCAATTATGATAGGAGATGGTATCCAGGGCCTGAATAGATCGCCAAGCCTGTCTGGGTTTCGTAATCATTTAAACGATCCAACCCTAGCCTCGTAGCGACGCGGAAGGATGACTTCCAAGCATTGCACTGTCGCCCAGCTACTGCTGCGGCTCAGCGCCGTTACTTGGCTCAGGGCGGAAGGGGTTTCATAACATCACGACTCGCAGCCCCAGAATGTTGCTCTCCTAGACTTCTCATCTTCCTTCGCTGTCTTCCCACCAACCTAAGGCCCCACTACGTCGCTCGCTGTGTAGTGCCTCAGGCACCCTCGTTTATATACGCATGCCGAGTTCCGAACACCTTGCCTTCTAGTGATACCCCGGGGATTCCGCAATGAGACCTTCGAACCTTGTTTTCGCGGCAGTTGGCCTGCTGTCGCCAATTGCCACATCCGCGCTGGAACTGAATGTTGACGACCCAGGTGCGCATACTACGAGTGATTTCGGACTCTACTAACGTAACCAGCCTCTATTAGGGAAGCTACCAAAGTTGTTGCGGCGGGTCTAAGAGAATGGTACACTGGTGATCGACCCGGCGACGTACCCGGAAACTTGCCAGATCCCTACTACTGGTGGCTATGCGGAGCCATGTTTAATTCGTTTATCGACTACTGGTATTACACCGGAGACGACACATATAATGCTATTACACGGCAAGCAATGGTGCATCAGATTGGCAACCCGAAAGCCTTCATGCCGGACAACCAAACCAGTACGCTGGGAAATGACGATCAAGCTTTCTGGGGGATGACCGCTATGTCAGCAGCGGAAACTAAGCTTCCGGATGTCGAGGGAGAGATGTCGTGGTTATCACTCGCCATTGCAGTATTCAACACGCAGGCACCGCGTTGGAATACCCAAACTTGCGGTGGTGGACTCAACTGGCAAATCTTCCGCTTTAACAATGGATTCGACTATAAGAACACAATCTCAAATGGAGCCTTTTTCAACATTGCGGCAAGACTGGCGAAGTACACAGGCAACACCACATATGTTGAGTGGGCGGAGCGAGCATGGGACTGGCAATACGCTGTCGGTCTTATCAGCCCAGATTATCACTTCTTCGGTAAGAATGCTACGCAAAAACTTCAAGTGATGCATTTACTGATTGCGTATCTCAATTTCACAGACGGAACTAGCGAGAGGCAGAATTGCACAGAAAAGAACCACATCCAATGGACCTACAACGCCGGAATTCACATGTCTGGTGTTGCAGCGTTATGGAACATGTCAGAAGCAAACGGTGATACGGTAAGACTAAGTAAACACCTCCAAGTAAAGACTCGATTCTAACACAACAAAGGAAGCAGCAGGTAGGTGGCGAGAGCGCCTAGGTGGCATCATCAACGGAACAGACATCTTCTTCAACGCTGAAGGCGCCCCAGACGTTATGATTGAAATGGCCTGCGAACGCAACGGCCTATGCGACCACGATCAACGCTCTTTCAAAGCCTATCTCAGCCGCTGGATGGGCTACACGATGCTAAGCGCTCCCTGGACCCGCGACCGCATCATGCCAAAACTTCGTACCTCCGCCGTAGCAGCCGCCAAACAATGTAGTGCCGGAAAAGGTGGATGTGGCCTTCGGTGGTGGCGAGGCGGCGTGAATGATGGAGAAGTGGGTGTTGGAGAGCAAATGTCTGCCTTGGAGGTCATGCAGAACTTACTTGTTGATCAAGTTTCTGGGCCCGTGGGGCTGGACACGGGCGGAATCAGTGAAAACGATCCTACTGCGGGTAGTGATGGAGGAAATGTGCGGATCGAGCATGACGCTATCACGACGGGGGATAAGGCTGGTGCTGCGATTCTTACTATATTAGTATTTGCCGTGTTTTTGGGTGGAGGAGGCTGGCTTATCATGAGCGAGTAGCTGCATTTCAATTCATCTCCCATTTCTGGTTCATTTGATCGTCCGAGCCGCAACATTGACATCCGCATTATGCGGAGGGTTCTATCACTCGTGAGAAGTTGCAGCGCAGCCGTGCGTCATACGCTATACGTGAGCGACGATATATGAAATTTGCCGCGTTTTTGGCAAGTTTCCCCACCTGCTGTTGAGACCCGAAAACGCATTGTGACTCGTCTGGCTCGCAGCACCTCATGCATGCAAGCCATGGTCTTTGTGCATTTGTAATGCTCCCTGTGCAATGTGTATACCCTGCGACCTATGAAAGGACGCACCATGACATAAGCCTGCAGATCATTTCCCTAAAAAGGTAAAATGGTGGTTGCCTAACCTAGACTTAGTGCATGTGTACTGCACCTCACGCAGCAAGCATTTGTAAGCTCAGCGATTCACGACAAGATATAACTCCATCGCTGAAGTTACCCAATTCACGCTTTCACCAGAGACCTTCCTGACGGCTCGAATCGCAATCCTCGATAGCACCAGGGTAATAGTAAACATGACGTCAGCTAAACCCTTCAACAAAGCGCCAGCAGGTGCGCAACAGCAACCCACGTCGTTTGAATTGCATGTCGAGGAACAGAAGCTGCAGGACTTCAATACATTACTCAAGTTGAGTCCGGTTGCGAAAGAGACGTACGAGAACACGCAAGTTGAGGGAAGCCACGGCGAGTTCGGAGTTAGCCGGCAGTGGATTATTGATACAAAGAAGGAATGGATCGAGAAGTTCGATTGGTATGTGTAACTCCACGGGGATCCGAAAGATATGATTATACTGAGATGCTATAGGCGCAAGGAAGAAGACCGCATCAACTCCTTCCCCAACTTCAAAACCGCGATCAAGGACGATGACGGCAGCAGCTATGACGTTCACTTCACCGCACTGTTCTCAAACAAATCAGATGCTATTCCCATCGCATTCTTCCATGGCTGGCCAGGTTCGTTTCTAGAGTTTCTACCTCTCATGGATCTCTTACGCAAGAAGTACACGCCAGATACTCTCCCTTACCACATCATTGCACCGTCTCTCCCTGGCTTTGGCTTATCATCTGACCCTCCTTTACAAAAAGACTGGAAAGTCGCGGACACTTCCCGCATAATGCACAAGCTTCTTCTTTCCCTGGGATTTGGCACATCAGGATATCTCGTCCAGGGCGGTGATATTGGCAGCCTCATCTCGCGAGAAATGGCAGCCACGTACACCGAATGCAAAGGCATGCATCTCAACTTCATGCACACCAAAGACATTCAATCTTACTCCTCGCCGGAAGACGATGTCAGTGAAGCAGAGAAGAAAGGCATCAAAAGGATGACCGAATTCAGAGAAGTAGGCCGCGCCTATGCAATCGAACACGGCACCAAACCCTCTACTATTGGTCTCGTACTCTCCAGCTCGCCCATTGCACAACTGGCTTGGATTGGTGAGAAGTTCCTCGCGTGGTCTGATCCTTCCACGACACCTTCCCTCACTACGATCTTGTCTGATATCACTCTTTACTGGCTGACTGGCTGCTACCCGACGTCAATTTACACATACAGAGAGCCTAAGGAAACAAAGTACGTCAACAAACCAACGGGGTACAGTTGGTTTCCGTATGAACTTGCACCTATCCCAAAGGCTTGGGCTGAGAAGACGGCGAAGATAGCTTTCTTTAGGGCGCATGAGAGTGGTGGGCATTTCGCGGCGTTGGAGCGGCCTGAGACGCTTTGGGCGGATGTGGAGGAGTGGGTCAAGAGTGCCTGGAAGTGAAGTTATCGTGGCGGTGAGGTCAACACTTGTTATTGGAGGGTTGAGGTGATGATTTGCACATGGTTCAATATCTTTAGCCTGACAATCGTGTCAAGAAGTAAAGGAATTAGCGATAAGCTTATAACTATTATGACTTGTGTCACTAACTCATGGTCGCCACTGTAGAAGCTCGAGTAAGTTTCCGACGCAGTACAAGTTGTATCTAGTTATTAGCCTTTACGTTGGTATGTCGTCCGTCGGGAGTCCAGACTTGAGTTATGATGTTGATCAGACAGTCGAGTTTGGGACCGATTAAGGATTTATCGATGCGACCGTAAGCGGCTAGCGTGAGTGGCTGTGTCCAATAGCGTCACTCCGGATGACGCATCTCGTACCAATAACACGTCCTTGCCAGCAACAACGCTGCATGCCTAACCCCCCGTTCGTAAGGTGAAACGTGCCATTGCGGAGCAAGGTCAGCATGCTGCAGTAACTGTGGAACAAGTCGTCGCAAAAACCATACTTTTACCATCACCCGCGGAACCTCCTTTCTCACGTTCTGGTTTTCCTTCTGCCGGTTCTCCTCGCGTCACTCGCTTTGCCCGAGACCGGCTAACACGGCAGGCGTCACCAACGATCATTGCGATGGCCCCTTTCCAACTCGGAGACTTGGGCACAATATGCAATTATGCGAAAGTTAAATACGAGGAAAGAGTCGAGACGAAGAAGCGCCGCACCCATAGACGCTCAACCAGCGACCCTACAATGATGAGCTCTACTACTGCCACTAAACGTAAACCCCAGTCCTATGGCAAATTACACAAACCACCCAAAGTAGAATGCCTACATGAAATACAAGAACGGCCTCGCAATAAATTACAGAAACGCAGTCCGTTCAGCCTTGTTAGTGCGATAAGGCCACCGGTTAACTACTTCACGTTGGAATACGATCCTTATCCGTACAAAACGCAGCCAAGTCAGTTTCTGGGCGTGTATTCCACTATCGATACTGTGACAGCGGGTGCGTCTCGACATGGTGCGTATACGTTTTCAAGAGACGGACTTTTGGATGGAAGCGAGTATCTGAGTCCGACGGGTCGCATTAAGATTGTTTCGCACACCATGCACAATACAGGTGTTACGGCTGTCGTGCCCGAGGATAAGAGCCAGAAATTTGACGATGGGGTCATGAGGCTGGATATTCCGCATCCGAACAGTCAGCCTACGGCTCGGTTCGACAGTCAGCAGGATCTCAGCAAACTGAAGGTTAGCAAGGACGCGGTGTTCTTGGCGCTTCATGAAGGGCCTCAGAGTGCGTTTTGTATTGGGTTGTTTACGAGTAAGAGTTTGGCGTGGGGTGCTTGTTTGAAAGACAAAGCGTGGCTAGAGTGGTCGGATCCGTTGGTTGAGGAAGAGAGGAGTGTTGAGGAGAACGATATGCCGCGAGTCTCTGCGAGGCTTGTGGGGAGTGGACGGCATGCATGGTTTGTTAGGGCTTTTGAGGTTGACGGGAGTTGAAGCGGATGATCGATGGCAAGACGCTATTTACTCAAGACTGGCGCTATGCGCCACACAGAGCGCATCGTCGCAACATTACTGCAGCACGCTCGAAACAATGGTAGACGGTCAGGCATGCAACTCCCAGATGACCAGCACCAACGGGACAACGCGACAGCCATATACGATAACATCGCATCCTCGATACCAAGAATGTCGGACAACATAGATCCACCTGGTGTTTTGGAGACTTCACTAATACCCATGTATCAACGACACATGTGTTGGCTATGCCTACAAAGATTGTTGTGAAGATGGAGATCATCATCATGGGAATACTCAATCAGGAGATCCGCAAGGCACGACCCATTCGAAGCAGAATCAGTACTTTATGGACATCGATCTAGCAAACATGTAACCATCCGCCAGATGTCTTTATTAAAATATGGAGCCGACTCTGTGTTTGAGAGCCCATCTCCAGAGCATGAAAAGGCCTTCTTTAAAGACTTCAGAATAGAGCTAGCTCAACGGCCTTTTAGTCTCTGCCCATATGTCTTCCATAAATCTGCGTATTGTTCTTACTCCCCACTTCATCATCCTGTTTTTCGACTTCCAGCATGTACTATTGGCATGTTGTATTTCGATACCTTGATAAGTCTTTTTGGAAAGAAGCAGCACGAATTCAATAGCAAGTGAATAGTAACAACCTCGTCTCGCTGCCGATACATGAACCTGAGGCAAACTTCTCTGGGCAGAAAGGAATAAACCACGTTGAATCTGTACAGCATATTTTTGTCTGAAGAAGAGCGCGTACGCTTCCCAAACACCCAGGCCATTTCTTGGAGGCAAAAGGCGACGACCCATGATTGTGATTGCTACGTTTTTTTGACGAAAAGAAAAGGTAACCAAATATTCTGAATACAGTGTAATATCTTGGCTGTTTGGATGTTTGGATCGAGGGAAGAAGGAGGAGAATGTGGAGGGGCTTATATAGATAGCTCGAAGCTAGAGCGCACTTGCTGGCAGGGCGCATTATGTGAAACTGGCAAGTTTCTGGAACCACATGACGCGATATCCAGCAGGTTCGATGATTTTCTCAGTTCATGCAAGAGACTGGTGCAAGTACACAATCCGCAGGTTTCGAGACTTATCACCTATATAGAGGAGTTGATCTTTTGTTTTGATCGCTGTTCATCATATCTAGTAGTAAGCGAGGAGCTTTGTCTAAACTAACAGGTAATTTCCTAGCAATAGGAATGCTGAGGATGAGGTATATGCACTCATTCGAAGTATAGGTATCCGAAATACTCTTTGGATGCTTCAATGCCGCTCATATACTGATTGGCGATGAAATCAGAGGCAAAGAGGAGAGCGAACACATGGGAAGACCAGGTATACATATTCGGAGCTGTGGAGTGTAGTGTAAGACAGCAGAATAGTGAAGAAGCTTGGAAGTTTTATATAGCACTTGCTGGCACAAATCAGACGAGCGATGGAGAAAGAAGCACAAGCACGTAAGACGACCGTCTCATGTATCTAGAAGCAGACAAGGATGCTCATGCGCCTTGGATATCGTATTTTTGATGTGACAAAGTATGAAGTACAGGATAAGATAGCACAATGGTCGAGGGGATAGGAAGTTTTATGCTGCTTTGAACCACTACTTCGGATAAGTGAAGCGAGAGCAGAGGAGGAGGACAAACATATGATCGTTCACTATGACTGTTTGTGGAAGATCAAATTGCTCATAGATTCGTGTTTTGCCCCTTGGGAAGAGAAAACCTCGAAGTGTGGTGTACAAGAGAAGAAGGGCAGTGAAATTGATCGACTTTATACACTTCCTCACTCGTGAGGTAAATGTAGAAAAAACATGAAGACCTCGTAATATGTGGTTGTCACTGACTGCTTTTTTGATATCTGCATAGTCCAGAGACACGATCTCAATCTCAAACATATAATTATTACGTCGGATATCCGGACACGTGTAGAGCTTAGGAGCCGCGTTCTCGCAACATCACTAGATCCGTCTGGTGTTTTTGAATTTCCTCCGAGGTTGGCTGATCATAACTCCTGCGAACTCAGCTTTTGATTTTGAGGGAGGTGATAGACAGGAAAGCTCTCATTGTAAAGTTGCGTCATGTTTTGAGAGACAGGCCAGGAACACTATACAACGCTTGCTCGACTTATTTGGAAAAGAACAAGCAAGATAGAATTCGTTGTAGGAAAGAAGGACGAGAAGCTGCGATTGATACATTTATATACATAGACTTCAGGCGACGACAGCAGCCAGCTTCTTCTCGTTACAGAAGTACGTATGTAGTTATGGAAGCCGGCGAGACGACGGAGAGAGGACATGTCGTGGTGATATCAGACTTTCGACCGAGGCCCACAGCGTCATAAACCAACCTTTCTGTCGTTTGTAAACTCGCTGAAGCGACCATACAGCCCTAAATTGGTTCTCATAACAAGTTGATAGCATCGTTTTGGTTTGAGAGCGAAGCAAACTTGATAGGCGACTCGGGGGTTTCGGAGAAATCGAGCAGGGAAACCATGGGTCGTGGCTTTGTTCGATATGGAGTACACGCACACCTTTTTAAGTTGTAGATGAGGAAGATGCAAAGACGAGAGAGAGAGCTGGAAAAGTGGTATCGTTATTTCATCCTATGGCGCTGAACAGAGTGAGCTTAGCGCAGACTTGAGACCCACTACTGCTTTCCACAATACATGGAGTCGATTTGAGTATCTTTTGGAGTTGAAGAGGCGCGCGTCTTAATGTTACGTCGATGTTGCTGCCAGTGGCACCCATATGAACTTATGACTGGATTTTCAATATGCTGATAATGTGGAGAGTTTGGACAAGAAGACTAACAATAATACAAAAATTCTTTCATATATGACCACGAAACAACCAATTGCCAGTACTAGAAGTACCTTACACTCCGAAGGATATACAACTTTACCCTTTGCCCTCTCTCACTCAAACCACGTCTTTTCCTGCGTCGTCGAAATCTATGGTTGATTCACGTTGCAAACACGAATTGTGTTACTGTGCCAGAAGTGTCTCATTGCCGGCAACAAAAAGCGGGTACGACATGCAATTTCCGGACGCACGCCTACCCTTCCCTGCAGGACGGGTACAGCAACAGCCTATCTCTGTGCCTGGTGGCTGCCACGCCTATATTCGAGGGATGGCAGCTTACGAACCTAGATCGCCAGAGGCGCATGCTACTCTGTATTTGGCCGTCGATCATATGTTGATATCGTTGCTCGTGCGATGTAGGAAGCATTTAATTGTATTGTTGTTCTCGCCCAACAATTCGCGATCGGCATGTTGTAGCTGTTTGTGATAAGTCGAGAAGGTCAGACGGGCAATCGAAGGTAGAACAGAATTGTTGAAGTGAAGCAACTATAGTTTCCGCAGTAATCATGCGCAGCAAAGCAAGAGTGCGGTATGGTTACCAGCGTATCGGGTTTGTACGAGGTCGCATTTTCTGAATGGGTAGTTGCATTGACAGGTCGCGATG